TGCATCTAAATTATAATTTGATCCAAATAAAGATGTTGATCTTTACCTACACACAAGTTTGTTAGTTCTTCCGATTGAAGTGCTAGGGTGGAACGAACCCCTAAAAAGTCTCTAAAAAATGGTAGAGACGCAACAATAGTCCATGGTCATATCCCAAATAAAGGGAGAAGATCCATAATCTGTTGTTTGCAATAAAATATGTTTTAGTAGCAGTAGAAAGGGCTATCCGCAACAGGCTACTGTTCTGGCTAATACAAACAAGAGTGGATTTTCATCAAAGAAAACTCTACCAACTTAAACATTAGTAGATATCAGTCGGTGAAATCAAGGGAAGAACAGGAAGCTGAGACAGGATGTAGATAAGTAGGCGATTCATCATTTAACGAACATAAAGTATTAATGTTAAAACATTACTGGTTTACCTCAACTGTTTTCTCCTGGAAACCCCAAAGTTAATTGTAACCATAATGTCCCGTACTTTTAAGTGGGGAGTTGTGAAATAAGGTCCACATGAGCTCGGGGACTGAGATGTAAACTCTTTGGAAGATTTTTAACATCAATATATGGAGTCATTCCAGTTGTGACGACCTGTAACGGCGGATTGAAAGTGCCTTGACTATGAGCAATTAGGGATAACATTAAGGTCAACTGGAGAATATGTGTTGATCTGCATCAAGGTTTTATTTTTCATTTGCGAATTACTTACATTTTTATTATTTTATTTCCAATATTTTTCACTAATAAATTAATGAAGTTGTGAGGATTTATAATCTTTTCGTCGTGGCATTCATTGTCCCGAGGGGGCCACGTGTTCAGTCAAGTGTAGTAAACATAAACATTTTATAGTATTCGTAGTACGCTTTTAATACGGCATTGTTTATAAACACAGCAATAAGAAATTGGCTACCAAAAAGGACGAAAAACGCTCATGGATTTGGAAATATTTTGAATTACTTGATTGTAAGAAGAAGACGGAAATGTACGTTATTAGGAACACTATCGGCATATTCAGGGGGTACGTCAACCATGAGAAAGCATTTAAAAATATTAGCAAATCAGTAAATACTATTATCCTGGGCGATAAGGAGAATAATTCGATACAACTTAGTATTACTTGTTCCACTAGTAAAAAATACTTACCTGTGAGAACTAATTACACCAATAAAAAAACTTGCATCGATGTGCGCTATAGGGATATACGGACAGTTAGAGTTGTGGAAGGGGTGGGGGTTCAGATGCTCTGAACTCGGATTATGAAATGCCGCACAGGGCTACGATTAACAAACAAATCGAATCCATATATGAGAAAACAAAGAAAGTGGTTGTGAATCAAATATGTCTATGTTTCTCGTACGTCCGACATATGGACCAGCTTAACAAATATTAGTTATATAAGTTCAACAGCACATTTCATTTCGGAAAGTTCATGGAAAATGGGTAATGTTTTATTGGCTACACGTCCTATGGAAGACCATCACACTGGAATAACTATTTCAAGTCATCAATGATCTGATAAAAGAAATTAAAATCAAAAGCGTTGTTTCTTTAGTTACGGATAATGCCGCCAATATGAAAGTGGCAGCTAGAGAACCGGCTTCGTTCATGCTTGGTGTGTCGCCCATACTTTGCAATTGGCAATCACAGGCTATGGCTAGAGTCATCGAGGCGGCCCGGAATGTAGTTGGCCATTTTAACCACAAAGGCATTGCGCAAGGCGACCATCCTCTTACATAAATTCAGGACGTTCAACTTATAATTATAGTTTCGCGACTTTTAAAATTAAGGATTCCCGTATTTTTCTTTCAATTTTGAAGATTTTGTAAAACAAATATCTGATCGTATCACCCTTTATTTAAAGTGCTCATTTTGAAAGGAAATTGAGGACATTGTATCCGTATTGGAGACATTAGCCGACGCCACAGAGATCTTGACAACGGAAATAGTACCTTCAACCAGGTCTTGTTGTTGCCATGTCTGGTGGCAGCCAGTTTCCAACCCGAAGTTTTAGTATTTGAATGAAGTTTTAATAATGTTTTTTTTTAATATTGATATTGAAGGTTAAACAGAACACAGCTTTGCAAGTCAAATAAAATTAATTTAAATAAAATGTAAATCTGTGTTAAAAAACAAAACAAGCCAGCGGTGAGTTGAGAGGTTGGTTAGGTTGAAATGTAGGGCCTAAAATTGCATGGTTACTAGTCTCTACTCCCAGCTTTATGAAGAACCTCATACGTGCTTTTGGGCAAGAGGTTGCCACATGTTGCTCCATCTGTGGTAGAAAGCGTTCTACAAAACGAAAATTTGGGAAAAAGTTAGGTCTAAGATACGAGAATAACATTAAAGTCAATGGGGAAATCTTTAGTGATCTGTGGCCATACTGGATAATCAACCCCATATAAAAAAACGGTTATGCATGGGCAATTGAACTTTTCGTCAAATACTGACAACGGTACCAGACCCTCTGTATACGCTGAAGACTATGAGGTTCTGGGTTACCAAGACTGCCTCAATTAAAAGCAAAGTTGTTATGTCCCAAAGTTTTGAGGAATAAAATTGCTTATCGCTCTCGAGTCAAAACTGAAAATTCGCGCCGCACATAGGCATGGTAATGACATAATCAAACATAGGCAAGGTAATGATATAATCAAACATAGGCAAGGTAATGATAAAACATAGGCAAGGTAATGATATAATCAAACATAGGCAAGGTAATGATATACCTTGGATAACATTCACTAGGTTTATTAACTGCAACCTTTCTATGAGGGTACTTTTACCGTTTTCTTATTTAAAGTTCTAATGTCGCTAAAATCTCATGAAAAGAGCGATTTATTGCGTTGGGTAATCTTGATTACAGTTTTATTACTTATTGCACGTGGAACTAGACGTAACATGGTACGCGCGAATAAAGACGATGGACGGAAGTTATACAAAATAATTTTAGATTAAGATGGAGGTATGTGGGGTGGGTGGGGGTGGTGGCAACAGTGCCACACGATGGGTATGTTCCTGAAGCAACGACTGCGAGTTTTACAACATCTGGACGTTGCTAGATTACTTCACAATTTCAATCTGAGGCTGTGACATAGCGATTTTCATGAAAACCTTGATATTGAATGAACTTTGCAACTCGATCATCACAGGTGGACATATTAGCATGAAAGCGCAAAACTTGGTATTCGCGACGACCGAGGAATTTGATGGGCTCACAAGCTGGGCTTGAACCAAATCGAAACAAGCCAACAGTGAGGCTGATGTCCCCCGCCGGAATCCCAAAATAAATAGATGACACACATTAATTAATCGCACATTTATTTTTTTCAAAAGTATCAAGCTATCAAACTACACTAAGTTTCATCACTCTCTATTAGAAAGAATCAAGATTATCTTGTCCCAAAGCATTGACCAATGAAATTGATTAGCTCTGCTTAGCTTCAGCTCGAAATGTTAATCATTGAACTCAGTCAAGACATTCACCAAATGAACATCTTACATCAAGTCTAAACATTCTACCTCAATTAAAAGCAGAGTTGTTATGTTCCAAAGTCGTGACTAATCAAATTGCTTATCGCTCATTAGCCTAATGTTCCAAAGTCGTGATCAATCAAATTGCTAATCGCTCATTAGCCTAAGCAGAAAGTTATCACCATCGAAATTAGTCAAGGTAATGATATAATGAATCTATATTCTGAGTTCCATCGCTCTCACTCCATTAAAACCAAAGTTATCGTGCCTCAAAGCACCAACCAATCAGATTGCTTATTGTTCCCCGCCTTTCGAAGAAAGCAGGGGACTATTAAAATGGGTTCGTCCGTCTGTCCATCCGCCTGCCTGTCTGCCTGTCCCTCACACTTTTTGGGACACAATAACTCTTTTTTCTAATTGAGCTAGAATGTTCAAACTTGGCGTAGGTGTTTATTATATTAGGTCAATCAATACCTTGATGAGAGTTCGAAGATGAGCATTTTGCGCTTAGGGTAAGTGGAGATAAGCAATTTGATTGGTTGATGCTTTGGGACACGATAACTTTAAACATTCTATCTCAAATTGCTTATCGCTCTGCTTACCCTCAGCAGAAAATATTCATAATCGAACTTAGTCAAGGTATTGATGTAATAAAGCTATACACCAAGTGTCTTCACTCTCCCTTAATTAGAACTAAAGTTATTGTGACTCACGCAGAGGCGTAGCCGTGAAATATATACTGCGAACACTGTTTTGGCATATTTTAAGGGGTTAAACTAAAACATCACACCAACTTATTGGGATATGTACAGGTTTTATACAGATGGAATCTTAACTAATCATAATAATTGTTGTAAATAAATAGGATTTAGGGCCTACTATCAAGGCATTGGCCTAATAAACACATGCACCAAGTTTGAACATTGTAGCTCAGTTAGAAAGAGGGTCATTGTGTCCCAAAAGTGTGACGGACAGACAGACAGACGGACGAACCCATTTTAATAGTCCCCTGCTTTCTTCGAAATGCGGGGGACAATTAGTGTCGAAATATGCAGTGTATTACGTGAAGGCCTTGATCAGATGTACGTAGTTGAAGCGAGATCAAGCCTTTTATGGCGGATGCAAGGTTAGAAAGAGGGTCATTGTGTCCCAAAAGTGTGACGGACAGACAGACAGACGGACGAACCCATTTTAATAGTCCCCTGCTTTCTTCGAAATGCGGGGGACAATTAGTGTCGAAATATGCAGTGTATTACGTGAAGGCCTTGATCAGATGTACGTAGTTGAAGCGAGATCAAGCCTTTTATGGCGGATGCAAGGTGGGTTGGCACTGATTAACCACCGATTGGGTAGTCGCAGCCATCAATGGACAAATTCAATGCGACAACGCCGCCTGTAATGAAGCTTTGTGTCCCAGTTGCACACAACAATTTAAGGGAGAATGTACTATAGGTCAAAAATGAAACACAGTATATTAGGGGATATTTATTAATTTCTTTTGAACTAAAGCATCTAGCTTGCATGACACCCCTGGCGACAGGTGATAGTTGAGGCAGTCCTACAAGATCTAACATCACACACAACGTCGACAATTCTTTGACCAGTGTCGAAATTTACGGGAAAAAAGAAGTGCGTCTCGCTGTCCGTGTATTTTGTTATATATGTTCTTCCATCTGCTTCACACCTAGTAAAATGAATGCACATTATATTAAATTCATATTTTCACATTATGCCTGAATTTTCACTTTCTATGTAGGCTTGGCAATGCCATATGCAATGAGACTAGACTATTCATGTTAAAAACATAAATCTGCGTTCGCTATACAGGACACCAAACGACTGAACGCACAAATTTAAGATAACTTATATAATCTACAGAAAATCTAAAAACGCCTACAACCGATATAAATTTAAAAAAAATGGCCTAATCTACCTCCTGAGTCCTGTATAATAATATTTATCTTTGTTTATACCCGGGCGAGCTTAACCACTCGTTATAACACTGACCATTTAGCGTCAGTTTCGACATTTTGGGATTATTATCTAACGTAAATCGAACTGTTTTAAAGAAATTAGGTTGTTGCTCTTACCCATCTCGTATCAGTATTAAAGATTGACTTTTATCGGCATCATGGCTTGGTTTGGCGTAACAATTCTCTACTATCATTCTAATTCCAGCTAACGTCGGACTTTGTACTTGCACATAGATATTGTCGCCAGTTTTGATGTCTGCCGTGATGTTTTGTATTTTGTTTTGGTAAAGGGCATCGCCATACAAATTGATGGTTGCTATCAGCTGAGAAGTGCTGGTTAACAGATGCTGGTGATTTGACTTGATACCTGTGCAGTTTAATTTAAAAAATGAAATATTTGGCTATAAATACATGATTATAAATTCTAATTGGGATTTGATTTTCAATTTATTTATATCATCGTGTAAAACATTAAATTCCAAACTGTATGATGGTGTTAGTTTTTTTATACGCCCACATTTTCATGTGGACGTATATTGTCGTCCGGGACGTCCGTCCACAATTGTTTGTGGACACTCTACAGGTCACAATTGTTATCCGATTTTGACGAAACTTGAAATATAGGTTTATCTCCAAAAGATCTTGGTTGCTTTCGATATTGGCATGTATCGAATCGGAACTGCATGGATTATGACCCCCGATTATACGAAAAATCACGTTTTTAGCTTGTGGACCCTATAGACGTCACAATTTTTAGCCGATTTTGTTGAAACTTGAAATATAAATTTATAACCCAAAGATCTCGGTTCCTTTCGATATTCGCACATATTGGACCGTAACTTCCTGAATTATAGCCCCTGATTGTACGAAAAATCGCGTTTTTAGCTTGTGGGCCCTCCTATAGAGGTCATAATTTTTATTTGATTTACAAAAAAACGATTTAGTATATCATCGTAAAGTGGGGGACAGACAAGCGTATTTTTTCGCCCGATCGCGGCGATTTTTAAAATCGCTCAAAAAATACGCCCGTGTGCCCCTTCAAGGCGACGAAGATTCTGCTCGGCGAACTATTCGCCCGATCAATCGCTCGTATCTAGCAGGTTAGATATTTACGGCCGAATATTTTTCACCGGCGATTAAATTCGCTCGTGTGCCCGTGTCCAGCATATATTATCGGGCGATTCATTTGTATAAGCCAATCATTAACATCGTTGATATCACATGATCTCAAAATGGCTGGCATTTTGTACAAGTCACGTGATCGACATAATTACTCACAGAGTGACGTACGCTATCGAGACGATCGCTACGTGTGCCCGTTCGTTGTCGGCCGTAAAAAATCGATGGCGAATTTCAATCGCCGAGATCGGGTGGAAAAATACTCTCGTCTGTCCATAGCATTACACCCTAAGGATGGCTGAGTTCTAATTTCGTGAAAATCGGCCCAAAACTGACGGACAAAATGGCCACCCCTCGTTCTCAAATATGGCATATCAAGGTTGTGGACCCTATAGAGGTCACAATTACGTTTTTAACTGGTGAACACTGTATGTTTATAACCTAAAGATCTCGGTTCCTTTCGATATTCGCGCATATCGGACCGTAACTTCCTGAATTATGGCCCCTGATTGTCCGAAAAATCGCGTGTTTAGCTTGTGGACCCTATAGAGGTCATAATTTTTATCCGATTTAAAAAACCGTTTTAGTATATCAACGTTACATCCTAAGTGTGGTTGAGTGAAAATTTCGTGAAAATCGGCCCAAAACTGACAGACAAAATGGCCGCCCCTCCTTCTCAAATAGCGTAAAAATATGGTATATCAAGGTTGTGGGCCCTCTAGAGGTCACAATTGTCTTCTGGTTTTGATGAAACTCGAAATGTAACATTATAACCCAAAGATCTCGGTTCTTTTCAAATATTCGTGCATATCGGACCTTAACGTCCTAAATAATGACCCCTGATTGTTCGTAAAAAAGGTGTTTTTAGCTTATGGACCCTATAGAGGTCATAATATTTGATTCGATTTCATACAAAAGTTTGAATATACCACCGTTACACCCTAAGGATGGTTGAGTTCGAATTTCGTAAAAATAGGACCAAAACTAACTGAAAAAATGGTCGCCCCTTGTACTCAAATAACGTAAAAATATGGTATATCAATGTTGTGGACCCTCTAGAGGGCACAATTTTCTTTTGATTTTGATGAAACTTGAAATGTAATTTCATAACCCAAATATCTTGCTTCCTGTCGATATTCGCGCATAACGAATAGTAACTTCCTGAATTATGGCCCTTGATTGTACGAAAAATAGCGATTTTAGCTTGTGGTCGCTGTAGAGGTCACAACTTTTATCTGATTTAAAAAAAAATGTATGAATATATCACCATTACACACTAAAATCTTGGATCCTTTTGATAATCGCGAAAACCCGAATTTAACTTCCTGGGTTATGGCCCCTGATTGTTCGAAAAATGACATTTTTAGCTTGCGGATTCTCTAGAGATCACAATGTTTTTTCCGATTTAAAAAACCGTTAAAATATTTTACCATTCCGCCAAAATTAAGGATGAATTTGAATTTCGGGAAAATCGAAATGAAACTGCCCGACAAAATGACCGCTCTTTGTACGCAAATTGGGTACAAGTGTGCAATGCGAATTTTGTCGACCCTCTAGAGGTCACAATTTTTATCCGATTCTGATGAAACTTACAACATATCTTTATATCCTAAAGATATCGGCCCCTTTTAATATTTGCGCATTTCAGACCATAACTGTCTGGATTATTGCCCCCGATTGTTTTTTTATGTTCAGTCCAAATCTTATCAAGGATATTCCAAAGGCATCGATTAATACGGTCATTATATAAACGGTTGCTTTCAGTCTCGGGCTTGCTGTGTCAGAAAACACAGAGTTGAGTCCATCTTAACGAGAGAGAAATGGGGTTTATTCGGGACTAACACATGGTTAAATTTTATTGCGCGTAGGGGTCTTCAGCAGTGGGAGGAAACCGGAGAAAACCCAGATGGTTGGACAGGCGACCCCTCCTTGTCACGTACAACCGGGGAATCGAAACCATGCCAGTTGACTCAATGACAGACCTTATGATACAGCGTAAACGTGCTAACCATTCGGCCACCCAATCCACAAGCCCATCTTAAAGAATTGAAATATTCTGCCTTTTGTGTATACTATTTTTTGGAAATAATTAAACTGAAAAATAGATCAACTAAAATGCAGCTTATCAGGGGTTAAGATGGGCAATTCAATTGGTAAATAAAACAGGAACCATCTAGAAGTGGTGAAGATGGAAAAATAACTCACTGCATTTCATTCTCAAACTTTCACTAACAGGACAAGTTTCCGATCTGTTATATAGTGGACATTCAACCGGTCTTTGTTCGTTACCGGAACAGTTAAATACAATAGGCAAGACCGGTGTTTTGGATACTCTCGGAGACACCTGTTGCGCAAACAAACTAAAAATAAATAGCAAATGAATGAATTTGCCAATAACTCTGACGCTAGTGGAGTGTTTTCCATGGAGTAATATAATTTAGTAGGTTATTGTCCCGTTGTATTAACCTCTCAGCAATGTTTACAAACTGTTTCTAATAGTCACATTTATCAGGTTACTCAATGAAATATTTGAGGCGAATAATATTTAAATTATGTGACATCATCAACGTTTAGTTTGACCAATCCTTAATAAACAGTTCAATAATTTTCAATCTTTGTATCGAGTAGAAAACTGCTATACATTGTAGTCGACATTTAAGGATGTATTCTTTTTTTACTTTTTGTGAACTAATTCCCGGGGGAATTTGTGTACTTTATTTGTAACTATTTTAAATGGAATTCAAAAAGGCAAAAAAACACACTTTTAACAGACCTTACATTATATCCAAGATGATGACAAACAACTTTTCCAAATTCGTTATTATAATCTGTTGGACAAACACCATGCCATTCTCCATTGTAGTATATTTCCACAAAATCTTTATTCATTCTTACTCTCAGGTCAGCATCGGCTTAAAAGATACCGAAATATTACATCCGGATTTCAAAATGTTACACCCACACAACAAATTTGTCGCCCAAGGATATAAGGATGCTTCAGCCTTCAAGAAATCGATTCTCTATCCAACATATCTCTCGAACAGAATATCCTAGAACGCTGAAGATCAACATCCCCCCGCCCTCCGACTCCAATGATTCACACCAAATTTGAAAACCAATAGGGTTTATCCTCTCGCAATCCAGATGTTCCACATCAAATTTAAAACAAAAACCACCATTGCACTATCGTGCTGGTCAACTGCATTGTGATTGATGGTGCATCAAAGTTCATCAAAACATTATGTAATTTCAAGCAGTATTATCCATTATAAGGACATGAACAGTGGTTTTGACCACCTTAAGCATAATAATTAAACCTTTAAATTAGATACCTACCACACTTCACCCCAACTTCTTCAGTTACATAACAATCAGTCTCACCCCAACCTTCATGTCCACAATCTTCTAGTCTGCTTTCATTTCCTCGACAACTGACTTCATCCAACCAATAGGACCCATCAGTTGCATTTACAAACCATGTATTATTGCCATTCGAATATATATCAACCTCCTGAAGTCTGCAATGCAATTAATGTAAGTGTTCCGCTTGCAATGCAATTAATGTAAGTGTTCCGCTTGCAATGGAAACATGTCGCAAGACATACCGGTTAATATAGATTATATGCATTTTCCTACAGCCTGTGTTTCCGATCCTACAAATCGTGATTCTTGGGCTAGACACCACATTAATACCCATTAAGCATAAGTTGCTGAAAATTACGCAAGTAATCTGTTTGTACCTAGAAGTATTTAGCAATCCTAATTGTCGACAAACAACCTGTGCAGCATTTTTGTCAAAGTTATCATCACATACATTCTTCCAGATACCATCATGACGAACTTCCAAACGACCACCTGCCTGTCCCAGTTCTCCAATCAAACGAACTGTTTGTTCTAAAGACAAAACAAAAAATGCAAATACAAGGTCAGTTGATTATCGTTAATCTAACATGTTTAACACGGAGAGAGGTAGCGTGGGTCCTGCAACACTGGCAAAGGGGAAACCACAAGGGGAAGCAGCGGGAAACTTTCTCGATCACTAGACAACCTGATTGATTTCTTAGCGCCTTACTCCCCAAGCAATCGTTACCCGATTCCTATATCGGCGTATTTATGATCAGTTTACATGGTAAAATTGCCCATTTGTAGAAACTATGATTTTCATTTAATAACGTTAGTTATTATAATATTTTTTTTATGTTCATGTTATTGAGAAATGTACCTCTATAAGTAGCTTCATGTCCATAGGTAGCTAAAATAGAAATGAAATAAAATGAGGTTTAACGCCCTATTGTTCTGCTCCGGCTGGGCTAATAAAGACGGAGATAAAATAGAAAGGTTTGTTTATACAGGCATATGAATACATATAACTCATCGGGAGCTTCAGTTACATTGGCTGCTACTTTAAAATACTTCATTTATCTCTTAATAATTTCAAAAATAGTCTCCGCATTTTATATGCAGCAAATAAAACGAAAATGTACATCCGAAATGAACTCGGACAGTAATACTAACGCACTCACCCCGACAATGACATCATGCACCCAACCTAACAATGAAACGTAACGCACCAACCCTGACAATGAAATGTGTGAGAGAGAAATAGGGTTTAACGTCCACTCGACACAAACTAGGTCATTTCGGTACTAACATATGATTCAATATGTATGTCTTGCATTTTTCACATCCTGTTAGTTGTTTCGATTATCGATATCTAATATTCGAAATATCGTTCTAATGGTTTGTTATTTACAGTATCATGCGTGGTGTTAGGCTCATTTAGCATGGGTATTCAACTTGGAGCATGTCAGAGTAATTGTCCAACACCAATCAAAGATGTGCGCAATAGGGACAGTCCATATACTCGGTTGGTATATCTGTGATGGTAATTTTGGTAAGAAAGAACGCATTATATTTATTGAAGTTGTTTATTTTCTACTACCCTGTTTTCGAAATGCGTTATTATTGTGTTTGAAATAACAAACTGTCCTTTATATATGATCTGCTGTAAAACACGGATATTTGATGCTAAAATTATCTCGTTCAAGCTTACCTCTACAGGATGAAGTAAAAATGAAAACGACTATCTGAAAGGTAAAATATTTTTGAAACATATGGATCAACAGATAACAAAAATGGTGTCTCTTGATGCACAAATAACTTTGGTCATTGTTCAATTCAAATCAAAAAACATCCCCGCATTTTCCATCGTGTCAAAGGGGAAACTTGTTTTGCGTAGATTATTACTATGGTCGGCTGCAATAACTGGGTAACTTACCAAGAAGAGTCTCATTAAACTGTTATAATGATGAATTCTATTTGTAAGACTGGTCCACATTAAGTAGTAAATCATAAACATTGATATACATCAAGATAAGAGTACTAGTGTGACGTTCATAGGTCCTACATTTTTCAGGTCTGTAAGGTATATAATGACAACACCGTCTTTACACAGTTTGTCATTGATTTTTAATGAAATTTTAAAAACTCACCATAAATTAGATTAACGTGCTACTATTGTGATTTGTGTAGTAAATCATGGTTATGTAATGAATGTAATTAATTTACAGACAAATGGGGTCGTGTATACATTTTCCAAACGTTATAAAGATTAAAATATAGACAAGAGATAATCAAAATGTTATAATCAAACTTGACATGGTTTGTTAGATATGATCATTTGACATCTATACGTCTCGGTCAACAGAGCTATTAGTATTATGTGTCTCTCTATTCCCAACACATCCATACGTCTAAACACAACTTCCGCTTCTTGTAAATACAAACAAAAGTATTCGGGGTTGGCAATTCAAACATTATTTCCAAATTAACATATACAATTACTTTACGCGTTCAATGTGGGATATGGACAGAATGCAAGATACTCACAGTACTTTGGGCCTAGATATTTTAGATTGGAGGCGTTAGATTAGCACAATTAGGCCAAATACAACTTTCTCAACAAATCACACTGATAAAAGACCTAGTAGGTCAGTTCATGTCATTTAACCCAATTAGATAATCTGTACCCCCTTCAATCTGTTTCCAACGTATGCAGGATCATATTTATGATAGCTGTCCCTGGCTCAACAGTCAGTTTTATTTTTCATGAGTCTGATTAATTCTAATTGACGGTTTCAAACTAATTCTTGTTAGTGACCGGTATCAGAGAGAGATTAAGCAGTAGAAGAACAAACGGTGCTGCTTCAAATACATCAGTAATCATATAACTGTTTTATTTACGATGATCATCCTTGGATGCCCGTTTAAGCATAAATGAAATGATGTCGCTTTGTATAAATGATCAGTCATATAACTGTTGTCCTTGCCATGATCATCCTTGGATGCCCGTTTCAACATCCCCACTTCAACTCCAACAGGAATATATTGTGCAACATAGGGTGATCACAGTAATCAAATATTACAGAAACATAATTATATATACATGTACATATATAAAAGCATAAATCTCAGATAATATATATAAAAGTAAAAACAAATATCCAATTTTCTTTATGTATATTAATGTTTAAAATGAAAGCAAACCGGTTACATGTATAGGCCTACGATTACAATCTATGATACAAATTTTTCACTTTTACAAACATTTACATCTTACAATATCCGTCCTATAGCTGCAATATGAAAATCGCAAAATGGCCTTAGCACAGAGGTGGGGAAGGGCAGTATTTTTTAGATTGTAGCCATATAGGGGCGGAAAGGAGCTTCAGGTACGAGCAGATATAATTGTTCATCAATATGTATGGTGCATGTTATATGAATATGGTTAGAAAGAAATGCTTTCTTTGCAGGATACGTGCTAACTTAATACCTCGATATCATTGGAATCGACTGATCAGCCCGACCTTGAAGTATTAAAATGGATAAGGCCATATTTCAAATAATCCGAATCAGTCGTATGCAACTTCCACCGGTGAGGGACAAATAGTATGCATCAAGATTGACACAAGGCAGGCAGTGGTAAGGAAGGAAGGAGAAAAACAATTAAGAGATGACTCACTTTAAACTTGTCATCTAACAAAGCACCTTGCCCCCCCCCCCCATGATTTATTTTGCTTAATGGTTAATCCAGCCCTGATTGTGCAATAGGACAAATGTAACATTATAGGTCGAATTCACCTAATCTTTTAGTCCAGATATCTGAATATAAAATAGCAAAGCGAGAGTGTTTGTATCATCCAAGTTGGAGAGGTATACTTTATTTGTAATTCGATCTTTTATATGTAATATCATACAGAGTGAATTAAAGATGTATTCTGTTATATAAATTATTATTTAGAAGAACATGGTTTTCCTGGGTTCGTATTAAAGGGACAATAACACTCTTGCTGGCTTGACAGCTCCAGAAAATAAGATGTGTTAGTGTCCTACCTGTTGTGTAAATTATGCATTAAATCCAGGCTTTTCAAATCATTTAGTTCAATTTTTCCAATTTTTTCAATTAGGTGTGTTAAGATGAAATTTGTATCATCAATTAATTGGAATATTATAAAATTGTGCAATTTGTTGACTAGAATAAAGATTGGGGCATATTATTCAGTTACAACAAGAATGGTATTGAACCTTTAAAGAACACAACCTGAAGTCATATCGAAGTCCTTGGTAAACTATATTTGTAAGTCCATTTTGCAACTAAACGTAAAGTCAAAGACTTCTTGTTGTCCCACACGTGGTGATGCTACAATCCTAAGATTATATCTGCCATGGAGTCGGTGGCCAGGGTATAATAGAAAAACTTGAATTTAGTTCCACATGGAGTTGCCTTTTCGATTAGCTCTAAATCATGAGAAACCCGGGCCAAGACTTCGAAGTTTTACTTTTATTTTTATTGAATATATATTTTATTAGATCCCACATTGTGGCGTGTGATATGCATCCCAATTAAAAATCAGAAAGGGGGAAATGGGATGTAACGTCCACTCGACACAAACTTTCTCTATGTCCTCCGCAAACCCTATGGCACCTGGCATGTTAGAACCGGTCTACATGGCTGATATTAAGTTTGTTATTGTAAACTGAAGACATTTTCAGTGTTATTTGAATTACCTTGCTGTTTTGTGTCTACTACCTGCATTTCTTAGCTTCTTGGGATAGTTTTCATTTCAGCGTAAATGTATTTTAATATGCAATTTATTGATTAAAATTGTTTCTGATAACCACCTTATGGAAACAGTCGCTGGCTTTAGGGTGCTCACCACGCGCCTATGTTTGATTTTTGTTTTCTTCCTACGAGCAAAGTGTTCCACTACCAAATATAAACTACCACACAAAAAATCATGAGGATCGGTTCACATCTATGTGATCCACAGCGACTTTGAAAAATGTAATATCACTCTTGTCATTTTCAAAAAAAATTATTGCCACTCCTTGAGATTTCCCCCCACAAATATTGTTTTTTTATTTAATATTTCACTGTTTCACTTGATTTTTGTGCAAACATATGCCAATTTAACTTTTGGATGTTTTTCACTGTTTTTATAATCTTTATATTTAACAAAAATTGAGTGACTTCTTTACTGTGCATCATTGCATAGGCTTCTTGCGGTACAAAGTCAAAGTATACTTGCACATACACCTGTAGAGTACTATATAGACAAGTGCTAATCATTCGAAGTGAAGTGTGGCCATGTCTTCTGATGTGAGGCCCCCAAATACCTACTAAACTACGGAGATATTTGGTCTGATCAGGAATTACAATTGCTGATGCAGATATAACAGGTCCAACACAAGTACTTTGATGTCTGTTGTACCACATTGAAGATGGACTCGCAGCTAATCCAACAAAAATGCTGGCGGCAAGTATTGTTCTTTCAAAAGTTAAGCCTTTCTATTCTAAAGCCAAGATTCCGATGATACAAGACCTAGTGCTTGCAAAAAGATTGTGAATGCTAGACATGGACAGGATTGATGATAATGTGACACAAAGAGTCACTGACTTAAGAGACGAGTCTCTACAATGTGCTTTGTGGGATAAGACTCGTATAAACATCGCAACGTTTATCTTGAATTCATATATCTTTCCTGTGCATACTTGAATGATGACAGTGATGGTCTTGGCTTTAGGAGTGATGCACAAGGGTCGTTGTGTATGTTTACTACAAACGCAGATTGATTAACTGCCTCCAGGAACGATCATTACTAGACACCAGACAGTCAAAGTTTGTGATTTTACAAACTTTGTGACCTTGGTATACGGTCCTTGGTGGATGACATGTCCGATAGCAGTGAACGCCCTTGGAAAGACATGTCCTGTGCCTCTACAAAAATATACTCTGCTACCATAACATGCATGAACAAATTTCTACAAGTGCTCAGAAAGCTTGTTATTGACATTGTGGTATATTAATGTCTGAATTACTACCACTGGCTTTGCTCAGCCACATCGTCCCTGAACTGGAGAAAAGGAAACTCAACAATAAGCTCCTGAACTTAAAACTTGAAGATGGAGAAATCATTACAACAACACGATATGGTAAAGGATTTGGTAAACCATCATTCCCCAACACCATTACACTTTGTGGATGGTGATTCCAGGTACATGTTTCATATAAAGTTGATAGTACACTCCTAACACATGAATCGGATGACTGGACTGAAATGGGCAGTTATATTGATGCAAAATTAAATATACACTCAATGTTGTCAATGACGGCTCTGAACGGGTGGTAGCCCTTGGTGATGCGAAACTTGAAAAAAACTATCAAAATACGCTGCAAGTTGTTGAATGTAATAGAAAGGACATTCCGAAGTCCAAAAGCATCAAAGAAATAAACCAGCATTGTTACAATGTGAAATACTTTTTATGGTGGGATAGAGAAGATATGAATATGCTTAGATTAGTTATATAAATTCTTTACTTGTGTTTGTCGTTCATCTTTCAGCGTTTGTCATGATGAATGTGCGATCTTTATTAATAGTGCCGCGCAAATATTACAGACATCCTAAGATATTAACACCTTGAAAGCCAAATATTACACATATATAATGAAATACAATATATAACATTAAAATAGCACAGCTCGAAAAAGAAAAACAATGAAATTTTGATAAGAAAAGACACTTTTTTTTAAAATGACAAGGGTGGTTATACATTTTTCAAAGTCGCTGTGGACCACATAGATGTGAACCGATCTTCATGATTTTTTGTGTGGTAGTTTATATTTGGTAGTGGAACACTTTGCACAATGGAAGAACTTGCTGAATTTAATTTTCAAAATCATGGGGCGTGAGGAGCACAGTGGCTATACATTTAAATAATATTAAATGTGAATCAAATAAAATGTAGTGCCCAATCATTTGTTCACTTATTAATCGAATAACGCCATATTTACATTGTACGCGTTTGACCCTCCCTACTTATTATAAGTTGCTAAACAGGGACAGCTTTAACTAATGGTCAAATACAGAAGGACATTACTGAGAGTTAGATTTGTTATTTGAATTAAATTTACAGCAATTAATTTGGAAAAAATGATGTGCTTCACGAATAATTAGTTTCTGGTAATTTTCTAAGAGCCTTTGACACACAACTTTAAAGCTCCGTTATTTCCCAGTAAAATACAATAATTACAAGGGATAATTAGTATGGGTCAAACAAGTACGAAAAAAGTAAATTTGTGGAAAACACTTTATTAATTCGTTTCGAACCTTAAAAATCTATCCTGGGTGACAACCCTGACGACATGAGGTGTCGGTGGAGGAAGTGCTACACGATCTGACATCACACATAACGTCGACAATTCTTTGACCATTGTCTAAATTTACGATGAAAAAGAAATTTGTCTCGCTGTCCGTGTATTTTGTTATATGTGTTCCTCCATCTACTTCACACCTAGTAAAATAAATACATATATAACTCGTTCATAATAGTGTGGTTTAGATTAAAAAGGACAAGTACCACCGTACTATGGATCAGAAACTATGACGTCATCGCAGCCATCTTGGAATCGTTACGCCATATCAAATTCCAAGTCCCACAATCGTTATGCAATTAGCAAAGGGAAAAACATTTCAAGTTTCTTGTCGGGTATTCGCGAATTGCCCCCCCCCCCCCGCAGCCATCTTGGAATAGTTACGTCATATCAAATTCCAAGTCCCACAATCGATATGCAATTAGCAAAGGAAAAAACCATTTCAAGTTTCATGTCGGGTATTCATGAATTGGTGAGCACCCCCCCCCCCATCACACACACACACACACACACACACACACACACCACCCTCACAAGAACAACAAATGTAATACCAAGATAATTATCGCTTGGGGACGAAATATGTTTCAACATATGTTAACACCTTTAATGTGAAGTGGTTTAAAATGGGTGTTTTGGACATTAAGACAGTCGAGCTTAACAACGTCGTTATAACAATGACCAGCTATGTCATCGGGATAAATTGTTGCTCTTACCCATCTCGTATCAGTATTACAGATTGACTTTTATCGGCATCATGGCTGGGCTTGGCGTAACAATTCTCTACTACCATTCTTATCCCAGCTATAGTCGGGCCTTGTACTTGCACATAAATAATGTCGCCAGTTTTTAATTCTGCGGCGATATTTTGTATTCGGTTTTGGTAAAGGGCATCGCCATACAGATTGATGTTTGCTGTCAGCTGAGAAGTGCCGGTTACGTGATGCTGGTGATTTGAATCAATTGGTTTATTGGTGACTCCAATCGTCTGATTTCGTGGCATGCGGCATTCAAGATCTACAGACCACCGGAAATGTTCTCCAAACGTTTTTGGATAACTATTAATATACACTAAATAGATCGTATACAACACGGTTTGATCATCAATCTGAAAAAGTTAGAACTTTTTTATATTTTAAGATGGGATAATTATCTTCACTGTGAAATTATGATCCACAACCCCGGAGATACTTTTTATACCGATCAAGGACATTTCAACTATTTGAATATTTACCTCCATTCAGCAGACCTTTTTATACGCCCACATTTTTATGTGGACGTATATTGTCTTCGCCCCTGTCCGTCCGTCCACAATTGTTAGTGAACACACTACAGGTCACAATTTTTATCCGATTTCAATGAAACTTGAAATATAGGTTTATCACTCCAGGATCTCGGTTCCTTTCGATATTGGCATGTATTGGACTGTAACTTAATGTATTATGGCCCTTGATTGTACGAAAAATCACGTTTTTAGCTTGTAGAGGTCACAATTTTCATCCGATTTAAAAAAGAACATGTGAATATATCACCACTAAACACTAAGATCTTGCTTCCTTAACTTAACTTCATGAATTATGGCCTCTTTTCAAAAACCGCATTTTTAGCTTGCGGATTCTCTAGACGTCACAAATTTTTTCCGATTTTAAAAACCGTTTAAATACATCACAATTCTACCATCACAATTCGTATTTCGTGAAAATCAAAATGAAACTGCCCGACAAAATGGCCGCTGAAATGAAATGGGGTTTAACGTCCTACTGTTCTGCTCCTATGCTAGGCTAATGAAGACGGGCATACGCCATACAGTGTGCTATGAGGGAAATTTTGCCCGGGCAGCGGCACTATCGTCTACTCTTATATCGAATTCCAACTGCCAAGGGATCTTTTACGTGCATTGTAATGTATACACGGGACCTCGGTTTTTCGTCTCATCCGAAGGACTAAAAATGGCCGCTCTTTGTACGCAAATTTTGTAGAAGCGCTTAATACGAAGGTTGTTCACCTTCTAAGAGGTCACAATTTTTATCCGATTTTGATGAAACTTAAAGTTAAAACATATTTTTATATCCCAAAGATCCCTGTCCCTTTTGATATTTGCACATTTTAGGCCATAACTTTCTGGATTATTGCCCCTGATTGTACAAAAAATCACGTTTGTTTTTAGCTTTGTCTATATCCATCTCTTGCAAAATGTTGGCGTATCCTGCCTGGCAGTCGCTTGTTTCTTATAAACGAAGCAAGCCCCCTAGGCCATTCTTTATATTATACAAACATTGAGTAACATCTTATAAACATTGATTGGGTGCATGATTTGTTTGAGTAACCCGGTAGATTATGGATCTAATCTTATTATGTGAAAAAGAAATCCAGTTTAATAAGGTAACCAATATACCAACCTCGGTCGTCTGAGTGGAACAAGAGTTAAAACTAGGACGGAATACCAGTGAAGTATTACCTTCACGTCGACCAGTACACTTATTTCCAAGTGTAAAATCGTGATCTTTAAAATCCGGAATCATACGGTGTAGTCCAGCTAAATCCAATTTAACTTCAAAACTATATGAAGTACAGGATAATGACATCACGTTTTCTATTGGCGTATTCACTAATATGAAATATATTATACATCATACAGCTGTGAGAGAAGACATTGTTATTTAGGCCAACGTAAAGTATTCATTTAATCTGATATGTTAATTCGATTTTCATGGGAAAGCTCTAAATCAACAATTCTATTTTTTTTACCCAAGTATAGACCTCTGTTCATTTTAAATAACATTTTAACACAGATGGAAACAAATTAGAAATCTTAACGTGGAAGGAGAACAGGATGTTGTTTTGCAGTTTCAACATGTATTATTCTCTAAGTACTTTATCTTATCTTGGTTGCCTTTTGGAAAGGGAGGGTCTGTAAACAAATGTTATGGGAACTACGGGCAGGTGCGCGCGTTTTTTTTTTAAAATTAAAATCTATAATTGGTCCTATCACCTTATATCATACGAATAATACAATAACATATATTTGGCATATCTTGGTAAGTCTTTTTAAATAATAATGTTATTGGGAACACCTTTACTATTATAATTGATCTGTACTTGATGGAAGATCACAGACGCTGAAGGCATCTGCGTTGGCCATTATGACTTCAAACGGATATGTATAATTATGGATGTATGACACACGATGTTTGTTTCTCTGATTTTATAATGAAAAGGTGACATCTACTACCAGTCCAACCAAAAGCCAACAGTGAGGCTGATGTCCCCCGACGAAATCACAAAATAAATAGATGACACATATGAATTAATCACGCATTTGATTTTTTTCAAAAGTATCGAGCAATCAATCTAATTATCAACTATATACCAAGTTTCATCACTCTCTATCAGATAGAATTAAAGTTATCTTGTACCAAAGCATCGACCAGTCAAATAGATTATTGGTCTGCTCACCCTCAGCAGAAAATGTTCAAAATCGAACTTAGTCAAGGTATTTATGTGATAAAACTATACACCAAGTGTCCTCACTCTCACTTAATTAGAACTAAAGTCACCGTGTCCCAAAGCATCAACCAATCAAATTGGTTATCACTGCTGACCCCAAGCAGAAAATTCTCATCTTCGAACTCTATCAATGCATTCACCTAATAAACACCTGCTTTCCTCTAAAGGCGGGGGACAATTAGATATTTTGGAACTTTGGCACACGTGATGAAGTTTATCAGTACGCTGAAAACACTTGCATGCATAATGCATAACTGCTGATTGGCTTACGCTTAATGTGTGTGTACGTCGATGACAGTCTACGAAAATTAATGCAACCTCTCGGTGTGGGGGTTAAATAGTCAAAATTAACTTGGTTAATAAAACAGGAAGTAAATAAAAGTAATCGGAAAGCAACTCACTGCATCTCACTCTCATTCTCATACGAATAATGCAATTTTCCGATCGGTTATATTGTGGACAGTCAATAGGTCTTTGTTCGTTACCGGAACAGTTGAATACAATAGGTAAGAGGGGTCTTCTGGATACCATCGGAGGCATTAATTGCGGTAACACACTGTAAAAATAACAGTAAGTGCATCATTTAGCTTTCTTATAAACTGACAAATCCCAGATATATGTCCGTGAATAAAACTTGTTAATTCTGTGTGGAAGATCCTTTAAACACCATATTCTAGTACCAACCGTCGGTACTATTTCAAACAAATATCAAAGTTAAGTCATCAGGGAGCGTTAGGGACGTGTCTTTTGACTAGCATTAACCCTGTGCTTGGATTAACGTGTCTATAATACCTACGTGTGCTTAGTGGCAACTTTCCTCAATACTTTCGCTTTATTATGTTTTCCAGTGAGTTGTAGAATTTTGCAGGTTGCATTTATCAGGTCACCCAATAAAATATTTGATCCGAGAAATCGAAAGGGGTTATTATCGTTGATGTAAGCTTACTAATCACATCCTATTGAAAAATCCAGGTCATAACACATATCGTAATGTACGTTTTCAGAGGATGTATTAGGTAATTATCGTGAAGAATTTATGCACTTTATTTGGAACGCTTTACAGCGAAATGTTTATAGGCAAACACATTCCACTAATAAAGTCAATGTTTTGCAAACTAACTTTCTCTCTTTGAACATACCTTTCATTATATCCAAGATAATAACAAACAACCATCCCAAATTCTTCAGTATATTCTTGTGCACAAACACCACGCCATTCTCCATTGTAATATAGTTCCACCAAATTTGAAATAAAATGGTCTTTATGCAACCTTACTCTCATCTCAATATCGGCTTAAAAGATACGAAACGATTGCATACACCTAATATTGCATATACATGCGTTTATCAAGATTTTAAAAAACCTACACGACTCAACTGGTAAACTCTCGCTTTCAATCAAATCGTCACTTAATTGGACAGAGTGGTGGGCCTGTCGTCTTAACCAATTAATGTGTAAACAAAATAACTTCGACTTATGTTTTTAAAACATATTTCTGGTTTATAGTATATATTGTATTTACGGAATCTAACACTTTCGAACCAGCCGAACAACCAATTACGTTTCACCTTTTAAGTCCAACAGACATTACCGTCTTAATTCTCGATATTAACCATAAATTAATATTGTCCAGAAGACTAACTGTTTATGGCCAAGAAACATTTTATTTTTGGCCATAAGCACCATGAGGATTTAAACACTTGTTGGAAGCGTGTAGATTAATAAGAATCCACAAAACGCTTTTAGAACTCAAACAATTTCTTTAAGCAGTATTACTAATAATCCCCAGTCAAAGCACTTTCTATCATAAACAAACTAAGAATGCCACAGAATAATAATAGTTCCCCAACTACGAAATTCCCTATCGTAAAAACCCTCACATTTTTACATCCACGTTTAGCAAAATAAACTGTTCATTATCTAGGTACCTACCACACTTCACCCCAACTGCCTCAGTTACATAACAGTCAGTCTCACCCCAACCTTTATGTCCACAATCTTCTAGTCTGCTTTCATTTCCCCGGCAATTGACTTCATCCAACCAATATGAACCATTATTTACCAACCATGTATTATTACCAACCGAATAAATATCAACCTCCTGAGGTCTGTAATGAAATTAATATGTATTTCGTTTTCAATGGATAAACTTGTTCGCATGAATAATTCGAATGTGTGGTGTCTTTAAAGTGGGAAATATGTCGCTAGACTACAGGTCAATATCGATTTAAACACAGTAATAGTCTAAGTAATAAAACTATTTTCGGTCCTACTAATTTCTGATACAAAACACGTTGTATTATTGAGCCCAAACTTATTTAATATATTTAAAGTATAAATATGTTTATGGTTTGGATTATTACTAATATAAGCCGAATTTATATGCGTGTGGTATGGTGTTTGTAATAGTTTGTTAAACATGTTTAATGTTTTATATGAATTAATAAATTTATCAACATTTATTCTTCTTTACAGTAAAGAATAATCTATATTTCTTTACCGTGAAAGATTGATCTAAATTTCTTCGAAAAATTGTACCGGACAATTTTAAATTGATAAAGCAGCAAAGAATAAAAATCATAAAATTGCAGCCGAAATCATAAAGTTATATAATATTTCTACCTATAAGTATTCAGTAATCCTAATTGTCGACAAACAACTTGTGCAGCATTTTTATCAAAGTTATCATCACATACATTCTTCCAGATACCATCATGGCGAACTTCCAAACGACCACCTGCCCGTTCCGGTTCTCCAATTAAACGAACAGTTTGTTCTAAAGACAAAACAAACAAAAACATAAATACAAGACCAGTTGATTATCAGCATCTTAACACGGAGACGGCCGAGTTAGGTGGGACCGGCCAAATATTAAAAATTTTGTAACTTTAAAACGTGTTTTTCGTGACACTTACCACACTTGACTCCTACCACACCATCACTACTACAGTTAGTTTGTCCCCACACAGACTGACTACAGTCTTCAATCCAACTTTCATATCCTTGACAACCCAATTCATCTAACCAGTAATCACCATTGTTTATAATCCATGACTTATTACCAGTAACATAAATATCAACTGAATCAAGTCTGTAATAAGCGGGAGTGTGTATATTTCAAACATTTATTTACGTGAGATTGATTGATATGTAGACAACTGATTAGCAAGAAATGAAAAGTGGCTATTGGCTTTAATGTCTTGACTACCTTTGCCTATGTCCAGTTTATAACTGATCAGGTGGAACTTAGTGTCACAGGCAAAATGTCAAACCGAGTCTAATTTATCCACAATAAAGAAATTTTTACTACCTTTGAGGGTCTAGAAATCCTAACTGTCGACATACAACTTGTGCATCCACTTTATCGAATTTGTCACCACACACGTTTTTCCAAATACCGTCATGAAGAACCTCTAAACGACCATCTGAATTACCATTGTTTCCTATTAAACGCACTGATGGTTCTGAAGAACAAAAAAAACCCCAGAACATCATATTGCGCAACGTTCTGTGGGAAAGTTTGGGTGGGGAGAAATGTTTTGTAGAAATGTTTAGTATAATGCCAAAGCTAGTGTTTTGGACCTAGGTGGAGACATCCACCACGTAGTAGCTATTTTATCGTATCTACTCTAGTATTTTGTTAATGTCTATGATATAAAAGTCAGACAATCACACCCACAACCTATTATTTCACAATCAAATAAATCATCTTTACTTACCACACTTAACTCCAACTTCTCCAGCACTGCTACAATTGCTCTGTCCCCAAGTTGAATGTCCACAATCCTCCAACCTAGTTTCATTTCCCCCACAAACAACGTCATTCAACCAAAACGAATGTTGAGAAGTAAGTTTTAAATTTTTTCCACTATATATACTATTCAAAAAAAGTAGGGGATATTTGATTTTTAAGTGTTATTAAAGTCACCTAATGAAACTGACGAAGAAACAAATGACAAAATGAAATGAAGTTCACATTCATCGATTTATTCCAAATGATCGTTAGACTAAGTAAGGCACAGACTGACCATTATAAGGGTAAAATGATACCCGGGGCCAAACAGCAAAGTTACCACAGCATCACAACCAAGTCAGTAACGGGTAAATCCTTCTCTGTTTGCCAAACAAGCATTGATCCGACGTGGCATACTCCTAATGAGACGTCTAAGGTCATTTTGGTCCAGATTGTCCCATTCCTGTTGCAACGCAGCAGCAAGTTCTTGGACATTGGCAGGACGTTGTTGACGTTGACGTAACCTCTGTCCAAGCATGTCCCAGACATGCTCGATGGGGGAGAGGTCGGGACTCAGTGCTGGCCAAGGTAATGTGGTGATGTTCTGTTGTTGGAGGTAACCTGCAACGATCCTGGCCCTGTGACATCTTGCGTTGTCATCCTGGAAGATGAAACGGCGGCCATGACGTCGTGCGAACGGCACAACATGGACTGCCAAGATGTTGTCCCGGTAGTACTGGCCTGTAACACGCCCTGCAACAACATGTAAAGCCGTTCTTCCAGCAACAGTGATGCCTCCCCACACCATAACAGAACCACCCCCAAATCGATCATGTCTGATGACGTTAACGTCTTGGAAGCGCTCGTTTCGACGACGCCACACCCTCCTACGTCTGTCCAAAAAATCAACAGTGAACCTTGACTCATCTGAAAACATCACATTGCTCCAACGTCGATTATCCCAGTGTTGACGATCCCTACACCAACGACGTCTTGCCTGAATGTGATGATCTCTCAAACAAGGGATCACGCGAGGACGTCGGGCGCGAAGGTGACCCCTATGCAGTCGATTCCGAATCGTCTGGCCACTCACTCTCACACCAGTGTTTGTTTGAAGACGAGCGCTGATCTGATTTGCTGTGATGACACGATTTCTCAAGGCCAAGGTACGGATAAATCGATCCTGGGCTTGAGTTGTCGACCTGAGCGTGGTCTGTCCTGTACAGATTGTGTATCACGGTATCTGGACCATAGCCTGCTTATGACAGACTGAGAAACATTCATCGTCCGCGCCACAACCGCCTGTGTTGTGCCGATCTGTGGCATGCCAAGGGGACGTAACCTTTCATTTTGGGTAAGCCGACGCATATCAAAATTTGTTTTCTGGTCACTAAAACAATTAAACTGATGTTTCCACCCTGGAATTCAATGCCACAATGACTGTAACATTCAAAGTCAGAGTCGTGCAAATCTTGGGTTGGTAGCTATTGGTGCGTTTGGGCGTCACATGTAACTGGAAATGTTTCTTCTGTTAGGTTCTATAGTGACTTTTTTCGTAGTCATTTGCATATTTTAGTATTATGCCCCCAAAATCAAATATCCCCTACTTTCTTTGAATAGTATATATATTAACTTCGTCCGTTCTAAAATGACAATGACAAGACAGTTATGAAGCCGTATGAAAATTCTTGTTTTCCTTTTGGATAAATTAGTTTACTTCAAACACCGCTTTCATAAACTTGGCATAGAAAATAAAACATTTGATCAATTATGTCTTATTAAGTTTTTCCGTATGGAATAAGTGTCATAAGCAATAGCTTTCCTTGCAAAGTATTTATACCACTAATGCATAGTGTACAAACTACGTACCTATTAATGTTGAGGAATCCCAATTGTCGACAAACAACCTGTCCAGCCTTTTTGTCAAATCCATCCGCACAGACACTCTTCCACGTGCCGTCATGCAGAACTTCCAAGCTCCCATCTGCAGATCCTTGATCTCCCGTAAGCCGCACTGTTTTAACTACATGAGGGTAAGGATTAATACAAACAGAGAAAATACTAGTAGTAACGGAAATTGGGTACATTATTTTACAAAATTAACACGAATGGGTGTTAAAAAAATATTCATTCAAGTACTATTACGATTAAAAAAACTGAAATACTTCAGTCATGGCTAATCTTTGTGGATGGGTGTAGATGAACTCCCTTGAAAGGAACCACAAAGCAATCGTTTTTCTCTATCTGTATATAATATTCCTGTCACAGTCAGAAAATAATATGTTGTCTTAAATAATAACTGAATAAATAGAAAGTCATGAAGCTATCCCTTATCTCAGACCTACTATTCAAAAAAAGTAGGGGATATTTGATTTTGGGGGCATAATACTAAAATATGCAAATGACTACGAAAAAAGTCACTATAGAACCTAACAGAAGAAACATTTCCAGTTACATGTGACGCCCAAACGCACCAATAGCTACCGCATGGAATGCAGGTGATGCTTGGGATCATCATGGGGGTCCAACCCAAGATTTGCACGACTCTGACTTTGAATGTTACAGTCATTGTGGCATTGAATTCCAGGGTGGAAACATCAGTTTAATTGTTTTAGTGACCAGAAAACAAATTTTGATATGCGTCGGCTTACCCAAAATGAAAGGTTACGTGCCCGTGGCATGCTACAGATCGGCACAACACAGGCGGTTGTGGCGCGGACGATGAATGTTTCTCAGTCTGTCATAAGCAGGCTATGGTCCAGATACCGTGATACACAATCTGTACAGGACAGACCACGCTCAGGTCGACCAAGGGCGACAACTTAAGCCCAGGATCGATTTATCCGTACCTTGGCCTTGAGAAATCGTGTCATCACAGCAAATCAGATCAGCGCTCGTCTTCAAACAGACACTGGTGTGAGAGTGAGTGGCCAGACGATTAGGAATCGACTGCATAGGGGTCACCTTCGCGCCCGACGTCCTCGCGTGATCCCTTGTTTGAGAGATCATCACATTCAGGCAAAACGTCGTTGGTGTAGGGATCGTCAACACTGGGATAATCGACGCTGGAGCAATGTGATGTTTTCAGATGAGTCAAGGTTCACTGTTGATTTTTTGGACAGACGTAGGAGGGTGTGGCGTCGTCGAAACGAGCGCTTCCAAGACGTTAACGTCATCAGACATGATCGATTTGGGGGTGGTTCTGTTATGGTGTGGGGAGGCATCACTGTTGCTGGAAGAACGGCTTTACATGTTGTTGCAGGGCGTGTTATAGGCCAGTACTACCGGGACAACATCTTGGCAGTCCATGTTGTGCCGTTCGCACGACGTCATGGCCGCCATTTCATCTTCCAGGATGACAACGCAAGATGTCACAGGGCCAGGATCGTTACAGGTTACCTCCAACAACAGAACATCACCACATTACCTTGGCCAGCACTGAGTCCCGACCTCTCCCCCATCGAGCATGTCTGGGACATGCTTGGACAGAGGTTACGTCAACGTCAACAACGTCCTGCCAATGTCCAAGAACTTGCTGCTGCGTTGCAACAGGAATGGGACAATCTGGACCAAAATGACCTTAGACGTCTCATTAGGAGTATGCCACGTCGGATCAATGCTTGTTTGGCAAACAGAGGAGGATTTACCCGTTACTGACTTGGTTGTGATGCTGTGGTAACTTTGCTGTTTGACCCCGGGTATCATTTTACCCTTATAATGGTCATTCTGTGCCTTACTTAGTCTAACGATCATTTGGAATAAATCGATGAATGTGAACTTCATTTCATTTTGTCATTTGTTTCTTCGTCAGTTTCATTAGGTGACTTTAATAACACTTAAAAATCAAATATCCCCTACTTTTTTGAATAGTATATAAACCAAACCTGTAATACTTTTTTAGACACTTACCACACTTAACTCCAGCTACTTCATACAGACAATTATGTCCTCCCCAGGTTCTATGCGGACAGAATTCTAATCTCACTTCATTTCCTACACAGTCAACGTCATCTAACCAATAATCTCCAATGATGTCTAACCATGAACTGTTACCTCTTATATAGATTTCAACTTCATCTGGTCTAAAAATAACGAGAGCACAATGGTGTGCATATTCTGAAATTACCCCAAGCTAGTCTTAAGTAGAGGTACGTGTTGGTGCGAGATTCTATGACGTGTGAAACATGGGATAGAACTTTTGGATAAGCATGGATGATAGAACTTGTAATCTACGCGTGAATCCCCCACCCTCTCTACAAAGTTTTAGCACTAAGTGCAACAAAGCACTAAATATGCAGACGTGGCAAGACAAATTACAAGAGAATCAAGTGAATAGATCCGGGGCTTTATTTAATGTGTAAGTATAAAGTTAAATATTGACAAGATTATAAAAAAACTGTAATTTATACTGACGTGGTAAGTAATTATAGGTCTTTGCTTAATGCGCCAGTGAACATATGACTGAAGAGAAATGTTAAAGATTGACTAATTATAAAAAGGGAGGTAATTTATAATGACGTGGCGAATGCAGCATATTCGTGGATTTCAATACCTGTAAGGGTTGAAGAATCCAAGCTGTCGACAGATTACTTGTCCAGCCTTTTTATTAAACTTATGATCACAGACGTTTTTCCAGGTTCCATTATGTAAAACTTCTACACGCCCTTCTGCAGGTGTTTGGCCACCGGTTAATCGCACTGTTTGTTCTGTAAACAAGACAATAATAATAAATCAGTTTACAAAATGCAGATGTGGGGCTTGGGAGTGACATTTACTAAATGATGAGCCCAAAATCTGTGTCACTTACCACATTTCACACCAACCACATCAGCACTACTACATGTATCATCCGCAAACCACAAATTGTTGCAGTCCTGCAGTCTGGTTTCATCTCCTTTACAATCCACGTCATCCAACCAAAAAGAACCATTGTTGATAATCCATGAATTATTGCCATTAACATAAATATCAACTTCATCTAGTCTGTAGCATATGAACTAATAATTATATAATTTTCTAATAATTTCTCCAACAGAAAATAATTACACCCCCCCCCCACCGCTATTATATGACCTGAATTTATCTTTATATTGTTTCTTAATAACTATTTTAGAAAATTAAATAACCGATTCTTGGAAGAACAAAGACACTAATTACTCGACACCATCTGAATATCTGCATCTCGGTTAAAGAGGTGATAAATCTTACTTAATTTTCTGTTCCTACCTATCTGGATCTAGAAATCCCAACTGTCGACAAACTACCTGCCCCGCCTTTTTATCAAATCCATCACCACACACATTCTTCCAGATACCATTATGACGAATTTCTAAACGCCCATCTCCTGGACCTCGGTGTCCTATTAATCGCACAGTTTGTCCTGCAAACAAAATGAAAAGTTTCAAAATACATGTTATATAATATATACATGTATATATAAAATTATTTTTTGGATATTCCGTGAGCACTCAATACCACATGACTTCGAGAAAGTCAATACACTAATGCATGATGTATTTTTTCGTATACATATGAAAAAATAAACCTTCATTTGATATAACAATCAACGACGCCAAGACAGGTTAATAATGTTCTGATTTTCCGAAGTAATACATTCGGTTGCAAAATCTAAATTAAATTAAGACTTTCTTAATATATCTTATACTACATCTCATAGTCGGAAGGCTATATACGTCCTAAATTTGTGCCGTAAGTAGGTGGCAGTGGCTACCAGTATATATGTCCTAAATTTGTTTCTTACCACAGCGCACCCCGACTACTTCATTACTTTTACAGTCGTTTTGCCCCCATGCACGATGGGCACAATCTTCCAGAATATCTTCATATCCCTCACATTTAGTATTATCTAACCAATACGAATTACCATTCTGAATCCATGAATTATTCTTCGTAATATAGATGTCAACTTCCTCAAGACTAGTAAATATATAGTTACGGAACAAAATGTATATAAAAATATGTTTCATAATAATGTCAGTCATAAAATAAATTTAATACGCTGTATTTGACATCTAACTGTCTCATTGTACATGAAATGGGAATAAGTTTAAAGATTAAAATTACTACACTTTGATACTGATTCTGTAAAAAAAAAAGAGACCAGGACTTCTATTTTTGTCCGCACACGGTGTAAATATGTTGACATTAGTATTGAGAAATGTAACATACTGATCGGGGTCGAGGAATCCTAATTGTCTACAAACAACTTGTCCAGCACGTTTATGGAAATCATCATCGCAAACATTCTTCCAGATACCATCATGAAGGACTTCTAAACGCCCATCTGCAGGCCCTCTGCCTCCTACTAAACGTATTGTTTGTTCTAAAGATAGAATGAGTTTATTAGCATAGAATCCACAATTAAAAGAAAAAATTCGCGAATTAGAAACTGTGTCCATACATGTAACTATAAATTTCAATACTAACCACATCTCACCCCTACTGTGTTTCTTATATTACAGTTGTTTTGAGCCCATGTCACATTTCCACATTCTTCCAGTTGGGTTTCGTTTCCTTGACAATTAATACCACTCATCCAATAAGATAGAGTCGTTGTAAAATCCCTTCTACGGAGACCACCCGCCAATTAAAAAATCTGTTGCGATGAATGGATAGCATACTTTCGTGATCTTTTGAACTCTAATAGTCCATTAACCGACCACTGGTACCTGGAGTCTTTAACATCACATGATGATCATTGTGATATTTGTGAAAGTGATACTCCCGAAGAATTAAATAAACCCATCACAGAATTTGAAGTTTCTCAGGCAATTAAGAGTGTCCGCAATAATAAGTCACCTGGCATTGATGGACTATGTAATGAACTGATCAAAGAGAGTGAGGCCATCATAAAGCCAGCCCTTAGCAATATATTTAACGCAATCCTGAACAGCGGGAACTTCCCTGAGAAATGGGGAAAGGCCATTATAAGTCCTATACACAAGAAAGGTTGCGTGGCCAATGTCGATAACTACAGGGGAATCTCCTTGCTGTCCAGTTTGTGTAAAATATTTACAAAAGTATTAAACAACAGACTACTATCCTGGTGTAATTTAAATAATATTATCCATGAGTATCAAGATGGGTTCCGCCAAAAATACTCAACTGTCGATAATATATTCTCCTTACTAGGTATTATAAGTAAATATCTATCGCGAAAAGGGGGGCGAATATATCTGGGTCACTTACCACCACATTTCACACCAACCACATCAGCACTACTACATGTATCATCCGCAAACCACAAATTGTTGCAGTCCTGCAGTCTGGTTTCATCTCCTTTACAATCCACGTCATCCAACCAATAAGAACCATTGTTGATAATCCATGAATTATTGCCATTAACATAAATATCAACTTCATCTAGTCTATAGCATATGAACTAATAATTATATCATTTTCTAATAATTTCTCCAACAGAAAATAATTCCCCCCCCCCCCGCCGCCGCCGCTATTATATGACCTCAAATCTTTATATTTTTTCTTAATAACTATTTTAGAAAATTAAATAACCGATTCTTGGGAGAACAAAGACACTAATTCCTCGACACCATCTGAATATCTGCATCTCGGTTAAAGAGGTGATAAATCATACTTAATTTTCTGTTCCTACCTATCTGGATCTAGAAATCCCAACTGTCGACAAACTACCTGCCCCACCTTTTTATCAAATCCATCACCACACACATTCTTCCAGATACCATTATGACGAATTTCTAAACGCCCATCTCTTGGACCTCGGTGTCCTATTAATCGCACAGTGTGTCCTGCAAACAAAATGAAAAGTTTCAAAATACATGTTATATAATATATATATATATAAAATTATTTTTTGGATATTCCGTGAGCACTCAATACCACATGACTTCGAAAAAGTCAATACACTAATGCATGATGTATTTTTTCGTATACATATGAAAAAATAAACCTTCATTTGATATAACAATCAACGACGCCAAGACAGGTTAATAATGTTCTGGTTTTCCGAAGTAATACATTCGGTTGCAAAATCTAACTTAAATTAAGACTTTCTTAATATATCTTATACTACATCTCATAGTCGGAAGGCTATATACGTCCTAAATTTGTGTCTTAAGTAGGTGGCAGTGGCTACCAGTATATATGTCCTAAATTTGTTTCTTACCACAGCGCACCCCGACTACTTCATTACTTTTACAGTCGTTTTGCCCCCATGCAAGATGGGTACAATCTTCCAGAATATCTTCATATCCCTCACATTTAGTATTATCTAACCAATACGAATTACCATTCTCAATCCATGAATTATTCTTCGCAATATAGATGTCAACTTCCTCAAGACTAGTAAATATATAGTTACGGAACAAAATGTACATAAAAATATGTTTCATAATAATGTTAGTCATAAAATAAATTTAATACGCTGTATTTGACATCTAACTGTTTTATTGTACATGAAATGGGAATAAGTTTAAAGATTAAAATTACTACACTTTGATACTGATTCTGTAAAAAAAAGAGACCAGGACATTTATTTTTGTCCGCACACGGTGTAAATATGTTGACATTAGTATTGAGAAATGTAACATACTGATCGGGGTCGAGGAATCCTAATTGTCTACAAACAACTTGTCCAGCACGTTTATCGAAATCATCATCGCAAACATTCTTCCAGATACCATCATGAAGGACTTCTAAACGCCCAACTGCAGGCCCTCTGTCTCCTACTAAACGTATTGTTTGTTCTAAAGATAGAATGAGTTTATTAGCATATAATCCACAATTAAAAGGAAAAAATTCGCGAATTAGAAACTGTGTCCATACATGTAACTATAAATTTCAATACTTACCACATCTCACCCCTACTGTGTTTCTTATATTACAGTTGTTTTGAGCCCATGTCACACTTCCACATTCTTCCAGTTCGGTTTCGTTTCCTTGACAATTAATACCACTCATCCAATAAGATCGAGTCGTTGTAATCCATGAATTATTGCCATTGACATAGATATCAATTTCATCAGGTCTGCAATGTTAATAAGTACTATGATGTGAAGTGGGCACACAAACAGAATAATCTGGTTAAAAACCGTCGTGCATTTAGAAGAATCGTTCAATATTTTCAAGTCGTGTTCTCATTTGCCAGGAGCTGGTGTGTAGTTGTTGGGATGGAAAACCAAGTTCTGGTGACACATTCATAGTGAATATTAAATGTCAGACCGACTTCGAAAAATAATTTGCGGTAACGTTGCTCTCCGGGCCAAGCTCTCCCACTAGAAATTTGATGCGTAAGCGCAGTAATAATTCTTAGCGAATTCCATGAAAGATTATTTAGTGTTTGGAGGAACCCGTAGAAAACATGCTGAACCAAGCCTTTTATGTGGGTTCTCTGGCAAGTTTCTTCGGAAACACTTGTCTCCAATATCACCCTAGGTGGAAACGGACTTAAAACCTCAAGCAACAACAACAAACCGTGGAAATCCAAAGAGGATCAACACTTGACTAAACGATACGATATGAAGCACGCTTTGGACGACTCAGTTTTCCCATCGTAAATATCGTACAGACTAAGGGGATGGATACAGAAAGATGGAAAATTATTTGCTAACTTTTTTTGCATCAAGCCTGGCCTACTAATTTACTGAATATTGTCGCAATACTTTTGCAAAGCTCTTTATGTTTGAGGTTTGATTGCAGAAAGTGTGTCTTTGTTGTTTAGTGATCAGCATAATACAACATTATAGTACCAAACAGTAATATATATTGTAGTAAAATTGGGAAACGGTTTAGTTTGAATTATCCAAATTGTTTCTTACCTTGAAGAATTAAACAATTTTAATTGTTGGCAAACCACCTGCGCAGCATTTTTATCAAATCCATCATCACAGACATTCCCCCAGACACGATCGTGATAGATTTCTAAACGACCTACTGAAGATCCAAACTCGCCTACCAAACGCACATTTTGTGCTGATAAAAAAATATAGAGAGAAATAACCAGTAATCTAAGAAAAATGTTCTGTTTTATGGTGTCTTGTTAACGGACCGTTTAGTACAGGGGTGACAAACATACGGCCCGCGGGCCCGATCCTGTCCGCCAAGGTTTATATGTGGCCCGTGGATCAAATTTCAACAAACTAACGTGTTGATAGCGTAGAAATCAGTTATTAATGTTTTCTGGTTTCGGTAAACTCTAAGTTATGTACTGTATGTCATACATATCTAATGTGTATATAATACAAGAGAAAGTTGTGTTCAGTATTATCTTGGCAATTTGGATACCGGTCTAAATAAAATGCCTGTGTCAAGGACATATTATGGCTTTGTTTATAGAATGTTTGTATATCTCCGGTCCACTTGAAGTACAATTTTAATTCATGTGGCCCCTGAATCGTAATGAGTTTGACAGCCCTGGCTCAGTACAATACTTTAAAATTCATTGTTTTATTTTGCCTGCAAGAACGAACTATTCTTTAATTTTCAATATCTCCTGTGTAGCTATCAATGCCAAATCTACTTCCCTTACACTAGAATGAAGTTTTTGATTTTACAACTTTACAAGAGGGGGCTAGCTGTTCTTTATATCCGGGATATAGAATTAAAAACAACAACTACTGTAGCTATGAATTTCTACTTAGTTCCGTTACTTTCTATTTGGACATGAATTATTATTTTAGTTGATGAATAACATAATGAATGCATAAACAGTGGAAATAGGGTTGGATATTTCTCATTGGTTCTATTCAGTGAGGGACACTGTAAGTCGGGAAAAATTTGTTCCTTGATTTTGCTGTTGTTTTCCAATGATAATACATTTTAAAATTATCATGTTGAATCTTACCTCTACAGGATGAAATCAAGATGGAAACGATTATCTGAAAGGTAAAATATTTTTCTGCATTGGCCTCATCACCACACAGATAACAGAAATGGGCAAAATAAGCCAATATGAAATATTGTTATTTCAACTAATTCAGATTGAATACAATTCAGCTGATCAAAAAAATAGGCGAAGTAAAAATTGATCTCTAGAATTGTGAACGAAATTGACTGAGTAACTTACCAAAAAGAATCCCATTACACTGTTCTAATGCAGAATTCAGGATGTATGTGTGGTCCACATTAAGTAGTAAGTCATAAATATTGCAATGCATCAAGATAAGAGAGCTAGCGCGACTTAGATAGGCCCTATATTTTTCAGGCAGTATGTGTCTTCACACACAGTGCGAATGATCTGCAATTTAAACAAATGACAAAACGCACAACTTTTTCGATTTGTTTAATCATGGTTATGTGATGGTGGCAAGTGTTTGAAATTAGACATTATAAAGATTAAAATGGCGTAATCATTCTTGACCTGGTTTAGTAGATAAGGTCACTTGACACAGAGCTTTAAGTTTTATATAGTTATTGGTAAATATAACATGTCTCTCTCGGCTATTATTCTAGATATATTTAATTGACGCGAATACAATCTCCCTAATAATGTATGTCTACTACATCGTTAACACTGGTCATCACGTGCATTTTGCATACCGATAGTCCATTGGCCAATCACGCTATTTTACCGAGATTTCGCCTAATAGTTTGGATGCAGCTATGGCGGGTGTGGCGCCAGGCAGGGTAAGCTTACTCTTCCGGACACCTGTAACCACTGTTTGTCGTGTATTTTGTACACGGTGAACAGTCCATGTGCTGATTACACTATTTTGCCTTATTACACTATTTTGCCTATACCGTTTTTTTTTAGGACTTCGAATTTTGTCTAATGGTTTGGATTGTTCGTACTTGGTTTTATTTTATTTTCATAGTTACATATAGACTTCAATGCTTCTCTCCAAACCCATGCACCGCCGCCCCTCACCCACCCAGAGCAAACATACAAAAACGTCATGGGAATCCGGTTTATAGGCACAATGATGCAATATTCATGTGGATTTGTTTTTAATCTTTCAATGTGGGACAAAGACCTGTTGCGAGATAATAAATTTCTTCAGAGAGCAGTTTCTGCGAATAATCTCCGCACTTTGACCCTAGTTTTTTTTTAGATTGTATGGTATTTTTTGGCAAGTACAAGAACTCACCAATGATTGTGTCAGGTCATCATTTTTATTCCATTGTGATGAAACTTAAAGTCCCTGTTTGTGATTTGAAAGATATAGCAATCCTTCGCGAGCAGCAATATTGTAAAGCGTTGAATTTGGAATAGAAATATCAGTCCCTAAATGATTAAGTTCCGTTCAGTATTTAAAAAGATACGCTGAAGCGAAATTCCATCGATGTATGCCGCCCCTTAACTGAATGGCACACTTTGCCCCTACTTTCTAGTCTCGGTCACCCAGAACCTCCTAGTCTTCAACATAATATTTGTAGAATATTTTTGGGGATGATTGAGACTACCTACTTTCTCTCTAACAACACCCCCAGAGGCTGCCCTTGACGCTGCTACTAGCATGTTAAAATGACTAACAACTTACGACTACTAGCAGGCTAATTATAGGCGGATAGGGTGCAGAATATTTCGACAAAACAGGTCTTCATTCTCTAAGTTGATATTATAACACGACCACCACCATCTATCGTGCTGGTCAACTGCATTGTGATTGATGGTGCGTCAAAGTTGATCAAAACATTATGTAATTTCAAGCAGTATTATCCATTATAAGGACACCAACAGTGGTGATTGCCACCTTAAGCATAATAATTAAACCTTAAATTAGGTACCACACTTCACCCCAACTTCTTCAGTTACATAACAATCAGTCTCACTCCAACCTTTATGTCCACAATCTTCTAGTCTGCTTTCATTTCCTCGACAACTGACTTCATCCAACCAATAGGAACCATCAGTTGCATTTACAAACCATGTATTATTGCCATTCGAATGTATATCATCCTCCTTAAGTCTGCAATGCAATTAATGGAAGTGTTCGGCTTGCAATGGAGAAACCGATTCTCAATTGCGTGGCATCTTAACAACTGGAAACATGTCGCAAGACATACCGGTTAATATAGATTATATGCATTTTTCTACAGCCTGTGTTTCCGATCCTACAAATCGTGATTCTTGGGCTAGACACCACATTAATACCCATTAAGCATATCATTACGCAAGTAACCTGTTTGTAACTAGAAGTATTTAACAATCCTAATTGTCGAAAAATAACCTGTGCAGCATTTTTATCAAAGTTATCATCACATACATTCTTCCAGATACCATCATGACGAACTTCCAAAAGACCAACTGCCTGTCCCAGTTCTCCAATCAAACAAAACAAAAAATGCAAATACAAGGTCAGTTGAGTATCGTTAATCTAACATGTTTAACACGGTGAAAGGTGGCGTGGGCCCTGCAACACTGGCAAAGGGGAAACCACAAGGGAAAGCAGCGGGAAACTTTCTCGATCACCCGACAACCTGTTTGATGTGTCAGCGGTTTACTACCTAAACAATCTTTACCCTCATAGAGTGAGAGAGAGGGGGGGGGGGTCTCGTTTTTCATTCCGATTCCTATATCGGCGTATTTATGATCAGTTTACATGGTAAAATTGCCCATTTGTAGAAACTATGATTTTCATTTAATAACGTTAGTTATTATAATATTTTATTTATGTTCATGTTATTGAGAAATGTACCTCTAAAAGTAGCTTCATGTCCATAGGTAGCTGAAATAGAAATGAAATAAAATGAGGTTTAACATCCTACTTTTCTGCTCCGACTGGGCTAATAAAGACGAAGCTAAAATAGAAAGGTTTCTTTATATAGGCATATGAATACATATAACTCATCGGGTGCTTCAGTTACATTGGCTGCTACTTTAAAATGCTTCATTTATCTCTTAATAATTTCAAAAATAGTTTCCGCATTTTATATGCAGCAAATAAAACGTAAATGTACATCCGTAATGAACTCGGACAGTAATACTAACGCACTCACCCCGACAATGACATTATGCACCCACCCTGACAATGAAATGTAAGAAAGAAATTGAGTTTAACGTCCACTCGGCACAAACTAGGTCATTTAGGGACTAACATATGGTTCAATTTTATGGCTTTATACTCGGTTGGTATATCTGTGATGGTAAGGAAGAAAGAACGCATTATACTTAATGTAGTTTGATTTGTACCACCCTGTTTTCGAAATGCGTTATTATTGTGTTTGGAATAACAAACTGTCCTTTATATATGATCTGCTGTAAAACACGGATATTTGATGCTAAAATTATCTCGTTCAGGCTTACCTCTACAGGATGAATTAAAAATCAAAACGACTGTCTGAATGGTAAATTATTTTTGAAACATACGGATCAACAGATAACGAAAATGGTGTCTCTTGATGCACAAATAACTTTGGTCATTGTTCATTTCAAACCAAATAAAATCCCCGCATTTTCCACCGTGTCAAAGGGAAAACTTTTTTTGCGTAGTTTATTACCATGGTCGGTTGCAATAACTGATTAAAATTTGAGTAAATAGTCAGCTGATCAAAATACTAGTAAAATATTTACCTCTGGAACTTCGAATGAAATTGACTGAGTAACTTACCAAGAAAAGTCTCATTGAGCTGTTATAATGATGAATTCTTGTTAAAAGACTGGTCCACATTAAGTAGTAAATCATAAACATTGAAATACATCAAGATAAGAGTACTAGTGTGACGTTCATAGGTCCTACATTTTTCAGGACTGTTAGGTATATAATGACAATACCGTCTTTACACAGTTTGTCATTGACTTTTAATTAAATTTTAAAAACTCACCATAAAATAGATTAACGGGCAACTGTTTTGATTATTCATTTTTCAAACGTTATAAAGATTAATTAGGTAAACTGTACCCCCTTCAATCTATTTCCAACGTATGCAGGATCATATTTATGGTAGCTGTCCCTGGCTCAACAGTCAGTCTTATTTTTCATGAGTCTGATTAATTCTAATTGACGGTTTCAAACTAATTCTTGTTAGTGACCGGTATCAGAGAGAGATTAGGCAGTAGACGAACAAACGGTGCTGCTTCAAATACATCAGTAATCATATAACTGTTGTATTTACGATGATCATCCTTGGGTGCCCGTTTAAGCATGAATGAAATGATGTCGCTTTGTATAAATGATCACCCTTGGATGCCCGTTTCACCATGACTGAATGGGATGCAGTTTCATGACACTTCACCTCCAACAGAAACATAATTATATAAACATGTACATATATAAAAGCATAAATCACAGATAATATATATAAAAGTAAAAACAAATATCCAATTTTCTTTATGTATATTCATGAAAGCAAAGCGGTTACATGTATAGGCCTACGATTAATATCTATGATACAAATTTTTCACTTTTAAAAACATTTACATCTTACAATATCCGTCCCCATAGTTGCAATATGAAAATACCGCTCTTCCCCACTTCTGTTCTAATCGCAAAACGACCTTAGCACAGAGGTGGGGAAGAGCAGTATCTTTTAGATTGTAGCAATATAGGGGCGGAAAGGAGCGCACAGGTCCGATCTTAGACCGTTGGCAAAGGAACTACTTGCACTAGAGCTTCAGGTACGAGCAGATATAATTGTTCATCAATATGTATGGTGTTATATGAATATGGTTAGAAAGAAATGCTTTCTTTGTAGCATACGTGCTAATTTAATACCTCGATTTCATTGGAATCGACTGATCAGCCCGACCTTGAAGAATTGAAGTGGGCCATATTTCAAATAATCCTAATCAGTCGTATGCAACTTTCACCGTTGAGGGACAAATAGTATGTATCAAGATTGACACAAAGCAGGCAGTGGTAAGGAAGGAAGGAGAAAAACAATTAAGAGATGACACTCTTTAAATTTGTTATCTAACAAAGCACCTGCCCCACCCCCACACACTCCATGATTTATTTTGCTTAATGGTTAATCCAGCCCTGCTTGTGCAATAGGACAAATGTAACAATATAGGTCGAATTCACCTAATCTTTTGGTCCAGATATCTGAATATAAAATATCAAAGCGAGAGTGTTTGTATCATCCAAGTTGGAGAGGTATACTTTATTTGTAATTCGATGTTTTATATGTAATATCATACACGTTGAATTAAAGATGCATTCTGTTATATAAATTGTTATTTAGAAGAACATGGTTTTCCTGGGTTCGTATTAAAGAACACAACCTGAAGTCATATTGAAGTCCTTGGTAAACTACATTTGTAAGTCCATTTTGCAACTAAAGGTAAAGGTAAAGTCAAAGACTTGTTGCTATCCCACACGTGGTGATGCTACAACCCTAGGATTATATCTGCTACGGAGTCAGTGGCCAGGGTATAATAGCAAAACTTGAATTTAGTGCCACTTAGAGTTGCCTTTTTGATTAGCTCTAAATCAGTGGTTCTCAACCTTTTTATGCCAACGGCACACCTTGGAACCCATGAAAAAATAGCGGCACACCTGGCTAAACATATATGAAAAAGATTTGAATTTTGCAAAATAGAAACATCGTAAGTCAGACGGAATACAACCGTAGACAGAGACTAGTCATAGACACAGAATGACTCAAACTAAAAAAAGAAAAACACAGCTCATCAGTAGACTCCAGTGAATACTCAATTGGGATCTCTGCTCTAAATCATGAGAAACCCGGGCCAAGACTTCAAAGTTTTATTATTATTTTTATTGAATATATATTATATTAGATCCCGCAGTGTGGCGTATGATATGCATCCCAATTAAAAGTCAGAAAGGGGGGAATGGGATGGATGTCCCAGTAAAATACAATAATTACAGGGGGTAATTAATATAGGTCAAACAAGTACGAAAAAGTGGATAGCATTTTATTAATTCGTTTCGAATCTTAAAAATCTATCCTGCGTGACAACGCTGATGACATGAAGTATCGGTGGAGGAAGTGCTACAAGATCTGACATCACACATAACGTCGACAATTCTTTGACCATTGTCGAAATTTACGATAAAAAAGAAGTGCGTCTCGCTGTCCGTGTATTTTGTTATATGTGTTCCTCCATCTACTTCACACCTAGTAAAATAAATACATATATAACTCGTTCATAATAATAAGCAATAAACCCCAACGCCCGGGCTGTGTGGTTTACATTAAAAAGGACAAGTACCGCCGTACTATGGACCGGAAACTCTATGACGTCATCGCAGCCATCTTGGAATTGTTACTTCAGATCAAATTACAAGTCCCACAATCGATATGCAATTAGCCAAGGAAAAAACTTTTCAAGTTTCATGTCGGTTATTCATGAATTGGTGCCCCCCCCCCACCACTACCCTCACAAGAACAACAAATCTAACAACAAGATAGCTATCGCTTAGGGACTAAAAATGTTTCAACATATTATGTTAACACCTTTAATGTGAAGCGGTTTAAAATGGGTGTTTTGGACTTTAAAACAGTCGAGCTTAATCGTCGTTATAACAATGACCAGCTATGTCATCGGGATAAATTGTTGTTCTTACCCATCTCGTATCAGTATTACAGATTGACTTTTATCGGCATCTTGGCTGGGCTTGGCGTAACAATTCTCTACTACCATTCTTATCCCAGCTATAGCCGGGCCTTGTACTTGCACATAAATATTGTCGCCAGTTTTTAATTCTGCGGCGATATTTTGTATTCTGTGTTGGTAAAGGGCATCGCCATACAGATTGATGTTTGCTGTCAGCTGAGAAGTGCTGGTTACGTGATGCTGATGATTTGAATCAATTGGTTTAAAGGTGACCTCAATCGTCTTATCACGTGACACTCGGCATTCAAGATCTACAGACCACCGGAAGTGTTCCCCAAACATATTTGGAAAACGATTAATATACACTAAATAGTTCGTAAACAACAACGTTTGATTATCAATCTGAAAAAGTAACAACTTGTAATATTTTAAAATGGAATAAATATCGGGACTGTGAGATTATGACCCACAACTCCAAAGATATAATATTTAACCCGATCAAGGACATTTCAACTATTAGAATATTTACCTTCATTCAGGAGACCTTTTCTTCTGATACCCGAAGTAAGTCCACTTACCATTTTTTTTATATTAAACAAATATTGAGTAGCATCTTATAAACGTTAAAAAAGGAATGTCGCATTGATGCTTTACACCAATTGCTTGAGTAACCCGGTAGATTATGGATCTAATCTGTATGGATCTAATCTTATTATGTGGTAAAGAAATTAAGTTAAATAAGGTAACCAATATGCCTACCTCTGTCGTCTTGGTTGAACAAACGTTAAAATTATGACGGAATACCAGTGTGGTATTGCTTTCACGTCGACCAGTACAATTATTTCCCAGTGTAAAATCTTGATCTTTAAAATCAGGAATCATACGTTGTAATCCAACTAAATCCAATTTAACTTCAAAACTATTTGCAGAACAGGATAATGACACCACGTTTTCTATTGGCATATTCACTAATATGAAAAATATTATACATAAAAGATCTGTGACATAAGACATTTTCATTTAGACCAACATAAAGTATTGATTTAATCTGATGTGTTATTTCGATTTTCATGGGGTAACTCTTAACGGTCACATATACAAATATTTGTTTCATATTTGGCTGTGTCGACATTGGAACATAATATCGGTTATATCTATATCATTCATAAATATCCAAAATGGCGACTCAAACTCGCGATTTTCGGGAATTTAATGTATTTAGTCGAACCACTAATAGTTCCCGGTAAATCATCATATCGGCTGTTTTCGAATAAACTTGTGATGTCAAGATGCGGAAAATGTTCCTATGATCATTAATATCTAACTCATGCAACGAACTGGTGTGGAAAATGTTCCACGTATCATTAATATTTAACTCGTGCAACGAACCGATGCCTAATTGTCGAGAAATCGGCAGCATTCGTTTTCTAACAAATCCTGCCAATCATGCAGTAGCCACTGGGGCGAAGCTTAGGAACCGATTTAACGCTGATTAATGGCCGATGAGTTTTACCAGAGATAACGAAGGGTAAAGTTATCTCTGGAATCGAGATTGGCAATGACAGTCTAAAAAATGTAAGTAGGCCAAATATAATACAACCTGTCGATGTGGGTGTTGTCAGGATTAACTTTGTTACTAAAACAGGAAGTACAAAATAGTAACTCACTGCATCTCATTCTCAATCTTTCACCAACAGGACATGTTTCTGACCTGTTATATTGAGGGCATTCAATAGGTCTTTGTTCGTTACCCGAACAGTTAAATACAATAGGTAAGCCGGGTGTTTTGGATACCCTTGGAGACAATTCTTCTGCAAACACACTGTAAAAAAAACAGTAAGTGCATCATTTAGTTTTCCTATTAAATGATGAATCCCTGATATATGTCCGTGAATAAAACCTGTTAATTATGTGTGGAAGACGCCTTAAGCCCCATATTCTAGTACCAAACAACTGGCGACCGTCGGTAGTATTTCAAACAAATATCAAAGTCGTCAGGGAGCGTTAGGGATAAACGGCAACTTCCCACAAACAACTGGCGACCGTCGGTAGTATTTCAAACAAATATCAAAGTCGTCAGGGAGCGTTAGGGATAAACGGCAACTTCCCACAATACTTCCGTTTTATGTTTTCCAGTGAGTGATAGAATTTTGCAGGTTATTACTGTGTAGAAGTAACCTCTTAGCAAAGTTTACAAACTGTATCAAATAGTCAGGCCACTCAATGAAATATTTGAGCCGAGAAATCTAAACGGGTAATGTAACCCTGTTAATTTTTTTTTCTTTCGTATTGTACTTATGTAAGCCTACTAATGACTTACCATTGAAAACTCCAGGTCATAACGAATATCGTAATTATCGTGAAGCACTTATGCACTTCATTTGGAACGCTTTACAGCGAAATGTAGGCCTATATAGGCAAAAAACATTCTACTAATAAAATCGACGTCAGCAAACTAACCTTTCTTTTTTTTTTAACATACCTTTCATTATATCCAAGATAATAACAAACAACCATCCCAAATTCTTCAGTATAATCGTCAGCACAAACACCATGCCATTCTCCATTATAATATATTTCCACCAAATTTCTAATAAAACTTTCATTATTCAATCTTACCCTCATCTCAATATCGGCTTAAAAGATACGAAACGATTGCATATACCCAATATTGCTATTACAATACATGAGTTTATCCAAATTTTAAAAACCGACACAGCTCAACTGGTAAACTCTCGCTTCAAAAAATACTTTTTATTTTAATCGACATTTGATTGGACACTAACAAATGGGGACCTGTCATCTTAACCAATTAATGTGTAAACGAAATAACTTCGATTTATCTTTTTAAAAAATATTTCAGACAATTTCAGATAAACTTATAGTATATACTGTTATGTAAGGAATCTAACACTTTCGAAACAGCCGAACATCTAATTACATTTCCCTTTTTAAGTCCAACAGACATTACCGTCATAATTTTCGATATTAGCCATAAATTAATATTGTCCAGCAGAATAACTGTTTATGGCCAAAATAATTTAAGACTTTTAATTACTAATGCTCAAGAAAAAAAATATTTTTGGCCATAAGCACCACAAGGATTTAAACAGTTGTTGGAAGCGTGTAGATTAATAAGAATCCACAAAAAGCTTTTTGAACTCAAGCAGTTTCTTTATGCTGGGATACTAATAGTTCCCAAAAAAGCACTTTCTGTTGTAAAAAAAAAAAACACTTAGAATTTCACGGAATATTAATAGTTCCCCTCGTTAAGCAAAATAAACTCATTATCTACCTACCACACTTTACCCCAACTGCCTCAGTTACATAACAATCAGTCTCACCCCAACCTTCATGTCTACAATCTTCTAGTCGGTTTTCATTTCCCCGACAATTGACTTCATCCAACCAATAGGAACCATTATTTACCAACCATGTATTATTACCAACCGAATAAATATCAACCTCCTGAGGTCTGTAATGAAATTAATATGTATTTCGTTTTCAATGGAGAAACTGGTTCACTAGACCTACGGGTCAACATAGATTTTATACATTAATAGTCTATGCAAAAATATTTCCGGTCCTACTAAATGGTGATTATTTGCGACTGTGTTGTATTATAAGGTTTTGTGATTTTTTGACGACACAAAGCACATTAATAGCATATTGTATTATCGAGACCAAAGTTGTTGAAAATTAGAAATGTTGGCAAACCTGGACATAATTCCAGAATTGGTGCCCAACATGACACAGGTTGTGCTTGACTAACTTATTTAATGTAAAGATGTTTATGGTTTGGTTTATTACTAATATGTACTGAATTTATATGCCTGTGGTGTTGTCTTTGTAATAGTTTGTTGTCTTTGTAATATTCTTCCTTAGTTTGAATGTGTTTATGGGTCGACTGCTACTTGTTTGCCATCTGGTACCTATCATGTTATTAATTATTTCAAGGTTATTTTCAATTCTCTGTCCTAACACATTGAACTTTTGATTAAAGGGTAATTCAGGTTAACATTTCTTTGAAGTCAAGATGTCATTATCGGGATGCTAACAAAAACCAGCGGCTGCCAGGCAGGATACGCCCACATTTTGCAAGAAATGGATAGAGAACAAGCTAAAAACAAAAACGATTTTTAGTACAATCAGGGGCAATAATCCAGAAAGTTATGGTCTGGAATGCGCAAAAATATCAAAAGGGACTGAGATTTTTGGGATATAAAGATATGATTTAAAGGAGCTAAGTCGCTAATGTTTGAGACCTAAAAATTGACACAAGTGGGTTGCAACGCAAACAATAATGTAATATGAATGTATATAATTTGATTTACATTTAATCGTTTCTGTTTTTACTGTAATTTTTAATCAATTAGGTTCGGCGAAATACGCCAGTATTCTCAATCGAATTTCAATCTCTAGCGTCTAGTTATTGTAGTCTACGCCGATAGTATTTATTGGGCATGCTCTCCAGATAAGAATATACCGTCACCGTTTGACATGACTTGTGGAATATGACTAGAGCCTCGTTTTTCGAGTCCCTTATTACAAATAGCGCCGAAACGTATTATGGTACACGATTCGTGTACCAATTGTAAAACGTTTATTTTGTCTTAAATATTGGATATCTGAAGGTCATCTTTTCCCGGTAAGATCACAACATTAATGTTGATTTAAACCGACAAAAATTCGTGTTTTCAATGTCGAAGATTTTGGATGATATTGAGTTAGAGACTTAGCTACTTTAAAGTTTCATCAGAATTGGACAAAAATTGTGACCCCTAGAGGGTTGACAACTTTCGTATTGCACACTTTTACACAATTTTCGAACAAAGAGCGGGCATTTTGTTGGGCAGTTTTATTTCAAATTTCCGAAATTCGAATTCATCCTTCATTATGGTGGAATGGTGAAGTATTTAAAATCGGAAAAAAATTGTGATCTCTAGAGAATCTGCAAGCTAAAAATGCCATTTTTCGAACAATCAGGGCCATAATCCAGGAAGTTAAGTTCGGGTATCCGCGATTATCAAAAGGATCCATGATCTTAGTGTGTAATGGTGATATATTTACACATTTTTTTAATCAGATAAAAATTGTGACCTCTACAAGGACCACAAGCTAAAAACGCGATTTTTCGTACAATCAAGGCCCATAATTCAGTAAGTTACTATCCGATATGCCGAATATCGAAAGGAACCAAGATCTTTGGGTTATTAACTTACATTTCAAGTTTCATAAAAATCAAAAGAAAATTGTGACCTCTAGAGGGTCCACAACATTAATATACCATATTTTTACACTATTTGAGTACGAGGGGCGGCCATTTTGTCTGTCAGTTTTGGGCCGTGAAATTCGAACGCAGCCGTCCTTAGGGTTTAACGGTGATATAATAATACGTTTTTTTTAAATCGGGTAAAAATTATGACCTATATAGGATCCACAAGCTAAAAACACGATTTTACGTACAATCAGGGGCCATAATTCAGGAAGTTATCGCGCGAAAGGAACCGGGATAATAGGGTTATAAACTTACATTTCAAGTTTCAACAAAATCGGATAAAAATTGTGACCTCTATAGGGTCAACAACCTTGATATACCATATTTTTACGCTATTTGAGAACGAACGGCGGGCATTTTGTCTGTCAGTTTTGGGCCGATTTTTTAGAAATTCGAACTCAGCCACCCTTATGTTTTAACGGTGATATAATATAATACGGTTTTTTAAATCGGATAAAAATTATGACCTCTATAGGGTCCACAAGCTAAAAACCCGATTTTTCGTACAATCAGGGGCCATAATTCAGCAAGTTACGTTCCGATATGCGAGAAAATCGAAAGGAACCGAGATCTTTGGGTTATAAGCATACATTTCAAGTTAAAACCAAATTGGATAAAAATTCTGACCTCTACAGTGTTCACAAGCTAAAAACGTGATTTTTCGTACAATCAGGGGCCATAATCCATGACGTTACAGTCCGATACATGCCAATATCGAAAGGAACCGAGATCATAGGCTGATAAACCTATATTTCATGTTTCATTGAAATCGGATAAAAATTGTGCCCCGTAGACTGTTCACAAACAATTGTGGACGGACGTACAGGGGCGACGACAATATACGTCCACATGAAAATGTGGGCGTATAAAAATTGTGACCTGTAGAGTGTCCACAAACCAATTGTGGACGGACGGACGGACGGACAAACAGGGGCGACGACAATATACGTCCACATGAAAATGTGGGCATATAAAAACATTCACTCAATTTATGACTGATCAACTGGAGGAAACCCCCAAAACGCAGCTCTGATTCATTATCCGAATCAAAGAAAAATTTAAATGTTTGATTTGTATCTTCGCTGATCATCTTCCCTGTACTGTTTCCTATATCTAATTCATCGTCCAGGTCACTATTACCCGTATTATTAGAATCAGTCACAACCACTTGATGATCAACAGTTCTCCTTTTTCTTCATCATTTATTCTTGAAGTTGACTTTCTTTTTAAATTGAATATCTCTTGTGAACACCACTCTATTGTCATACATCTCCGAATAATTTTTTAAAATCTTTCAAAGTGGAGAAGACCTCTAATATGAGATGTTAAAGAGACAGTAGGGAAACCTATGAGCGTTCTAAACTAACAGGATCAAAATTTTCTTCTTGAAATCCTTTGGAAAGCAAAGAAGCGGGTATTATCACGTCAATGTTAAAAGGTAGCGAAATTCATAACATTTGACTGGTTTTCCAACTGTATCCCTATCACTGACAGTTTTATCACTAGCTTAGTGTTCTAAATGATTTATGTAAACACTAAAGTTGTCCAAATTAAACGTAGAGTAAACAGTTTGAATGAAATCGACCACTCGCTCTCATAATAAAATAAAAGCTGTTCTTCATTGATTCGAACAAACTACGCAGTTCTCAAATTTATTGGGACAATGTTGGTAACTAACTATAAAATAATTTTGTCGGGAAGTTGTCAACAGTTTTTAAATAGGGTCTTAAAGAACTTTTCCGTGATAACTCAAATCGGTGGCACACACCTTTTTACAGCAAAGCTTTCACCCCACCCTTAATAAAACACTCTTTTGAAATTCTTGTGGAATGTAGTAATATCTTGTAAAACTTTTGTGGTAAAAACAAACCACCACAGACCAAAAATACTTATACTTATCAAAATTACATTCCACAGACTCTAAATTTTAATGAGATTTACTCAGTCAAGCTTCTGTCTCGTTTTTCTATGTCAAATCTCTTGTGGTGAAAATCTCCACATATATATATGTTACTACAAACGTCTCGGGGTTTATGTGGGATTTATAGTCTGCTTTTTGTAAGGTCAGAAGGCGGATGTTTACATTTGAAGCACATCAAACGAACATTACACTAGCTACTGTACGTCAGTTACGGTGAAATAATGATCTTAACTTCTTCAAAAAAATTGTACTGTACAACGTCCGTGTGCTCCCGCTTGCGTCCAAGTTTGAATGTTGAATTGATAAACCAGCAGAGAATAAAAATCATCAAATTGCAGCCTAAATCATATAATATTTCTACCTATAAGTATTCAGTAATCCTAGCTGTCGACAAACAACTTGTGCAGCATTTTTATCAAAGTTATCATCACATACATTCTTCCAGATACCATCATGGCGAACTTCCAATCGACCACCTGCCCGTCCCGGTTCTCCAATTAAACGAACAGTTTGTTCTGAAGGCAAAACAAACAAAAACATAAATACAAGACAAGTTGATTATCAGCAATCTAACACGGGTACGGCCGAGTTAGGTAGGACCGGCCAAATATTCAAAATCCTGTAACTTTAAAAAGTGTTTTTCGTGACACTTACCACACTTGACTCCCACTACACCATCACTAGTACAGTTAGTTTGTCCCCACACAGGTTGACTACAGTCTTCAATCCAACTTTCATATCCTTGACAACCCAATTCGTCTAACCAGTAATCACCATTGTTTATAATCCATGAATTATTACCAGTAACATAAATATCAACTGAATCAAGTCTGTAATAAGCGGGAGTGTGTATATTTCAAACATCTATTTACGTGAGATCGATTGATATGTAGACAACTGATCAGCAAGAAATGAAAAGTGGCAATTGGCTTTAATGTCTTGACATTTACGTGAGATCGATAGATATGTAGACAACTGATCAGCAAGAAATGAAAAGTGGCAATTAGATTTCAGGTGGAACTTAGTGTTAATTTCACAAAGGAGACCATCACGGGCAAAATGTCATACCGACTCTTAATTTATACAGAATAATGAAATTTTTACTACCTTTGAGGGTCGAGAAATCCTAACTGTCGACAAACAACCCGTGCATCCAATTTATCGAATTTGTCACCACATACGTTTTTCCAAATACCATCATGAAGAACCTCTAAACGACCATCTGAATTACCATTGTTTCCTATTAAACGCACTGATTGTTCTGAAGAACAAAAAAAACGAAACATCATATTGTGCAATGTTCTGTGGGAAAGTTTGAGTGGGGAGAAATGTTTAGTAATGCCCAAGCTAGTGTTTTGGACCTAGGTGGAGACATCCACCACGTAGTAGCTATTTTATCGTATCTACTCTAGTATTTTGTTAATGTCTATGATATAAAAGTCAGACAATCACTACCACAACCTATTATTTCACAATCAAATAAATCATCTTTACTTACCACACTTAACTCCAACTTCTCCAGCACTGCTACAATTGCTCTGTCCCCAAGTTGAATGTCCACAATCCTCCAACCTAGTTTCATTTCCCCCACAAACAATGTCATTCAACCAAAACGAATGTTGAGAAGTAAGTCTTGAATTTTTTCCACCATATATATTAACTTCGTCCGTTCTAAAATGACAATGACAAGACAGTTGAACTGTTATGAAGCCGTATGAAAATTCTTGTTTTCCTTTTGGATAGATTAGTTTACTTCAAACACGGCTTTCATAAATTTGGCATAGAAAATAAAACATTTGATCAATTATGTCTTGTTAACTTTTCCGTATGGTATAAGTGTCATAAGCAATAGCTTTCCTTGCAAAGTATTTATACCACTAATGCATAGTGTACAAACTACGTACCTATTAATGTTTAGGAATCCCAATTGTCGACAAACAACCTGTCCAGCCTTTTTGTCAAATCCATCCGCACAGACACTCTTCCACGTGCCGTCATGCAGAACTTCCAAGCTCCCATCTGCAGATCCTTGATCTCCCCTAAGCCGCACTGTTTTAACTACATGTCAGTAAGGATTAATACAAACAGAGAAAATACCAGTAGTAACGGAAATTGGGTATATCATTTTACAAAATTAACACGAATGGGTGTTGAAAAATATTCATTTAATTACTATTACTATTGAAAATCTGAAATACTTCAGTCATGTCTAACCTTGGTGGGTGGGTGTGAGTGGACTCCCTTGAAAGGAGCCACAATAAAGCAATCGTTTTTTTTTCTCTATCGGCATATAATATTCCTGTCACAGTCAGAAAACAATATTTTATCTTAAATAATAACTGAATAAATAGAAAGTCATGAAGCTATCCCTTATCTCAGACCTAGTGATTCTTCGCTTCGGATATAAAACCAAACCTGTAATACTTTTAGACACTTACCACACTTAACCCCAGCTACTTCGTACAGACAATTATTTCCTCCCCAAGTTCTATGCGGACAAAATTCTAACCTCGCTTCATTTCCTATACAGTCAACGTCATCTAACCAATAATCTCCAATAATGTCTAACCATGAACTGTTACCTCTTATATAGATTTCAACTTCATCTGGTCTAAAAAAAAAAAAACGAGAGCACAATGGTGTGCATATTCTGAAATTACCCCAAGCTAGTCTTAAGTAGAGGTACGTGTTTGTGCGAGATTCTATGACGTGTGTAAACATAGGATAGAACTTTCGGCTTCGCATGCATGATAGACCTTATAATCTACGCGTGACCCCCCCACCCTCTCTACAAAGTTTTAGCACTAAGTGCAACAAAGCACTAAATATGCAGACGTGGCAAGACAAATTACAAGAGAATCAAGTGAATAGATCCGGGGCTTTTTTTAATGTGTAAGTATAAGTTAAATATTGACAAGATTATAAAAAGACTGTAATTTATAATGACGTGGTAAGTAATTTATAATAAGCATGGATTAGAAAAGTGTCATTACTTGTTAGGGTCGAAGAATCCAAGCTGTCGACAGATTACTTGTCTAGCCTTTTTATTAAACTTATGATCACAGACGTTTTTCCAGGTTCCATTATGTAAAACTTCAACACGTCCCTCTGCAGGAGTTTGTCCAGCTGTTAATCGCACGGTTTGTTCTGAAAACAAAATTTGAAAAAAAGGTTACAAAATACGGATGCAGGGTTGGATGGCACCTTCATTAAATGACGAGTTTTCGAAGCCCAAAATCTATCACACTCACCACATTTCACACCAACTACATCAGCACTACTACATGTAGCATCCCCAAACCACAAATTGTTGCAGTCCTGCAGTCTGGTTTCATCTCCTTTACAATCCACGTCATCCAACCAATAAGAACCATTGTTGATAATCCATGAATTATTGCCATTAACATAAATATCAACTTCATCTAGTCTATAGCATATGAACTAATAATTATATCATTTTTTAGTAATTTCTCCAACAGAAAATAATTATCCCCTCCCCGGCCGCTATTATATGACCTGAATTTATCTTTATATTGTTTCTTAATAAGTTTTCTAGAAAATTAAATAACCGATTCTTGGGAGAACAAAGACACTAATTCCTCGACGCCATCTGAATATCCGCATCTCGGTTAAAGAGGTGATAAATCATACTTAATTTTCTGTTCCTACCTATCTGGATCTAGAAATCCCAACTGTCGACAAACTACCTGCCCCACCTTTTTATCAAATCCATCACCACACACATTCTTCCAAATTCCATTATGGCGAATTTCTAAACGCCCATCTCCTGGACCTTGGTGTCCTATTAATCGCACAGTTTGTCCTGCAAACAAAATGAAGCCTTCCGACTATGAGATGTAGTATAAGATATATTGACCAAATCTAACTAAGATTTGGTCAATATATCTTATACTACATCTATGGGCTTTAAGTAGGTGGCAGTGGCTACCAGTATATATGTCCTATATTTGTTTCTTACCACAGCGCACCCCGACTACTTCATTACTTTTACAGTTGTTTTCACCCCAAGCAAGATGGGTACAATCTTCCAGAATATCTTCATATCCCTCACAGTTAGTATTATCTAACCAATACGAATTACCATTCTCAATCCATGAATTATTCCTCGTAACATAGATTTCAACTTCCTCAAGACTAGTACAAGTACATAAAAATATGTTTTATAATAATGTTAGTCATAAAATATAAAATAAATTTAATACGCTGTATTTGACATCTAACTGTTTTATTGTACGTGAAATGGGAATAAGTTTAAAGATTAAAATAACTATACTTTGATACTGATTCTGTAAAAAAAAAAGAGAACAGGACTTCTGTTTTTGTCCGCACACGGTTTAAATATGTTAACATTAGCTTTGAGAAATGTAACATACTGATCGGGGTCGAGGAATCCTAATTGTCTACAAACAACTTGTCCAGAACGTTTATGGAAACCATCATCGCAAACATTCTTCCAGATACCATCATGAAGGACTTCTAAACGCCCATCTGTAGGTCCTCTGTCTCCTACTAAACGTATTGTTTGTTCTAAAGATAGAATGAGTTTATTAGCATAGAATCCACAATTAAAAGGCAAATTTCGCGAATTAGAAACTGTGTCCATACATGTAACTATAAATTGCAATACTTACCACATCTCACCCCTACTATGTTACTTATATTACATATGTTTTGAGCCCATGTCACATTTCCACATTCTTCCAGTTGGGTTTCGTTTCCTTGACAATTAATACCACTCATCCAATAAGATCGAGTCGTTGTAATCCATGAATTATTGCCATTGACATAGATATCAGTTTCATCAGGTCTGTAATGTGAATACGTACTATGATGTGAACTGGGAACACAAACAGAATAATCTGGTTAAAAACCGTCGTGCACTTAGAAGAATCGTTCAATATTTCAAATCGTGTACTCATTTGCCAGGAGGCTGATATGTAGTTGTTGAGATGGAAAACCAGGGTCTGGTGTACACATTCATATTGAATATAAAATATCACTCATAGTCTGACTTCGAAAAATAATTTGCGGTGACGTTGCTCTCCGGGCAAAGCTCACCCACTAGAAATTTGACGCGTAAACGCAGTAATAACACATAGCGAATTCCATGAAAGATAATTTAGTGCTTGGAGGAACCCGTAGAAAACATGCTGGACCAAGCCTATTATGTGGGTTCTCCACTTGTCTGCAATATCACCCTGGGTGGAAACGGACTTAAAACCTCAAGCAACAACAACAAACCGTAGAAAACCAAAGAGGTTTCGTTGTAATGCATGGGATCAACACTTGACTAAACGACACGATATGAAGCACGCTTTGGACGACTTGGTTTTCCCATCGTAAATATCGTACAGATTAAGGGGATGGATACAGAAATATGCCAAACAGATTTACTTATTTGCTAACTTTTCCTGCATCAAGTCTGGCCTACTAGTTTACTGAATACTGTCGCAATATTTTTGCAAAGCCTTTTATGGTTGAGGTTTGATTGCAGAAAGTGTGTCTTTGTTTAGTGATCAGCATAATACAATATCATAGTACCAAACATAAATGTATATTGTAGTAAAATTGGGAAACGGTTTGGTTGGAATTATCCAATTTGTTTCTTACCTTGAAGAATTAAACAATTTTAATTGTTGGCAAACCACCTGCGCAGCATTTTTATCAAATCCATCGTCACAGACATTCCCCCAGACACGATCGTGATAGATTTCTAAACGTCCTACTGAAGATCCAAAACCGCCTACCAAACGCACATTTTGTGCTGATAAAAAAATATATATATAGAGATAACCAGTAATGTTAAGAAAAATGTTCTTTATTATGGTGTCTTGTTAACGGACCGTTTAGTACAGGGGTGTCAAACATACGGCCCGCGGGCCAGATCCTGTCCGCCAAGGTTTAAATGTTGCCCGTGCAGTGGAACAAATTTCAACAAATTTACGTGTCGATAATTCTTAGAAACTAGCGGTGGAAATCAGTTATTATTGTTTTCTGGTTTCAGTAAACTCTAACTTATGTACTGTATATCATGCTATCTAAGGTGTATATAATATTATCTTGGCAATTTGGAAACCAGTCTAAAACAATTACCTGTATCAAGGACGTTTGTCTTTGTTTTTAGAATTCAATAAAGTTTAAGGACGTTTGGCTTTGTGTTTTCGAATTTTTGTGTAGATCTCCGGCCCACTTGAAGTAAAAATTTAATTCATGTGGCCCCTGAATCGAAATGGGTTTGACGCCCCTGGTTTAGTACATTACTTTAAAATTGATTGTTTTATTTTCCTTGCAAGAACGAAGTATCCTTTAATGTTCAATATCACCTGTATAGCTATTAATGCCAAATCAATCTACTTCCCTAGAACGAAGTTTTTGATTCTACAACTCTACAAGAGGGGACTGTTGTTTTTATCTGGGATATAGAAAAAAAAACAACAATTACTGTAGCTATGAATTTTATATTTAGTTCTGTTACTTTCTATTTGAGTATAAATTATTATTTTATTTGAGGAATAACATAATGAATGCATGAACAAAGTGAAAATGGGGTGGGATATTTCTCGTTGGTGTTGGCCGGTGTGTCCTATTTAGTGAACGACACTGTAAGCCGTGCAAAGTTTGTCCATTGATTTCGCTGTTGTTTTTCCCATGAAAATAGATTTTAAAATGATCATGTTGAATCTTACCTCTACAAGATGAAATTAAGATGAAAACGATTATCTGAAAGGTAAAATATTTTTTCTGTAGTGGTCTCGTTGGCAGACAGAGGACTGAAATGGGCAAAATAAGCCAATATGAAATATTGTTATTTTAACTAATTCAGATTTGAGTACAATTCAGCTGATCAAAACAATAAGCGGAGAATTGTAAACGAAATTGACTGAGTAACTTACCAAAATGAATCCCATTGAACCGTTATAATGAAGAATTCGGGGTGTATGAGTGGTCCACATTAAGTAGTAAGTGATAAATATTGAAATACATCAAGATAAGAGTACTAACGCGACGTAGATAGGCCCTATAATTTTCAGGCAGTATGTGTCTTCACACACAGTGCGAGTGATCTGGAATTTAAGACATGACAAAACGCACAACTATTTCGATTTGTGTAGTTAATAATGGTTATTGATGGATGCAAGTGTTTGAAATTAGCAGACAAATAGAATCATGTCATATTATTTTCCCAGACATTATAAAGATTCGAATGGCGTAATCAATCTTGACCTAGTTCGGTAGATAAGGTCACCTGACACAGAGCTTTGAGTATTATATGGCTACATACACCCCAATACTTCTCTCCAAACCCATGCACCCCGCGCCCCCCTTACCCACCCTGAACATACATACAAAATCGTCGTTGGAATCCGGTTAATAGGCGTAATGAATTCAATATTCATGTGGATTTGTTTATTACGCTTTCATTGTGGGATAGAGACCTGTTGAGAGATAATAATAAATTTTTTGAGACAGCAGTTTCCTCGACTAATCTCCGCACTTTGACCCTACGTAGAATGTACGTTTTTATTTGGCAAATACAAGAAATCACCAATGATTATGCCAGGTCACCATTTTATTCCATTGTGATGAAACTAAAGTCCCTGTTTGTGATTTGAACGGTATAGCAATTCTTTGCAAACTGCAATATTGTAAAACATTGAATTTGGAATAGAAATATCAGTCCATAATTAACAATTCAATTCCGTTCAGTATTTACAAAGATATAATGAAGCGAAATTTCATCGATGTATGCCGCCCCTTAACTAAATGGCACACTTTACTCCTATTTTCTTTGTTTTCTCTTCTTTTTCTTGATAGAATCTGTCGACAAAACAGGTCCTCATTTCCCCAAGTTGACATTATAACACGACCGCCGCCATCTTTTAAAACATGTTCTGGAAATCTGAGCAATAGTTTTATTTTTAAAGCCGATTGAATCCATGCCGAAAGATTTTGAGTTTTTCTTAATTAAATGTTAAATAATAAATCTGAGTACATATTACACGGATTAAGCTGTGTTTTTTTTAATTTTTTTCCGACAAAATGCAAGTAAGGCACCGTTACTTTAAAATGTGTTTATATCCCAAAGACCTCGGATGGGTTCTATTTTGGCACACATCGAATCGTAACTTCTTGGATTATTTCCCCTGATTCTCCGTAAGTCGCCTACATATCTAATACACTCTCTGATGTAGGTCGTAATTCTTAACGTACCCATACATGTTTATTATACAACAATCACATATTATGAGTTCGATTTTCATGGAAAGCGGGTCATACCCCCCCCCCCCGGTAAAATTGCTCCGTTTACCCAAATGGTGGCAAAACATGTATTTCATATCCCATGTTTGTGACCCTCTAGATGAACATTAAAATATGTGTTAAGCAGCAAAAGATCTTGGATGAGTTCGATTTGGTGCGCATCGGACCGCAACTTCTTACGTTATAGCCCCTGCCTTTTACACGAAATGTGTAACTAAGTAGGCTTTGTAGGGTGATGAATTTGGAACATGTTAGGGGCAAACGCTATCGATAATCAGCATTCCGGGACCTTTCTTTCCGGTTTACCCACACCCCATTGCCGTGAACACTATAGAGGGTATAGTTTTTAACATTTTTTCCAAATTTGGTGTGAAGCATTGGGTCATGAGAGGACGAACCCTAAACAGAAATCATCCCGCGACCTTTCGTTCTAGAGTTATGTCCCTTTAGCATAAAACCTCGTGAACGGATTAGAGGCTACATTTCAAACAAAGCTGAAGTTTAGATAAAGCTGCTGTGTGGGCATATTCAACGCTTTGCGTGGCTATCTTTTTTCTCAATTTGGTGTGAAGCATTTGGGCCATGAGAGGACGCACCCTATCGATAATAAGAAGTCTGTGTCGGGTGGGATGATTTACCCGATGCTACCCAATACCACCGCAATAACACCACATACTACCCAATACTATAATGATTCAAAAATAGTGATTTATATCGCGGGAAATGTACTTCAAATGCTGTTCCATTTGCCTCCCTATATCACCCAAAACGAGCAATTCATAACCAAATACTACCAAATACTTATCAAATACTACAAAATATGCTACCCAATATTATCAAATAACAGCCTAATATCGCCATATAGCAACACAATAGTATAATTACGGCAACGAATATTCAATAATTTGCAAAAAACCCGGTCAAAGAAAACGATAAAAAGCGGAAAGTAATATTGGGTAAATCGTCCCGTCGTATTTTGTTTTGCTGTGGACGTGAGTTGTGTGGAAGATGGCAGAATCCATTACAACAATATGTTTGCAAATTATGAAAGTCACGTGTTTTTCTCCAATTTTTCGAAAAGAATTGAAGGTGTTCAGTTATCGTTAATTGGAATATTTCCGGATTTAATTAAAAACGATAACTGGATGTTCAGCTGTATATTTTATAAACTGAATTTATTTTAGAATTTATTTTAATGCATTTTTAAATCTTTGTTAATTTTAAACTCTGAAATCTAGTTATCGGTTCTAAAGGCAGATAACTGCGTAAATATTTCATTTTTGTGTAAATTATCGAATATTCGTTGCAATTATTGTACTGGTGTGCTGCTAATTAGGATTGTATTTTATAATATTGGGCAGTATTTGGTAGTATTGGGATGCTTTGAGTTTGGTGATGTAGGGAGGCAAATGGAACAGTCAGACATCGATAATCACATTTGACGTACATTTACCACGATATATCTCACTATTTGTGAAATAAAAATCAAGTAGTATGCCCATTTTGCACCATTATGTTCTAGTATTGGGTAGTATGTGGTGATATAGGGGTGGTATTGGGTAGTATTGGGTAAATCGTCCGCCGGTCCGTGACCTTTTATTTTATACTCAGCTCAGGTATGTGAACAATCTGAAATAAGCAGCCTAAAACATTAAAACCAAATTCTTTAACCCAAACGCATTTGAGGTTGGATAGAACATCCGGGTCAGATTGTTCTGGCATATGGGCTAAGATTATATTAGAAAAGTAGGATGAAACATTTCTTTTCTTGAACAATTACAACTCTTAAATGACCGGACGAATCGTTAAATTCCATAATCCGTTAGCTAACGGACTGATGAAGTTAATCCAAGAGAGAGAGAGAGAGAGAGAGAGAGAGAGATGGGGTTTAACGTCCACTCGACACAAACTAGGTCATTTCGGGACTAACATATGGTTTAATTTTATTTCAATAATTCGCTTGCGCATAGGGGTCTTTAGAAGTGGGAGGAAACCGGAGGACCCGGAAAAAACCCACGAGGTTAGACAGGCGACCCTACTCCTTGTCACGTATAACCGGGGATTCGAAACCACGCCAGTCGACTCAATGACAGACTTTATGATACAGCGCGCGCACGCTAACCATTCAGCCACCCAACCCCCCTAATCCAAGAGAAGACTGTTTGGACATTGACTGAATTTTAAATTTTTAAATTCTTTGTACATGTATAACAACTTCATAGAAGTTAATATTAACAAAAAACTGAAGAATATTACACGTATATGTATTTCAAAGTGTATCAATAGGTATATCAATCCGTGCATATTGGCTTTGAAACTAAATAATTTTGACCAGCTGGTGTATTGAATTATTTTATGCTACACACTATCAAAACATTATAAAAACAGTCGATATTAAATTATCCAGTTAGAAAACTTTATTTACATAACTTTACCATGCACAATAGTTAATATTGTAGTTTTATTGTCACTGAGATTTTATTCCACGGAGGGTACAACTTAATAAGCGGACTCTGGTATGAAAAATGGATATTTATTATAAAATTCTAGAAAAATTAATTTTTCACATAGATAGTACAATTAGATATATGAACAGTTACCAGGGAAATTTCAATTTCTAATGTTATTTTAGATTCATAGTTCACGAACTTGTATGAATTTAGATATTCTAAACCAATTGGAAGGATAGAGCTTGGTCCATTATGCATATAACTCGGTGCAGCTATACTGCTAAATTTAGCTGGAGATAATTGTGATAACGCTAAGTTTAGTAATATTTATATGTGATCTGGTGTAAAACAAGGGTTACTATTAGATCGTATTATTTTATACTTATAGACTGGAATGGTGAGCTATTTCTCTCTGTATTGATATTTTGGGAATTGGTGATGAGATGACTCAGGGCTACATGGATTATGATCACTACCCTAAATTAACCAAGCATCAAAAATATCGAATCTATGAAACAGTCATCAATGTACAGGTAGGTTTATAATCTTAATTCCAACAAATATTGATTATGGAATCGATATCGATTTGGGGTTGTGTAACATTAGGTAGAAATGCTGCAAGGTTATCTCCTATTGTTCTGCTCCAACTGGGTTAATGAAGACGGGCATACGCCATACAGTGTGCACTGAGGGAAATTTTGTCCCGGCATATACTTTTATATCGAACATGTCAAACATGCGGCCAGCGGGAGAGATCTGGTCCGCTAGGGGTTTAAATGTGGCCCGTAGAACAAATTTCAACAAACTGCCATGTCGATAATTCTTAGAAACTAGTGGTGGATCAGTTAGTATTGTTTCCCAGTTTCAGTAAAACTCTGACTTCTGTACTGTATGTCATAGATATGTAATACAAGAGAACGTTGTGTTCAATATTAATTATATCTTGGCAATTTAGAAACCAATCTAAAAAATTACCCAGGCTTTGTTTTCAGAATTCGATAAAGTTCAATGACGTTTGGCTTTATCTTGATATTTTTGTATTTCTCCGGCCCACTTGATGTAAAATTTTAGCCTCTGAATCAAATTGGGTTTGACACACCCGCTGAAGAGAGTAAACAGTATCTCCATAGCAGCTCACCCGCATATCTTTACTATTATTAATCCTTCGAGTCGGTGCTCGAACAACAGATGATTTAGTCAAAACTATTTAAGGTTGTCTGTCATCTTTGGGAATATATATATCCACTTGTGTCATCGTATATTATCATTTGTTTTCTATGTTGCGCATGAATTACAATTATATCATGCTTCATTTTAAATAGGATAATGTATTTTGTTCATTTTTGGTTCGGTGTATTGAAATTATGAAGTAAAGTAATATACTGTAGTAATAATACTATATCTCTAGTCAAACAAATATTTATGTCAGAAAGATGCTTAACATTTAAATGACATTTAATGGCCGGTAGTGTTCCTTTAAAAAAGGTCAATTTACAACCATGATTAAGGGCCCATTTAAAGGACAATACTGTTAGTATAAAGTTTAAGGGCGTTCATATCCTTATTTAAAGGTCAATTTACAACCAGGGTTAAGGTCCAATTTAAAGGACAATATACCGTTATCATAGTTTCTGTCAACACAAGATAAATTTGCTTAGAAATTTAACAGCAATAAATCTGTAATTACTTCAATAAAGTTAGTTGTGTTAAACAGATGTCTGAAATCTCATTGGCTTTTAATTTACTCGATATGGCGAAACTATGAGCAGTAATACATAATATTGAGATCTTAAATAAAGTAACAAATAGAACCATATTAATGAATAATAACTTTATTTACATTGAATTTGGGTTTATTGAATAGTTGGTCGATCTTGGCCGCAGCTGTGCCTAGCTAAACTTCCCCACCTGTCAAACCGTTTCTACCTTATCTCAACAACCTGTCAATGTTGCAAATTAATGATCAATGCTTTGTGTATTACTTGCATGATCGACTCGCCAAAAACAAGTGTGAATTTTTATTTCTCTAGTCTTTTATTCAAATATCAATGTCTAGTCGCCGATTAAAGTCTATCCATCGACCATCGAACTGCTTGGTTTTGTGCCAGTGTGATGGAATAGAGTCTCTTTGCTTCAGTTCCAGGTTGTTTAAGATCAAGACAGCTAAGATGTTTGATCAGACCGTGAAGATAGGCCTGCCTTTGCTTTGTATAGTTGGACTGGTGCTGTTCATCATTTTAAAGCGTGAGTTTTACGTTTAGGTGAAGTGTATCCATTGATAAAAGTGTACTGACGGATATAAATTAAAGGCAGGAAAAGCTAAATGGTGTGCCTCTCAAAGGGGGTCGCTAAATATTCTTCTTAACGAAGGTTAAATTCTAGCTGTTGTCTTCATCAGGTCGTGTGCGTTTTCTGTGATATAGGTCTAGTAGTCACGTAATTCTTGCAATTAACCGAGACAACCCAGGCTTTAGTGTGGTACTTTTCTACGATTTCTTTCTTTCTTGTGAAGTCGGACGTAACCTGTTGTAAGCGAACTGTTGAATTTGCGAACTATTTTACCATCCCTATTTGGATATTAAATGTACGTGTTTCTGAGAAAATTACAACGCAGCTTGAGATAGTTGTACAGGTCTAACGGTTTCGAACTGTCCTCCACACAAAATTAACGACTCCTTTAACAGGAAAAGTCCCGCGGAACACGAATGTCGCGATGTGGCTCTGTGCCCGGTTTGGTTTAGTGCCAACACTGCTACACTAAAAGAGCAATGTTTAAATAGATATTTACCGGGGTTATACGTAAAAATCTATAAAAAGGCGTCGATGTTCTGCTACAAATTCTGTAGTAAATAGTCCCGAGGATTCCCTTTTCATTGCGTAAATTCACTAAATAAATTAGATACCATTTTACCACTATATTACTATCTAGGGAAAAGAAAATTACAAATAATCCACTGTAAACTAAGATTATGCTGCTCAAATCTACAAGGCCATAAATTCCTCAGAAACGTCGATGATAGCCCTGCTTGCCTCTGTTGTCACAAATTTGAAGATCCCGAACATTATTTACCCGTATGTCCCTTACATTCAGATGCAAGAAAACAGACAATCCATAACCTTCAACATAATCATAAAACAATCAGTTGTCTGTTTTATGGGTCAATAAAATTTTGTCTTGAGATAAACGCACTGATTTTCCAAGAAGTCTAACAATTTATTCTTTTATCAAAGAGATTTAAATCTCCATAAAACAGCTCTTAAATTATTTCAAGCCCCGAACACTGTACAAACATCTATGTCTCTGTAGTATCTATTATGTATCCTATATGTTCTATATGTAATTATGTATGTATGTATATGTTTATAATGTGTACATGTATCTAAACCAGAGAGAGGAGTCACACATAGGCATAGCCTGTTCCCCAATACAAATTCAGATTTAATGAATACAAATATTGTTTTAAAAAAACATCCCAATCACCAACAGGTTTAGCTCAAGATTATCAAAACGGGGTTAACTAAAAGGATAGAGGAACTGAGAGAACAGTCTACAACGATCTCTCCCAATATTTGTAAAGTAGAAGGTATAATGAAACAAATTTAATAACATTTTTGAAATTGAATGCCTTTCTGATTATAGGATAATATCTACTCGTTTAAATTTGTTAAGAAACAAAATGTCCCCAACGGGTGCATTATAAATCTATAGAGAGGCTGTGAATAGGAAGGAAATTTGTTTTTATTTCAGTTTCACCAACCAGTATTTATAGTGTGGATAGCATCAAGAAGGCAAGTACTGTTTCAAATTGAAGGGCGATTTTTTTTTTAACCAACATGGGAATATGTAGTAAGCATCGTCGTTTCATCTTGCAAAAAAAAATCCCCAAATTTTACTTTTATTAAATGTAATATCCAGTGTGTGTTTATGGCGTTTATCTTCTTTGTTATAACCAATGGTGTGGTAAAACTGTCACCATTGAATTCGTCGTTCTTAATGACTATTTAGACAATATTTAATCTGTATTTCTATTTTCAGATTATCAAGATTAACCATGCGAAACCAGGACCTAGAGATAGAGATCAGATAAAAAGACATCAATATGTTGATGCTGTATGTAAGAATAATACCCTGGGAAGTACTGGTAATATCCTTGTTTCTTCAGCCAAGAAAATGTCTTATTGTATTGTACCTACAGCAGAGTCGGAATTCTGGATCCGAACATTTCGGTGAGTCTATATAGATAAGAGTCTTTGATTGGCATATTCGATTCCATGTGACTTTTCACATTCAGATAGGATGTTCAATTCAGATAATGTGTAAAATTATCAAGCACTCTCTAAGATACAATCGTTCAAAATCTCAGTTGACGGGTAATGTATTTTATTTGGTGGTTTACTTGTAGTAGGTCAATTCTTGACTTTTCCATAACTAGCAGAATCTATGATGATATGGAATACGATTTTATTAAAAATAAATTTCATTGATCATGTTCTTGTTATAAACGTCTCACTAAGTGACGAAAAATTGGCATGCACGTAAAAGAACCTTCGACAGTTGGAATTCAATCCAAGAGCAGGCCATAGACACAGACTTTAACCCATTTCATTTCATTTCAATGGCAACGGTACTCACAATGATGGCAGTGTTAGATTTGAAATTGGAAAGGGTTCCCATACATAGCTTGCAGGATATAATGTTTTAGCAAAGGAAATATTTTCCAGTCATTAGTTATGTATGTAGGTTATTGACTATCAAGGAAATATACCTTGTCATTAAATCTATTTTACATCAAATTAGTTGCTTTTAAAAATAGACAATGCTACATCAACAAAAATTTGGTGTTACGAAATTAGCTGGATCACTTCACACTTAGACAAATATTGATCAAATATTTTATTTGGGCCATGCCCTTGTATTCCAGGTACCTCAACGATGAATCCAAGGAGGAAATAGACACAAGAGATTTGACGAAACTAAACAGTTTGCTTTCTCAGAACCTGCTACGACAGAATTTAAAATTATACCACATGGAGAAAGAGTCAGATGAAATTGTCGTTGATGCAACAAACAAGATTTTGTTTACAAGAAACCCCTACACAAGACTATGGATTGCTTACATAGAACATATGTTTTTACCAGACTTATGGAACGAGGTTGGGCGTAAAATTGTGTCATTTCGAAAATCTCCCAAACAGGAAAGTCTTCTGTGTGGAAATGACGTAACATTTGAAGAATTTTTGGATCACGTGCTACGCGAGGCGAAAAGCCCAGCAAATATGAAGAAAATTTGGAGGCCGGTTCAATACCTGTGCAATCCCTGCAAGTATAAACCAGATTTTATAGGAAAAGTTGAATATTTTGATGTTGATGCAAAGCATATACTTCAAAAGTTCGATTTATCTATATTACTAAAATCATATGAAAGCGAGAACTATGAAATTGGTGAAATGAAGAACATAATCCGTCATTATTTTCACTTGTATAACCAGGGTACCATTAGCAACTGTATTTCTAGAGCGGGATTGGCTCTGAGATTGTGGACCAGCTTTCAAGTGCGAGGTTATCTCCCTTTACAATCAGAATCGGCTCTACAGCATATAACAGAGAGAACTTTTGACGTCAATATTTTCAGAGAAATCGTGGTCAATATTTATGATCGTTACAGAAGTTCTAGATACCTGTGGAAGAACCAACATAACAAATTAACTACCCACGCTTTCCAGGAAATACCCTTCCGAATTTTTAAAGGTCTAACAACTGTCTATGAGTTTGACTTTAAAGCTTTCGGATATGAAATGTTCCCAAAACAATTTTTAAAAATACCCGGAGTTCCACGGATCTAAATAAAAGGCAGATAATTACGTATTTCCCTTGGTTTTAATTACTTTAGAATTTTTTTGTAAAACTGAAGACTTTAATTTGTAGCAATGGAGTTTTCACCACAAACAAAGGATGGCCCATATCGTTTCAAGAATAAGATAAATCCAAGCTACTGAACTACTTGAAAACTAAAATAATGTGTACGAATGTGTTATGACTTTTTAAAACGCCTATATCTCTGTGATGGATTAGTATGCAATCCAGGTAGAACAACTCGATAATTACAACATTCCATTGACTCAATGCCAAATCAATGCCGCTGTTAGAGAATACTGAACGATGCACAGCAATCCACACAGGGACAACTGCTAGTGTTACTGTTATGTTTTTTAAGGATTTGTTTTATACAACCCGAAGATGCATGAAGATTTTTATTAAATTAAGCAACTAATTTTAATATACATAGCTGGTTGAAATGAATTTTAATTTAAGCTGACATTAAATGCAACTAATAAATACTAAATTCAAAATAAATATAATGCACAGTCCGTGGGCGGTCGAATATCGTAAGGTTTTTTCGTTCATTAATCAGGGCTTGTATTTCCATCTGAAATAATAGAAAAGATGATATTTATTAGATAACGACAAAAAAAGACTAAAACTATTGCATGTTTTAGATAAAGTACTTAGATATAGGTTTTAGTTTCATCAATGAATACTGTAGTCGACATATTGTGATCTCACATTCATTTCTATTGAATAAAATATACGAAAAGAAATTGTGAAGAAGCATGCATGCCACATTTGAATAATATTCAAACATAACAAGTGTAAATATGCTAACCAGCATATTAGTGGATGGCGGCGGGAGGGTGATAATATCATCTCACATCCGATATATTTATACATTTCAAAAGTTTTCAACATTTACCTAATAAACTTACCACAGAAAGAAATTATTTAGTTTTTTGTAGGAACAATTTTTGCTTTAAAGTACCACATTCTACATTGACCTTCTGGTGTAAATGTGTATTCATTTCCAACATTGACACTTTTAAAGTTCCATAAATAGTTGTTCAATCTTAATGCTCCGGGCCCTGCGCAGTTCCAATCCAGTGGCACACCTACGCCATCTTTAGGGTATAACCCCAAGACGTCGCCGGCCTGAACCTTTATTCTATCTTCTGGTTTAACTGGTACATACTGTTTTCTCTTAAACCTGGTTGTCACCAGATTTTTTCCCACTAAAGTCATACTACAAGAAGAAATAATACATTCTTGATAATAAATTGTATATATTATAGACATAACTTACATATCATATTAGGCATATCATATTAGACACATCTTATTCGAAATTTTAAAAGATTCGAGCTATTCTTATCAGCGGTATCGGTCGTTTCAGTCACTAACAGACACTTTTCTCGACGAAAGTAGCATTTACCTTAGCTAACATGACGTTAAGACAGATCACATCAGTGAACTATTACTTTTATTGGCAATATCTACTGAACGGGGTTACTGATTAGTCAATACGTGTGCTTTTTGTGAGACTGTTTATTCAAAATTTTGCTGTTTACCTTAATGGGGAACTGGTTGGTCTAAACACAAAAAACCCAACTTGTCCTGACGTACGGCTATAGAACTGCCACTCAACTATTTCACCAGATATAGGAATTCTAAGAGAATCACTCATTCCTGTGTGTGCCCAATTTCTCCACCCTACCGCCTGGCCATCCCTTAAATCCACATCGTTACTAAGAGATGGTACCTCATTCAACGCTATAAGAAAATTAAAAGAATACATCACACATCATACTTATTTCCGTTGCGTTTGTTTGAATGAAAGTTTATATTTCAAATACATTGTCGAAAAAGTGGGGTTCATTTTTTTTTCTTTTTATTGTAATTAATAGCTTTAAAAGCCAGTACACAGTGAAATATACATATAGAGTAGACTATTATATTGCAGAGAAATATCGTGTCTATCAACAGATTACTCAAATGTTTGAAACCTGAATCTCGTGATCTGGGATTCAAATGACCAAAGTAGTAACAAGTGATTTTCTACAATTTGAATATTTAAACACCAAATACTCGAAAATTCCAAATTCGAAGTCTAGAGGTGATGACTAGCAGAAAACACAATGAACATAATAGTTGGGTAAAAGAGCAAAAAGTAGAAAGTGAATGTATCGACGATAAGTATTGAATCGTGAACCACAAACGTCTTCCATTTAATATGTCTTGTTAAAATAGACATATGAAAGCGAGAGATGTCGGATCAAATTTCATATTTAACTTCATATTTTTACTTACACTGACATTGTAGAAGTTGACCGGATAATTCTCCTGATCTCATACAGATTCTACTTTTACTGCCTGACTTATATACATAACCAGTATCACACAAATAGCTGACGTATTCGCCAATTTTTAATGACGTCGTTGTTCCGTTCTGTTGAACTCCTTCACCACCAGATTCAACCGTGCATTTTTTATCTACAGCGTAAAGGAGTCCTATTAATAAATTTTAGTCTACAAATCTGTAATCAGTAATCAGTTCCCAGCTGCACGGAAGGGATCATTGTCACCCAATTCCAATAAATTACCCAAACCAAAGTCTATAACTATCAAATGACCCTTAGGCTATCCGAGAAATTTAAAGATTACATCCGTACATGTTTGGAACTGAAATAGGGCCTTCTAGAATTGTTCAACCATCAAGTCATTTTTATTGGAGGATTTTGTAGTACCCTTATTACAACATCTATATCTTAATGACTACCTCAAGTAAATTTGTACCTCATAGCCCTTGATTAATCATTAAGTAAAACAAGTCTGTATTTAAGGTACGGGTGGGGGGGAGCGTACTATAGAAAGGGTGAGTTGATAGGGTAATCCCTTGATTGATGCCATTGTGGGGTAACTCTCGGGGTTGAATTGGTGAACAAAAGAAAAACAAACTCTTTCAAGACTATTAAATTCTCAGATCGACATATTATATACTTAAAGCTGTAAGAAGGCAGACATGCGATTATATACAAAAATATGTTTTCAAACACTAACCCTAGTTCTTCTTAATCCACGTGAGCCACAAACAATTAAACTTGTAGTCATATTTACTGGATAATCAAGGAACATCTTACCTGATACCTCACATATATTACAAGAGACTGGACATTCACTCCTAGCCCATCCACCATTTTGACAGGATTGGGGTAAGGCAGCCATAATATCTTCACAGTTTTTCAATCTATCTTTACATAGCACGTGCTCTGAACATGATCAAATAAAACTTTAGGATTAAGTTAATCCTATTAAGATTACAAAATTATGGATTTTTTTTGACATATGTTTGCTTGTATTTTTGTAGCAGATTAATAACTGGCTCCAGGACGGATCTAGGAATTTTGAAAAGGGGGTGGGGCGCCGCAAAATGAGGGCACTGACCTCGGACACGGGGCACGCCGATGCGAGGGGTAAGGGGTGTCCCCCCAAGAAAAGTATCCGTCATTTCCTTGCATCTGTAGCCATTCCAAGAGCTATTTGGCTGATATTTTCGTCTAAGTAAACGTTCGGAAATCGTTGAAAAAGAGCCTTAAAATCGAGTAAAAGAGCCTTAAAATCGAGTAAAAAAGCCAGTTGAACATGCGACTCGAAAATTGTCAAGGTGAGCGAGGCATTATGATGGGTAAAAAGACGAATCTATACCCTAGCCACTTCACTATTTAAGCCTTGTAATTTGTACTGTGTACTGTCCACACATGAAACAATGCTACATCAAGTTGCACTCATGCGCGTCGGTGATGGACATGAGTGTATATGCCGCCGATTCCACAAGATGCTATCATTGATGTCTGTCTATAGTCACTCTATAGGATTAGGGCACCGTCAGCTAAACAACAAGAATTCGTTTGAAAGTGGAAGCATTAATTAGACCAGACTGGTGTGTTTGAGTCGATGGGTTGAGTCATTTGGGATCCCTGCAACGGGTTGGGAACGGACATATTTGGGTCTGAGAAAAGGCACTTAATTATTTTAATGTGATAATAAAAAATGTCCATTTCTATTTTGCCAAAACTCTAGAAATATTGTGCTCGTAGCGCTTGACAAAACATATATATATAAAGTCTTTAGCTCTCAGTAATAACTTGTTTTTAAAAGTTTCTTAAATGACGATAATGAGGTACATTAGCGTGTGTTAATACGTAACGGGTTCCACCCTCTAGCAGGAACTACTTCAAACGAACATTACCAAAAGTTGCTATCCTATAACTTGGTATCATCAGTTGATTGAGAAATTGAACTTTTCAATGGAATGTAAGATTAAACAAGTTCACACAGATATTTAGGATTGGTGCCATTTTTAGAACAGGGGGTTTAAAATCTATTCGGACAGAACAGGGAACCAATGAAGATCCTGTAGAATGGGTGTGATGTGATGCGGGTGTAGTATAGTATTAGAGGCATCTCTCTGTTTTTGTTCATTATTAACCAATTTTTTGATATTGTTGTGTACATACGTCATGTATATATTGTTCTACCATTATGTTTTAAAATTTATATCAAATGCTTGTTAACGAATAGAGAATCCCAGTCAATATGTCACTCGGGAATAAACAGTAATTATATTACAAATCATTCAGTCTTGTGTATTTCCAGTTCAATCACTAAATGCTAAGATAGTCTACATCTAGTGTTCTTCAACAAACAGCGTACCCATTCAACACATTATTGTAACATTTTCCATTATGATAAGTTTTGCTTGACTTCGCCGAATTCGTCGATTTTGTCTACTGGATAGTGCTCGACTTCCATATTTTCAAACATCGAACCCACTCCTCATTTAAATTTATAGTTGTGATGATTTCGAATGACAAACTTAATACATAATGAATGTGATAGGATTTGATCAGTGTATCAAGGTAGTTGTGATTTTTAATAAACAAGTAACATGAGGTACTTACTTTTGGTGGCCCTTTTACATACAAAATCTTCCGGCCAATAGCCATTGGTTGCTACCCATTTTCTTCCCTTATCTTGACCAAGTAATGATGCGTATTTAAAGTCGTATCTGTCATACGGTGGAGCTACAAATCATAATTACATTAAATGTATTTAGGTAGAAATGTATATTATTAAGTAAAGTTACAATTTCATATTTTCTAAGAAAGTCAAAACATAATTATTTCTATGTCTTTTGCTCAATTATACGATCATAGGTGTCATTCTCACACTTAAAACTCATTTACACCGGAAATAATAACACAATTACCTCCCTTGTTTTCTATTCTCCACCATTGAGTAGTTATCTTCAAACGTTTGAATTTGAAGATGAAAATGATATTTTTGCCAATTTCTCAACTGGCAATAGTGAATTATAGGATTAATAGGATTATTCTTTAACAAGGTAGGACTGTTTATAGATACCATCTATTTTAAGGCTTTATTTTAATAAATTTTAAAAATATAACTTAAAAATATGAAATTGCAACTTTAAGTAACAATACTAGTGAGTAGTCTTATGAACGAGGTCTAAATCAGACAACAAATATTATTGCAGTTAACTGAATAAGAAAAGATATGTCTATACTTGTATATTTTCAGTTGTTTTGAATTTACTTTGTAAAGTCTGTACTATTCGAATAAATCTTGTCCTCGTTGTATTTTTGTGTGCAGTATAGTTCAAGTGCAAGCAATTGAGGACACAAACATCTAAATATACTAGAAAACTCCCAAATTATTCTAAATCCCAAATAATCCCTTACCTTGCCATGGTAACCATTCAGTAACATTTCCATCTGGCCATACCCACTTGCCATCCTTCTTCTCCAACCCTATCATTACTTTATGCATAGTTTCCCTACAGCGTAATTACAGTACAGTACAAATACATATTTATTTATGGGAGGACATGCAGTACCAGGATTATAAAGATTGTGAATCAATCATTCAGAACATTCACCAATGATATTGCAGGAGGTGGGGGGGGGTAATCTGGTTTGCGTGAGTAGCATTTATTTCATGTTTGAAGTATTGCTAAAAAAAGACTGTTTTTTTTGACGGAAGTAAAGTAATTACAAGATCAACAAACGAGGTTGTAGTAAGGCAATTAAATATGTGCAGTTGACAGTAGGCTAGACACTACTAATTTATAAGAGTAAATTTCATGTTTTCGAAATCAAAAACTAGAGTTACAACTGAGCTGCCAATCAAATGGTCTTACACTTATTAAATACGCATAGATGACATTTGAAGACATAGCCCAGATTTGGTAGATATTTGTTTATTAGTAATAAACAACGACCAATTAGATTACTGTAGTCTAATCAAATATACGTGGCTGTCGCTGATTTCGAACTCCCTGCCTGGGTTTGATCAGAACACAATGAATCGAACGTAGATCTTCAATCTTAGTTTAGTACATATATTCTAAGTTTTGTCAAAATGTATTCGCGTATTTACAAGGTCGCATATCTCTTAAGACATACTTTACATTTTTGTAACTGTTAAAATACTTCATACTATAGCTTAAAATAATTATTTTAAAAAAAATGTTAGTTGTTGTATTGGACCGTAACCGCAAGCAAAATGCACCATCTAACTTTAATTTACAAAACATCAAAACCCCGTCTTCAGCATCATGACATTTTCGGAATGCACGCTTAGGTAAATGCATAGATCAATTGAAACTGGCAGTATGCAGGGCCATCATACCCCGATTAACTCAAGTCTGTACTGAGAACCGATATATACCTTGAATTACGTCATCGACATTGCCTTGACGTTGACACCTATTTTGCTAACGAGTTAGCGCGAACGGAACGAATCCAATATTAATCTCGATCTATATAGTCTCTCACAAGACTGTGATTTCATTGGAAATGTACACTCAGGATTGTACATGTATAAAATGTGACAAGAAGACGCCAAACCTGATGGAGATCACAAAATCTTCTTCGGCTTGATCTACAACTGTTGTTAACGTAGCTCCATGTTCTTTACAGATCTGTTCAGCTGCCACACGTTTCACTGGTATACCGAAATATTTATAACAGCCCTTCTTATATTCTGCCCATTCATATGGACATCCTTTGAAAAATAGTAAACATAATCTATCGATGTCATAATTGTTATATGACAATATTTATAACACGTTTGTTTATATTCTAACCATCCAAACTGAAAACGTTTTAAACAAATAATGAATAAGGTTTCATAACCATCCTGTCAAATTACCAGGAATGATGCCAGTACTGACTTAAGCTCTCTATTCGTTACAGATATAGCTTCAGAATGTTGCCCTGATATACATGTATCACTCGTTTTAAGAACAGGCCTTTTCATATTGTACAAACCCTTTAAGTTTAAGAAAACAATAAATAGGCTTTAGATTTCGTTAATTCAGAATAGATACTTTTAGACGAACATATGATCTTGGTGACACTGACAGTTGTTATTACAGTCCTAATTTATAGGTCAAATACAAGTATATTTAAAGACATAAAGCTACCAGTGTCCATTGTTATCATCATCCTCATCACAAGTCCAACAATCTGGCCCAATCATTTATTTAAAAGAACTATTTACTCCAGTAGACCAGGTTCCATATACAAGAATTGTTGTATTTTAGAATCAATTATTACCCACCACAGATAAACCTTATCAGATAAACAAAACTTCTGTACTTACCACCACAGACATAACCTACAGGAGACCAAGTTCCATCTGTTAAACAGAAACTCTTGTATTCTAAATCTTCAGTTTTACATTTATATGTTATAACATCTGCTTCTCTATATTCATCTTTCTTTCCAGACTTTATCTCAGCATCTTCTAATATTTCCGGTGCCGGACATGATACATCTAAATCTATAATGCACAAGAAAGTTAGAAATAATTATTTCAGTGTTAGTACAAACTATACTGGTTTGATCCAACATTGTCCCAACCCTTTATACAGATATAAATCCTCTATGTTTTTTTTGTGGGGGGGGGGGGTATTTTGTAGAACGAGTGTCGTGTCATTCTTGACGCATCCTGACGCTATGTTCTTTCCCTCAGCACCATGCTGTATGCTAGTCGATAAATACAAGTTGATACACCATTAAATAATGGCCATTGCAAGTTCGATTTAAATAAATACATTGACGTCCTTATAATGGCATAACAGATCTAAATTTAAAGCATCGCCATTGTTTTCTCTTTAAGGTTTTCAAAACTATTTATTCCATAATACTGTCATTTTCTATATACTTACCTTGATCTTCGAATTCCTATTCGACCAGAACATGCTAGCGGACTTGAGAAAGAAAGTGATATGCTCGTTTTCTAAACTTAAATTAGGTTAAATCGATCACTAAAAGTTACTTACATGATTTTTCCTTTTCTGCAGATCCACCACCCCCGCTACATGCCAAGGCACACCCTGACAGGGCAGTATCTCTCTGACAAAAATCGGGATCTTCTTTTATCACGTCATCACAGTCGTCATAACTGTTGTGCATCTTCCCTTTTTTTCATTAAATAAAAAAAACATTGATTCGCATATAAGATTTGATAAGCCTTTTGACTTTAATGGCGTTTCGGTGTATCCAGAAAGATTGAGCTCGTTTAGATGTATTTACATATCTACAAAAGTATGTAATACCTGTAATAACAACAGTATACATTTTGTCGAGTGTTTCAGACTGTACCTTTTCTAAATACCCCCCCACCCGTCCTTATTAACCCAGTCTGAGCAGAACAGTAGAACGTTAAACTTCTTTTCATTTCCTTTCTAAAAACCCATTCTACATGCATTAGATTCTAAAAGCAGATAGTTTCTAGTTAGTCGCCACTTTGGAATGTCGATTGTGTGGTAAACTAAACATTACGAGATCAATTTTAAATCCAGTTCCATCGAACCATAAGTATTCAAAATGCCGATACGTTTACAGATGGAATGGCAGTGTCTAACGGGGCATGTACTCTGATCGTATTGATATTTACCTATTTTACTGACGTCACAGTAATTTCTACTGCAATCAGATGTTGCTGTATAACACCAAGGCATAATACCATCATTGGGATTACGACAATAATTCTCAATTAAATCATCTTCAAAATCACTGTAAAACAGGAATAAAAGTACAAACTCGAACTAGTTTTATAAACTATGATAAATAAAAAATAAAATGAGTCTCACGCATTGTTTGGTATACTTAATTGGCCGAGGAACCGTTGAAGACAATCACGTTCTATAAAGTTTGAGTAAAACATAAATAGTTGTGTAGCCTATGGGATATGGTAATTTCTTATAAATTGTATGTCAACCATGAACGACAGTGGTAATATGTAAGGGATAATGTCTCTTTAAAAAAAACATCAGTGGATGATATTCACAATTATAAACCTGTAACGGTAAATCTCTTTGATTTTTGGGGTATATTCTATGCCTGGAATAACTTGAGGTCTGAAAGGAAAGTGAGGGGCGACTTTGGATATATACAGGGGAATTTGGGGTTATTCTTTTGAAAGTTTTTCTTTAAACCTGTAACAGGTTATTCTTCCAGGGTAGGTTTTTTTTTCCATAAGAAAACATGATCTAAGGTTTTTCTTATGGGAGTTCTGGGATATTCTCATTTTGCGTACATGTAAACATAGACGGTTTATAAGCAAGATAAAGTCCTCAACTTCGGTTATGCTGGGGAAGAAAAGCTTCAGAAAACACCCTCGATAGAAACACCTCGGCCTACCGGCCTCGGTGTTTCTTTTTCTCGGGTTAATTTTCTTCAGCCTTTCTTTCCCCAGCACAACCTCAGTCTCGTGCTTTATCCTACAATGAGTGACTTGTGACCAGGTCATATACATAATTACGTTCAATAAGTACCCGGGTCTCAGTGGATGGTGTTCACAGTGAGTGGCTTGTGACCAGGGTATACATGGTTACGTTTAATACGTACCCGGGTCTCAGCGGGTGATGTTCACAATGGGTAACTTGTGACCAGGGTAAACATAGTTCAAACGCATGGGTAATATTGACCTTGCCTCTGTACGTTCTGCCTTTATTTAATGGATCATAAACATAGTCTTCATCTGAATAGAGAACATAAGCAATGGTATAGATGAGTTGTAGATTTCATGAGGTGGTGTCGGCAGTTCGATCAGAAGCTTGCACGCAAAAGTAGGGTTGTGTGTATAACTTATTGGGTCTTCTCTAGGATCTACAGTTGCCTCCCCGCAAGCAAACGAATAATTGAATACAGTTTCACTATGAGGACCAAACATTCCAGGCAACATGAGATTAAACAGGATGTTTAACGTATAAAATTGTTATGAAAATAAATTATAACACAGAATTGTTCATTAAAATGAGGCATATAAATATAAAATGCACTGATGCCATGTGACGATATGGTGTTTATTAGAAAGTGGCTGATATCACCTTGGTTGAAGCGGGCGTTACATAAACCTATTCCACACGAAGAGTCGAGAACCACGAAACAGTCAATAGCATAGATAACAAACCTCATCTCTCAACCCTCCGTGTCTCGAGATAAGAGATGGTGCTATATAGTTCCACGTAGCAAAGCCCAACGCAAATCACACTGGGACCCATTAAGCAAAATTGACAATATTTGTGATCAAAACGACGATTGGTTATTGTTATTTATAACATTTCTGCCACATCCAACTACATTTAAGCATAAAATCCTACCTGAAACGGGTATAAATCATCGTATTTAAAATCGAGGCGTTAAGCCGTGTTACATAATCACAGATGTTATAGACGCTTCCTGCCACTTTGACACATGAAAGTGATTTTAATATCAACATATCAACCTGTCCGACCCTGAAGTTCTTAGTAGCCTTTCTTATGTGATTATGTAATCTTAACTTGTTATTGGCATGTTTTATTTAAACTTTCTTTGTCTGATTAGCATGTATCGAATGTTAAACCTGATATGATATATGATACATTAGCCAGATTGCTAATAAGATCGTTTGATTGGAAGGGTTTATAAACCCAGATAACAAACGAATCGACAGTCAGGTCCGGCTAGGACACAAGAGCGGAGGCCGTGGGCGTCTTGGCACGGGACGAGACGGAACGAGGGGGACCGCCTGAGAGTTGGCACATTTGTGCCAAGCTAGGACATGGCTCTCTCAATACAAGCTAGTTCTGGGTGTCTTTAACATTACGATGTTTGTATATAATATGTTAGGAGAAGAATAAGAGTATGATATGAAGTTAAACAACGTGATTAAAGAACCAATAGTGTAACAGCCGTTACAGGAACGCCATTTTTAAACGAGAGATGGATGACGGTGTATGTCGGATAGAAACAACGCTTCATTAATTTAAACACGAATATTTAGTATTAGGCGATAGTTGTGCCACTACATCAGCCTCTTTAAGTTTAATTAGTCATAAATTATCTTATTTTTAAGATGTTACATGCATTAATAAAGAAACTGAGTTTGCCACTTGGAACTAAAGGCACCCAATCTCAACGTATTTAGCTACGTTCTCGTAGCTATCAGTAGCACACCATGTAGATAGTGTTGGGATAGCTATATACATAAAATATAGTCCTACCTTGTATAAGTTTAACCGTTGCCTTAAATCCTTTCTTAGAGACAGCACTATTACTTCTAAAGGTCAGACTTATATTATTATATACACTTACAATAGTCGTTCCTAATTGACTACCACAATATCTAGAAAAACAGGAGATTGCGCATATAATGGTATTATTTAATGTTAATTTTCCTTGTCGAACGTATGGAAGGATGAACTAGAGAAAGACTTTAAACGCAATATAATAATATGAAAATCAAACTACAATAATGTCAAAATCAAAATATAATAATATTAAAATCAAAATACAATAATATTAAAATTAAAATTAAATTTTACTCCTTAACCGTTGCGTAACTAATTTATAATAAAATACATGTATATAGTCTTAAGTTTTGATTTCAACACACTGGGTAACCAAACATATTATTCCAAATATAATCTTATCGATTGATTGATGTAATCTTTGAGAATCCAATTATGTATGGATTCTAGGTTGTTACAGACAGTTAGATTTACAATCCATATCAAAGAGAGGCGATACTTATATACACATAATAATCGTTTACACTTACTTTATTCCAGCTTGTCCCATTCTGTTTTGTCGTATTTCTAAATAATCATGACAGGTTGATGTCCCTTCAACTTCAAATTCATCAAAATCAATTTTAATGGTCAGATGTTCTGGTCCCTAGATTAATAAACAACTGTCTCCATTACAAGGCACAAAAAAACAACACCGATTTTCAAACCGAACGCGAACTGGTGCGTTTTATTAATATCAAGTTGGTGCTTTGAAAACACGGATACCAGGTGCAGAGTTTTACTATTCTACTTTAGTAGTACAACATCTACAATATTAGCTGTATGGACTACGGAGATTAGCAACTTATTCGAAAGGTTTTTTTGTACCTGTCAATTAACAAGAAAAGGTAACATTTATTCCAATAATTATTTTAGTTCTCTGATCCGTTCTTATTATGCTCATCCTTATGGAAGTCGACATTAGAACGAGGTTACTTACCTTGATGAGCCAGTTACATTCTGTTTTATCAGGATAATTTTCTGGATATCCAGGACTAGTTATAGTCACGGATGGGTTACTATGATCTAGGTCAATGATTTTACCACATCCTAAAATATATAATGAATTGATTTGTACATGAACACACAGACGCCAAGAATACTTTAAAATACACCAAGTTCTCCGCCTATAGTCATTATGTACATATTTTAGCTGCCAAATTATGAAACCATCTATTTTTTTTTCAATATTTTGTAGTGTGTTTGCATTACTTGGTACCCTAAAACGAATTAATTCTGGAAAAACGTCTGGGCAAGTTTGTTTGAATCCACACTTGTTATAGATAGATTAACGAAAAATAGTTAGAGACTCTTGGATCTATGTAGAAATTGAGGAATGTCTATATCTCACCTATATTTAACGGATAGTAATAACAAACTGCTAATCTGATAGTCCCATAGTTGGGATTAAATGTAACTTTAGGATGCTCTACATTTGTCGGAAAGCCAAAACCATCAACTGTGGCTGCAGGTTTATTCTGAACAACAAAGAACTCTTCTTGGTGGCCCATACCTTTTTTTTATTAAATAAATAAAATAATATTTATTTGTTTAAAATAACATAGAAACATATCGTGTACTGATCTAGAGTGTGACCTTAACTCTAATGGATGTCATATTTTGAAACAAATGCTCCTACGACCACTATGGGATAGCTTGTTAATATAGTTCCTATATTACTGTTGGCTTTGTTAAAGTATCTGCATTGGATGTATTTCCAATATGCAATATTAATAGTACATAATCCAACTAAATGACTTAGACCAGATTCAAAGCACCGTATTTTACTCGCAATTATGGATGGACTCTAAGACAGGATTTCACAATATGAACATAACGTATACTTTTTAGCCATTCATTGTGTGCGGCTGTTTGATTTTTAAAATTAGAACTGCCCAGTAGTCATGGTTATCTAGAGTATCTCTAGTTGATTAGTGATACTGTTATTGTTAATTGGACATAGGGATAGTGCCAGTGGTTTGGGCTATAGAGCACTCTCTGTTAAGCATGGCCGTGTAGTCAAAAATAATGCTATATTGAAAACAGATATCCCAGGCAAAACAAACCTTCAATAATTTGGCAAGTTCCACTATGCGACACAAGAGCGAACGGAACAGTATTTGGTAACCTTACTGCAAGATCCTGAAAACCATCACTGCGACAACAGAAGAAAAGTCTCGTCTGCTGCTCAAATACTCCGTCTGGTACAGCGCCAGTGGTTTCCGGTGCAGTTGTCTCCCCATATTGTATAAATGATTCGGTGAAGCCTGAATAAAAGCAGTAATGTATAGATTTATTATCCCTCGTGTTCAAAAGTTCTGAATTTAAGTCTTGGTACATAGTGTGAAAGCAAATATTCCAAGAAGAACATTCGCGCATAATATAATTAACTGACTCCGATTTTAAGAATATTGCATGAGACAGTCTAGTTGATAGAGCTTTCGAGATATAATCATTTTTTATTTGTAGAATTTATTTGCTTTTGTTAACTCAACAATTGAATTCTGTTTGTAACTATTAATAGAACTTTATTTGCATAGGTTATTTTAATTAGAAATATAAGAGTTAATAAATACAGACAAGAAGGGATGTTATACCTGCTGGACATTTTCCACCTTTTCTAAGAATACAATACACACCAGGTTCCCACGGTACCTCACTTTTGTTGTCTTCATCACTGGTACAAACCTTAAATAAATATATATCTTCTGCACAGAAGTCAGATATCAAAAGCGAGAGAGAGGGAGGGGGGGGGGGGGTAACGTCCTCTAGACTCGAACTTGATTCTTTCGAGATAAACATATTTCGGTGTAATGTACTTTCAATCATTGTCTTTCCCACAGCAGTAGGCTTGGCTAGACAATAGATTGATGACTATGGTTATGGTTTCAGCTAGATTATTTTATATATATATATATATATATATAAAACCGAATACTAACCTGGATTTCAGTCTTTGTGCCGTCATAACCAGAACCGAGATGCCATAAATTGGAGTTATATGATTTGGTCGAGTGTACAACAACCTTGCCTTCTTTAAGTCCTTCTGGGCAACCGTTTTCTGGTCTTAAGATCGAATAGGTACCACCTGGCCACTGCTTCATTACAGCTGATATTAAAAGAATAACGACTTAAAATGTAAACATTCTTACTACATCTTTTATAATTGTGTAAAACCAGTATTTTAGAATTTTTTCGAAAACTGCCGAGTATTTCCCATTAAATACTTTATAGTTTTGATTATTAACTTTAACAGCCGAAACAATTATTTTAAACATACCCTTTTTCTTCACATCAGCACAGCCCGACGCAGCTTCTAAACCAGTAGGACATGCACAAACACATTCATCTCTTACTAGAGTTAAATACCCTTCATTAACACACTGAAAATCTGCACTTGCACAATAAGTCTCTAAAATCAAAACATATTTAATTGAATCATGGGGAAATTTTTCATAATGTATATACATATCATCATATTGTAATTTGTTCTTGATTTTATGTATCTATTTAAGCCTATGTCGAGTTTGTTTTGATTAACATTAAACAAAAACTGTTATCATACCTCCACATTTGTGACCTAGTGATACTTCCTTATATGCGTAAAAGTCCGTATTTTTCACCCTTAAATAAGGTCCAGAGTACAACTGTGACATAACTGGTTTACCATTAACACTGAAAGTCTGCAAAACAAATTGGATTACTCTTCATAAGTATTAATTGCGAAATAAGTCAATTTCGCCAAAATAAGTAATTTATAATAATTAAGAAAGTGGTTAAGAGCGTGTCCACGAGAGCACCATGCAGAAATTGAAAAAAACGATAACCCGGGGGGTCAGCAAATTTCAACCATACTTGGTCTATGGGGACCCCTAGGCGACAGAAGTCACACGATGGAGTGAAAAAATTTTGAACTGACAACTTCCGGTAGAACTGGAAATTGTTGTTTTGGGGCAAAATTTGACATATTTCGACCAATTTGTTACTCTAATTTCAAAACGCTCCTACCCGAAAAGTTGTGTCTCTAAATTTTTGATATTGGTCAGGTATGATAGGCCTAGTAGTCGTCTTAAAATCCTGCAGTCGTTTGGGAATGAATGAATCGTGTGGAATTTTCTGTGAGTGATCATAAAGTGGTCATTTTACATATGTTTAAAACTATGCTATCCTAAAACGCATGTAGCTGCTTCTTTGCAGGTCTGACATAGAATTGCTTGGTGTGGTTGTGAAGGGCATTTCTCAAAGTAAATGTCAAAAGAAAAAAACTGACCGAAACGCAACCCACTAGAGTGCTGTAATATTCTGAAAATGTGTAAAAACGGTATTTTCCACGAAATTCGTCTTTTCACTAATGACCGAATACTATTTTCAAGAGTTCAAATGACCGTTGATTATGAACATTAGTACTATTTTTTGTTACTTGAACGTTCCTTGTGCCAAATATACTATCTTGGTTGTGACAAAATCGGACGTTCGCGGTCATCGTAGGAAAGGGGCTTAACTGGTGTATAATTTTGCAGGATCAGACAACGATTATTCTCACCTGTATTCAGTAGTTAGTAGCACGGAAGTGCATAAATGTAAGGACTGGCATAGCAAGCTTTTATATTAGCACAATTTAACCAAAGCAGCACCTTTTCAGCAATGACCAAAGATTATCTTCAAATGACTACTGATCATCACCATTACTTGTAACATTTCGTAATTTCAACGTGAATCGTGTCAAATAGATCATTTTGTTTAAAATCATAATATTTTTGTGACAAAATCTGACTTTCACGCTTGCTTGATAGCCATAGGGAAGGGTCATAAGTGGTGTGTAATTTTGCAGGGACCAGACCACTGTTATTAAGATCTGTATTCATGAGCAGATCATCGTATAAATTTGACTGACATGACTATCATAAACTTGATATCTTTTAATTTGTACACCTGCTCATGTAAAGAAGAACCATAAGAAGAAGCATTCAGAAGTGTTCATGTAGGGACATTTAATGTCTGGTATTGAAATCTCTGAATCATGGCATAGATCAAAACAGGATTTATGGCACTCCAGGATAATGTTGACCGCATGTGCCAAACTCCTACATATACCTACGTTCGAGCAGAAGTGCTCACTTACTTAGATTCCTACGTTCGAGTGTAAATGCTCTTTGACCTTCCTTCAAGGTTTTTGGACCACAGAGTACTGTTTTATTTTGTAGTACTGTTTTTGACCTCTTCTCCTTCAGGGATTTCAATATGGAATTATCATAGCCTCCCGATCTGTAATGCCTCTCCATGAAAACGTCCAAATGTTTCCATACAATGATCGGCTCCTAAATACAGATGGGAATAAGCTGGTCTGATTCCTAAAATATGGTTGACCAAAATAACCTATTTGGCACAAGGAACATTGGCAGAAAAGATGTTGTATGGTCGTCTTGCTGATTGTGTGACTACGACTTACTGTCACTGGATCATCTACAATCCCCTCGTCCTTAAAACCTGTTACAAGAGCGAACATGTACATCCCTCAGAAACACTTCTTTTACCCAAGAGCTAAAATATGCTTACACTGAATCGTGTATCATATTTCACCTTTCATTATATCATATTTATAGAAGACGATTTGTTCTGTTTAAATTGCATTGGACATTCATGAAACTTGTCCCTGGTCTAACACATAGACTTTAGATCCTAAGGTCTGTCACTGAGTTAAGTGGATATTCTCTTTTCCCTCAAGTGTATTATTGAAGTAAAATTGTACCATATGTTAGTCCCAAAATTACCTAGTTTGTGTTGAGTGGACCTTAAACTCCATTTCTCTCTCTTAAGTCAAAATCACCCTTGCTAACGAATATATTAACTTTGTGATGATGTCCATAGATACAGTATGCATCACCATATTATGCTAGTCCGAAAATGACCTAGTTTGTGTCCAGTGGACTTTAAATCTCATTTTACTTTGTTCCTCTCATGTGTAAATCATCCTTGCTAACGACTAAATGGAATATATTAAATTTGTAAAGATGTCCATACATATACTTCATGTGGGGTATTGATAGACGGGACATTTTATCCTAATTTTTGGTGTTTTTAATATATTTCTCCTGTTTTTATTATGACTGTTCCGGTCATTTTTATTTTTTATTTTGTTAGTAGGAAGGTTGCTAGTTGTGGGTAACATTCAACTTTGGTCCTAGTACCTGCAAAGTACGAGCTATAGCCTCTTAAACATTGGTTTTCATTAAATTCAATTTTCAGAGAGAGTTGGGTATCCGGCCAGTACCAAGGTAGCATAAGCAGTAGAAACTTCAAAATCAGTGTGAAGGAGGAACCTGAGTGGTCCTACTAATGCCCAAAATTTTGTCTATCCAAATCAATTATTGTCCAAATAGCAGGTCATTCAAATTTGGATCCAAAATTGCCTATTTTTGGCTTATTTTTCGATTAAAAAATACTTTTCCAATTTTCCAGGTCGATATCAACTGAATCAATCTAATATTTTGTGGGGATGTATCTGGGTACTAACCCATCTCACAGAAAAAATTTGGTCCAAATCCCTGACCCAAGGGTTATCACCCCCTGCATGGTGCTCTCGCGGACACGCTCTTAATATTTTATGATCGAACAGAGAACACAAATATGAGCGTATTGTGGGCCAGAAACCCACCACGACGTCATATTTAATATCGAAGTTCGCCTATCGATGCGCAATTGTCCAAACCCCTAGAAGAACAATGAAGCAATCAAATTATATATCTTATATATATATACAAAAACAAAACATAGTGTTATACTACGGAACCTCACCCCTAGAGAGATATTTTAGTAAAATTCTTACATTCATATTGTAGTGCATGTCAGATGTGATATCATAACCAACCATAGAACTTAGTGGAGAAGACATTTGGTCTACGAAAGCCCTTTTCTGTGCTGCAAAGCAGAGAAGAAAAACTTAATCATAAATACTGTAATTAGTATGCAAGGTTAATATAATGTAGCTCTAAACGTATAGCATATAACATTTATGTTACAGAGAAGGGAGAAGTAAAAACATGAAACGGAATTCAAGTCATCGCGGGAAGAACGACGTTAGATTAGTACTACCCTTTTTAGTTCATTACATAGCTAAAGTCCTTGAACTCAATCATGAGTGGACGCCAAAAGTTTGATTCTAAACCTTTCTGTTTTCATACGACTACATTTCAGTGCATGTGTATTATACCATCATGCCGTCGGTCTGTCCGTCAACAAATGATTTAGAAACGCAATAGAGACTACAGTTGTAACGAATATTTTCTCAGGCTTTTGAACGCCATAGAGATAATATTTCTTGAAGATATAAAGGATCCTTATCAAATTTGGTCATCATACAAGTTTTCATTTCGAAAAATATGCTATCTTATTAACTGGTAGATACTAACGTCTGTTTTTCAAACACTACCTACAATAGTACAATTAATTGATAAGGATCAATGTCATCGTCTTTTTATGTATACAAAATATTTTCACTCACCCGGTTTAATATTCTCCCAGTTTACCCGAATCCATCCTTTTCGTAAGGCCGACTGGTGTTCATGAACTAAACCTAATGTGTGACCTAATTCATGTAGACACAAAGGCTGAAATAAATAAATAAATAAATACCAACAATTTTCAGAAAAAAATATATATGCCAAATAACTCTAGATTAAGTATCAAACATCCACCAATTGGCATGCAGAGCATTGTTGCTAGCATCCGCTGAACTTTTGAAAACCACTAAAAGACGTAATGCATACGTCTCACACGGAACCTTTAAACATCTGTGTCTCACCGATTGGCAGATAGTTACTACTACTACTACTACTACTACTACTACTACTTTCCAATGGCCATTTAATATAATTTTGAATATTTGTTTCTCTATATCCAGAATTACCTTTCCACAACAGTTAACAGTTTGATGCCTTCTTGAGTTACCTTGAATTGACCAACAACTGAAGTAAATGAAATGAATGCCACTGAATTAGTGTTCCACTATAACTCTATATTTGAATTTTCAGACAAAAATAATATTATCCATGATAGGTAGGAAAGCTTCAGGGGCTGCGAACTTGTTGTGAAGCAACAACTAATCCCCCATAAGGCACACTTCACTATAAAATGTCTTTAGTGACACCCGTATAGAATTGAAAATAGACAGCACTTCCGTTCCATTTTTCGTTAATGTTTTGTACACTATAATGCAGCCTAACTACATCATTAAGGCGTTACTTTTCAATCGAGTCACCCAAACAAAATAAGTTTTGCTTTGACTAATAATGAATTTATGCAATCACAATGGCTTCAAACCATTTAAAACAACTGATAGACACTGTCAGAGGAAATGTCAACAGGTAAAAACGCATGGGTTCAAATAGTTTGCTTCTAATAATCCGACTGTCAGAGCTATAGATTCCTTGTGCTTTCTGTACCGCAAACATTACTTACCCGCCTTTTAGAACGTGTTCCATAACGCCATCATGAGTAAGCCCGTATTTGGATTTGGTATCTTTGTCATTTTGAACAAAACGTATACATGTTTGGGTTTGATATTTCAACATACATGCTCTACGTTCAAACTGTGACTGTGGGGTATCTAGAATTAAAGAAAATAAATGTGATCATAAATGTATTTTTAAAATAGTTTTATTTAGCTCTATTTTGTAGAACCTTAAAATAGACGAGAATGGGTCTAAAACGACACCACAATGTAATAATGTGTACATAATTATGTTCCGTGGAATATACAAACAGTTCAGATTAAATGGCAGTTGTTTGTGCCTGCTTAGTCCATTCTATGCATTGTTTTGGGTTTTTTTTTAATTTATTTGTCATTTAATTACTTCCGCATTGCCCCCTGAGATATATTCTTTTTTCATTAGAAATGGCGCCAGAAACCATGATGTCCATAGAGTACACGACCCGTTTACTGATTTTAAAATATTTATTATTCGTGTTTTTATATTTGAATAGTTTGGATAATATTGAATTATAGATTTGGTTCTTTTAACGCACTCTCCGTGTGAGGTTTACATGCATTAACTCTAAGAAATACTTTGTAATGTTCCTAACGTCGAGATCATAACCCATGCATCTTAGCTAACTCTAACACATTCAAATTAATACTTACTAAAAACTGCATCGAACTCAAATGGTACTATACCACGATCCCATCTGTTATATTCAGACGGCAATATAAACCTTTTCCTTCTGCCAGCGGATTTCTAAATTATAATTTAATTTGTGAGAATCAAAAACCGGAAAACAGTAAGCATGGTAATGTCCTTAGAAATTTACATGTCCTTTACACATTCAGTCATACGTCTTTGAGGGACATATGCAATCTTAACGACTTGTAAATAAACAAAAATATACGTAACTAAATTACACAACTCTTTGTCTCAAAATGTATGTGGTTGTATTGTGAATACTTTCCATAGCAAAAATCCATAATATCTCTTGGCAGTTAAATATATCATGTATATATATGGAAACAAATAAATCAATATAAATCAATACTTACAGGTACTGGTTTGGCATCCTTTACAGTAACAAACGAGTTCTTTACATACGCCGTAGATGGGAATAGAGAGGAAACCTTCACAAGAAGTTATGGAAATAGTGAGTTATGGATGATTGCTTATTTTCATTGCAGTTTTGTCATAACAATTCAATAGTACATACATGTAATGTTCATAATACTAGGCGGATGCCCGTCAAAAACAAAGATGTCAGATTCCTAGGAAAATAGAATTTACTTGCTGTGCTCAAATTTTCTTTGACAAGGCTAAGAATTTATTGTATTTTTGTATAACTATATTTTGTTTCAAACTGGTCGTTATTATAAGTCTTTTAAGAAATGAATTAATGAAATAAATCTAAATGCGTTATATTACTTACTGGGGGTCTTGTATTTACATCTCTTTTACGTCGTCGTCGTCCTTCTTCAGTTTCATTCTCTCCATTAACTTCATGATCTTGCTCTTGTTCCGTTTGTTCATTATGTTGTTCTTGTTCTTCTTGGTTTTCTTCTTCTTCTTGTGAATTAACACCTGCATCATTTTGTTCCGCGCCATCATCTTCATTAAGTGAATCCAATATATCATTAGCTACATCATTCTCTCCATTAACTTCTTCTTGTTCTTGATCTTCTTGTTCTTCTTCTTGACCTTCTTGTTCTTCTTCGTCTGTTTGCGAATTAACACTTACATCATCTTGTTCCTCGCCACCATCTTCATTAAGTGAATCCAATAAATCATTAGCTACTTCATTCTCTCCATTACCTTCTTCTTGTTCTTGCCCCGTTTGTTCATCACCTTCGCCTTGTTCTTCTTCTTCTGTTTGCGAATTAACACTTACATCATTTTGTTCCGCGCCATCATCTTCATTAAGTGAATCCAATATATCATTAGCTACATCATTCTCTCCATTAACTTCTTCTTGTTCTTGATCTTCTTGTTCTTCGCCTTGTTCTTCTTTTTCTGTTTGCGAATTAACACTTATATCATCTTGTTCCTCGCCACCATCTTCATTAAGTGAATCCAATAAATCATTAGCTACTTCATTCTCTCCATTACCTTCTTCTTGTTCTTTCCCCTTTTGTTCATCATCTTGTTCTTGATCTTCTCTTTCTTCTTCTAGTTCTTCTTCTGCTTGCGAATTAACACCTACGTCATCTTGTTCCGTGCCACCATCTTCATTAGCTATTTTAGCTTTGCTCTCTTCTTCTTTCAACTAAATAATAGTTCAAATGCAATTCTTAATTATATATTTGTAATCAAGTTTATTTTATATTTGGCTTTAGATTGTCATTTTTCAAAATATTTTAATTTGGCCATGCTAAGCTTTCTTTAAATCGTTGTTATCTTATGGAATAATATTTACCAATTTATCCTGTTCTTCAGGGGTCAGTAGTTCTGCTTCCATTTCCGGGTTAGCTTCATCCAAGGCCTCCATGGCTTCGGGGGTTTCTGATTCGTTGGAATCCTCATCTTCCTGTTAATATTTTTTTGAATATTGATATTTGAATACGACATTAAACTGTTTCAATATAAGTTATACATAACTTCTGTATTAATAAATATAAGCAAAGTAAATAGAACCACTGTGGTCATTAATATCTTACCTTGTTTTCCAAGAAATCTATTCCGCCATATACAGCTATTGCTTGTGGAGCCCCTGGTTCTTCATCTTCAGCATCGCCAATATCCTCCCTTTCTTTGCCCGGTTCATCACTCTCAGCTTCTTCAACATCGCCAGCTTCTGGTTGATAACCTGGTCCTTTTTCCACGTCCCCTATTTCATCGCTTTGAATCTCATTAGCTTCGGCAGTATCACTTGCGATATCTCCAATATAGCTATCTTCCATATCCCCATTTTCCTTAGTATCACCGCCCTCGCTTTCAACCCCGGTGTCTTCAGAATCCGCATTTTCCTCCCGCCCTTCATTTTCATTACTTTCACTTACGGCATCTTCGGATCCTTCTTCCACGACATCACTTTTTATCTCACTCTCATAATTGTTATTTGAGTCATCGTCTTCCCCACCTTCTAAACCTTCACCCTGTGCATCATCGATGTTGTCTCCGTCTGTTTCTTCCTCGGTAGCGTCTACGTTTGACTCACCATTTATGTCAACACCAAGTAATTCATCTTGAGTCTCGATATCTTGCACTACATCGCTTTCGTGTGTTTCTTCATCTGTAGTTTCTTCTACTGAATTACCATCATCCATCTCTAAAACATCGTCAGCATCTACGTCTTCTTCTGAATCACCATCTTCCTCCTCTGAGACATCGCCAACACCGCCGTCTTCTTCTTCCAATTCATCGCCTTTTATCTCACTCTGAAGATTGTTATTCGAGTCATCGGCTTCGTCACCTTCGCCCCCTTCATCTTCATCCTCGCTATCTTGGGCAACATCGCTTTCGCCAGTTTGTTCTTCTAAATCACTATCTTCATTTTCTGAAACATCTTCTTCGCTTTCAATATAGTTATCTGAGTCATCACCTCGATCCTCGTTTTCTTGGGCATTGTCAGAAACGTCGTTTTCGCCTCCGCCTGCTTCTTCCTCGTAACTTCCTTCTTCTGAATCACCACCCTCCGCCCCTGAAACATCGTTTGCTTCGCCCTCTTCGTTTTCAGAGACATCACTTTCCATATCACTGACAACATCGCCTTCGTCATTTATCAAGTTGTCAGTATCAGTACTTTCACTTGATTCATCTTCCACTGCCTGTATCAAAAATATACAATAATTACAAGCCCACAAAATTCTTTAATGAATAAAACTCTTTCTTACTAGACTGATCCCCGTGTTCCTAACTAGTCCGTCCATGGACGTGTGATCACCAATAATGATTTGATGAAATATATATTTATATATATACTCAGTTGACAGAAACTGTTTTAAATCAAAATTCAAATCCCAACATGAAGATAATATTCATATCTTTCTAGTGAAATTATTAACTCACGTAACATTACAGTCCTAAAAGATAGTTGGCAGAGTATATATTCGAAGAAATTGAAAACGGGGAGGAAAATATGAAAGAAAGGAAAACAATTCTTTAATTTCACGATTTTTACAGAAATGGATTAATTGAAGTATTTGACACCACAACAATATTAAATACGTTACCTGTCTTTTAACCATGTACCTTGCTGAAGATAAACCCAGAAGTAAGAGACACCACAATATGGCAAATTTCCTCATCTACAACAAATAACATTGATATTATTCATCAGTCAAATATAATTTGTTACTACATGTATTTCATAGGTAATAATTGGTTGTATCTTTATGATATTGTTCTGCGTGTATGATCCATTTTGGATCGAAATTCATTACGGGTTTACAGCAAACAGGGTATCTTTGTGAGCATTTTAATGTCAACCCTGAATTTTATATATAGATATAGAATTGTAGCAAATAATAAATATTACTAAATAAAATAATTGTTACAAACCTTGAAGAAACCTCTCCTCCCAATCTGGAAACTTGTAAATTACTTATTCTAAATGAGGCACTTATATAGTATCGTAATACAATTACTATAACAATGGACCTTTTAAAAAATAAACACACAAAAAACACGCGTATTTTAATTTGATTTAACTGAAATAAATTGCGTGTATTATATTTATCGAGCCAGACATATTAGGTCACTGGTATTAAAGTAACCGTTCCTTGTTCAAATTACATTTTCAATAGTCTTAATTCTCAATGTACATTTCAACACATAATATACTCTCGACCCCCAAAATAAAAACTTTAAAGGGGTCATTTTGTTATAAAAGAGCAATTAATTAACACGCTAAACAATTAACTACTGAGAAAAGGTGTTATTATCTTTCACTCGTATCTTTGGCATCATACATGTACATGTATTTTAAGCAAGTCTGTGAATAATTGGAGATATGTCTTATAAGACATCCATGAAAAGGACGATATTTCAATTTATGATGGGATAAATATGTAATTATAATTTTTGTTTAAATCTTTTATTGCACAATGAACTAACAGTATTATTTTAAAAAACGAAATGAAATAATACGGGATGCCATGCAATGTGCGATAAGAGAAAATTTTCTCTAACAGCGGCACTGCGGCCTACTGTTATTTCAAATTGCAACTGGCCTCCGTATTTTATACCATCCGGACGACTAGACTCTGTTGCCAGGCCCCCTGCCATGTGCCACTGACAAGGGAGGGGGGGGGAGAGGACGTATGCAAATCCCGAGGAACTCTCTCAGTCAACACCGGGAACGAACCCTGGACGCCCGGCGCCGTACTCACCGAGTATGGTTTAATAGAGTCCCCCTGTCAAACAAATATAGAATAATTGGTACGCAGCAAATTCAAAGTGAACAAATGACATATTTATGCGTCCCTTTAAAATACGCCATTATCCAACGTACTTTTTAAAATTAAAACTTGGGTATTCCTAAATTCCAATTTCTGTTAATATTGTCATGTATAAATGTAACATATATTTTGCATTGTTCTCAGTGTTTGTAAAGAAAAAAACAGGACGTTAAACTCCATTTCATTCATTATGTCTGTTTTAACTATTAGAAAAACCAAATGAAACTCTGTTAGTTATTGGAGTGTTTTTATCAATTCAACATCTGTAAATCTATGTTTTTATTATTTATATAATACAAAACGTTCGACATAATAACAAGGGTAGTAGACATTTATATTTCAATGTTTTCACGCCTTCACGGTAGACCACTGAATATTACCTTGTAATATAATTAATTCTGTTTCATTCTTTCATCATTCATAATAAAAATGGTTTGTATTATTTCTATAGTTTCTATGAAAAAAATCTAAACGGGCAATATATATTGTGCTGTTCATTCGATTATTCTGAGAGCTTTACAAAACCAGATTATTAAAAAGATAAATTATCCGTATCTGTGTGATTATTGATTAATCACAGGTGGAAATCGTTTTGAATCGTAAATCTGAATTATTCAGTTCAGCAGTCGTGGACTAACCTGTTCGTAATTTAAGCTTTGGGGTCCCAGTGGTTAATGGAAGGATGAAGTTCTGAGAAATACTTTAATCCTCAAAATTTTGATTCCGGACAAATTCCCACTCTCGCATTCTCGATCAAGGGACTGAAGCAGATTGTGTTCAGGATTCGTTTTTTCTAGAACTCAATGCTGCACACAAAGGAATAAATCAATCAAAAACTGTAACCTCTGTAACGTTAACAATGGTTTCGGAAATGGAGGGAGGGTAATTCCGGAATGAAAGGTATGGGGCGCTGAACATCGAATTTGAAAACAAAATCTGTTAAAAACTGTACACTCTAACGCGTTAACAATGTTTTCGGAAAAGGGGGATAACACAGGAAAGATGGGTCGCGGAACGTTGAATTTCGATAGGGTGCGTCCTCTTATGCCCCAAGTGTTTTACACATATTTGAAAACAAGAGGCCCCATTTTCACTCCTTACTGTTGCATTCGAAAGGGGGGGATTCAAATGGTCCAACGCCTGCGCTTTAAATCATAAGGTCTGTCATTGAGTCAGTTGGCGTGATAAGGAGTAGGACCGCCTGCTGTCTAACCTCATAGATTTTCCTCAATCTGCTATAGACCACTACGCGCTAGACAATAATTGAAATAAAACTGAACCATAAGTTAGCCCCGAAATGACCTGGTTTGTGTCGAGTGGACGTTAAGCCCCATAATTCCTCTCCCTCTATTTGTCTTTAAAAGGGATTGGCTGGAATTTGTACCCTGGTTGGAGTTTGAAATGTTCAATATTCCTATTTTTTTGTATTTAATTTGTATTACTCGCCCAGAATATACCTCAGAATCTATCAAATGGAATCTATTTTCAAAATATCCTGGCTTTGCGCCGCACTGGGTCCCAGCACGCCCCCCCCCCCGGCCCTACAAGGCTAATCCGGCCATGCTCCTACAGACATTAACAATAACACGCCACAGCGATAACCCTCTTATATTACAATGCCTCGGATGTGGATATAATTATTTCAAACACATATGTAAAGATCATCCACAGTATTAAAGTAATTATTTATAATTATTCGCCAAATCACTCTAATCGAATACAGAAATACAACCTTTTCATATGCAGTTTATTATATTAATTACAGTATTGCTGTGATGCCTCAATGTTTATCCGTATAACAACAAGAAGAAGAAATATTACTATTTATATATTGTTATGAATATTTTATCTACTCTCTCATAATTAATACCCATATTACAACAATTAATATGTATGCTTTATTATTAACAGAATATCTCTATTCTTATTGTCCATTAACATTAAATATGACGGGATCACATCAACAAGAAACAGAACTGGTTATCTTGGGAAATCAAGGTCTGTTGTAGTCGTTTCCATTAAGCAGTCTGAAATATAATATATTTTAATTAAGTAACGATGGATAAAGCTAAATTTTATCGCAACATTTTGGTTCCAAATTATTAGATGCGATCAGTTCTACATTCTTGGGGTCATTTAAGTTCACACTATATTCCTTTAAATTCACGTCGCTATTTTTACATTTCAGTCGTCGCCTCTTGACAACTTAACGATATCCACGAACATCGAGGCCATATGGGTATCTAATTTACGTTGTTTGGGGAGGGTAGAATTGTCTAAATTAGTTTTGAAAACAATAGAAGTCGTTCACAAACATCTCATAAGTTAAAAAATGTGTACCGAGTACAACCGAATACAAAATAAAAACTTCATACAGAGTAGTTTAAATTTTCAGAACATACTTAATATACATGAGACGAATACAGATATAAAATGAGATTTAACGACCTGCTTGCCTGCACCAATCAGGCTAATGAGGATGGACATGCGCCTACTCGTATTTCAAGGGTTCATATACGTACACGCCAATATGTGCACGGGGCCTCGGTTTTCTGCCCGATTCGAACTACACGCTGTTTTTTTATCAGACCCTCCTTCCTGAACCACTGGCACTGACAAATTCCGAAGAACCTCCTGGTTAGCAGGCCAGTTTGAATAATTGATAATCTTTGGTAAGTCTCTATGCAATAAAATCCTGTCCTAAAATGTAGTTCCAATATTATTTATCGACAAATATCTTTCTTTAAAGGGGCATTATGTAAGAATTAGAAAAAGAGCTGACCGTTCTGGCTACAATAGGTCCAAAATAGATAATGCAAAATGAATATAATTTCATTATTTTGAGCAAAGTTATCAATGGTTGTAGTCTTGGCGAGATGTGTACATTGATCGTAACCACCATAGTGGTCATTCGAGTCTTAATAGAATCGCCTTTCCATTGTTAAATTAGATTATTAAATGGCCGAAATGTTCTAAGTTCTAACCCACTTAAAATCGTAGCAAGCCAATGGCATCGATAGTTAATTATTGTCTTATCATGACAATAAATTAATGTCTAATATTTTTATAACATTTAAGGCCCAAAAATTAAGATCTGCAACAGGCAGATTTAGCTCTTACATAATACCTGTTTGAGGTGGTAATAAGCTTATGCAAGCCAGAAAACTTGAACGCCATCAAACCATCGATTTGAGATCTGTATAGCTTTAAATTCAACCAGTTTGTTGATTACCTTAATATAACATGCTTTAACTCCATGCAAAGACAGGGCGTGGTTGGTTTTTATAAATTAATAACAATATTCCTACTTTAAAATTAATTACACTAAATTTCTTTTGTTTCTTAGCAATCAACTTACCGGTGCAATTTTGGCTTTCAGAGAGTAGATTCTACATCTATAATCCGACCGGAAGGGGTACTGGTTACCAGTAACAAACGTGTTTGGATTATACCAGCCGTTCAATGCAATCGAGTAGCTCCCTCTGCAATCATCGTAAGGTATGCCAGTACCAGTTTCTACCCATAAACCAATCAAATCTCCAGCCTTAACCTGTATTCTTTGGCCTACTGGGATGTCTATATATTGCATTCTGTTACGACGAGTTGTGACACGGTTGTGACCTACAAGTGTCATCCTACAGGAAAATTAGAAACATACGAGAATCCATTAACCTTTGTAAAATACAATGTGCGTTCATTGGACGATAGAGAGGTTCAGATGCGTCCCGAGAACCAGAACGAGGGCGAGGTGAAGTCGTCGTCGTTCTTATTGACAAAACGCGATGATAAGTTCATCGTGATAGAGCAAAAACTGAAAAAGTGCACTGATTGAAAGTGTCGATTCTTTTATCATTTCGCTTTTATTCCATCCTTCAAACAGTGCCTAACAAAGGCTGGTATTTTTGAAAGGTAAAATTATGAAAAGGATTGTCTAAAATAGAATTACACCACGTGGAATTCATTTACGACTTTCACGAGCGAGTTCGTCTGCCGCCGTGAGGAAGATCTCGAGAACTTATGACATAGCATGCAAAGGGTGATTCACCTCGTTCTCATTCTCGGACTGCATCGGAACTATATCTAATTTATCACGGCTTAATCCATGCATGGATTCAATTGGATGAAAACAGATCCATCCGTAAATACTGAAAATATTGTAGTTTGCTTGGGCTTAAATTTCTTCGTTAATATTACCCATAAAATGAAGCCATGTACAAATACAGACAATTTGATAGGCCATTAAGTCCACTTGATCTGAACACTACTCTTTCTAGAACACCTGATATTACTTCGCATTTAAACATAGTTAAGAAATAATTGCCGTGTTTTTGTACAATTCAACTTAGTCGAAGTTGACATATTCTCATTTAATACTGACACAAAAAAAACATTTTCATATAACCAAAGCCTATTAGAACGCAAATGCAGGATATACCTTGAAATTTGTCGATTAATTACAAGTACAAGTTGTTGATTTGGCATTGCTGTTTTGTTATGATATTGTTCGACCAAGACTTACGCTGTAGTTGGTGAACTTCCAGATGGTCGCCACACCATCAGTTCTGATGCTCCGGGCGTTCTACTATAAAACTGCCATTGTGTGATTTCCCCATCTCTGTCTATTTTAAAATGTTCCTGCATGCCGGTAAAACCACTTCGCCAATTGCCACCATTAACTCGTTCAACCATATTCAGATTATTACTTAATGTTGTAAGAGAACTTTTCACTTTTGGAAATGAAAATAAATAAACCGGGGTTAATTTGGTTTTGATAAATTGTTATTTATTCAACTAACCGGACATCTCTTTCTCAAAGTCAAGGAATTGTGACACATGTCTGGTAGCTTAAAGGTAGTCTCGTCTTCATTAGCTGTATTCCACTTGAAGCTATCCGAATGCGAACGAAACGAAGCTCTCACTAACAACGCCAATGACGATGCGTGTTATAAATCGTTGCATCTTAGCAAATTGGCGTATCGGATCCCATAGTAGGATAATGGTGATTGTAAAGTTTTATCGATGAATATTGACCGATAATAACATTTTTCCCCGAAAAACATATTACTTTCCCATGTAACCTCCGGACACTTGCAATGGCGCTGGCAGCATTCCGTCTTGGTTCACATATATCTGGAACGTTCTAAAAAATTTCAACATTCGATATCCCCTGAAGACAACATAAACTGGAAAAGGGGGAAAGTACCTCAGCTCCTATTACAATTTACGCGAAAATCTTAGATGGGTTTTTTTCTTTTAAAAAGAAAAGAAAAAATCTGACTGAATTCTGTACTGTTGATATTTTGATTATGTTTCTGAAATTAAACGCACAATTTGGAGATGATTCAGTCGTCGAAATCAGATTTTTCCAAAAAATGAAAATGTCAATCATCGCTTTAAGATTTGTTTAAGGGGGAAATTATTCTTTGTCAACTCACCAGCACACACAGGATATTCTCCTGTCAACTGACCAGATCTTAAACAACCTCTCCCTAGATCACCTGACATTAAACCAAATCCTTCTTGACACGTGTAAGTTACCGATTGGCCAGCCTGTAGACTTGTAGCAGTTCCTGTTTGTACCACACCGGCCGTTGCAGCTTCTATTTGGCATATCTCACCTTAGAAAAAAAGTCATATTAAAGGATATAATTAGTTGTTTGTTCATGATGAGGTTATATTACTTTGAAGTTGAATAAATATCTATAAATTTCATATACACAATAAAATAATATGGAACACAATAGTTGTTACCAAAAAACCTTTAACTTCGGGACGGGTCAAATGAAGCTTTTCTGATAACGTACAAACCATTAAATAGTACCATTTAAGACAATGAACTGATTTCCAAGTAAGGGTTACGATAGTGGTAAACAGTCTGTAATAATTGAATTATTTAATTTAATGAAAGCTGCACAGTCGAGTTTGTGACTATGATAAAAACCCTTCAGCTATATCATACTTTTTTATCAAACTGGATTTAGTCTATGCCCTAAGCAATATAAAAATATAAACAGACGAAGCCGTAAAGATATCAGTGTCAGCGCAGTCGCTAGGCTAAGAAATACATGCACGATTTTTTCTAAAACTGATCAAAGGTTTTAAATGAAATATAGCTACTAGAAGAAGTAACATTCGAGTGTCTAACCTACCTGTAATCGGCTCACAGACATTACAAGAAAAGGCACATTCCTGTCTAGCAAATCCTACATTTTCTGTACAAACAGCTGGATAAAGCTTAATCTGATCTTCACAATTGTCTTGTCTATCTATACAAATAGCTCGTTCTGTGTCAAATATAAACAAAATCGTATATAATAGAAGAACATGTAATGGAAAGGGTCAACACAAAATTAGTAATAATATCAAATAATATTTGAAAACAGTGAATATTTGCAAGACAGGGTTAAAGAGGGGGATGTGTGCGAGCTGAAACTTAGGTTTTACTTATGAAAACGTGGCACTAATTCATGGTACGGGATTAGCGCTGAATCTTCACATTTCTTCTGTTTTGTGGTGGTTTAGCAAACACACGTCATACAATATTTCACATTAAAGTTATGTTACATGGTTTAATCACATCCGTGACAGGATCAATCTGATTAAAACACAGATCCAATTTCGTTTCGTTTTTATAGTTCAAAATTTCGTTTTATTTGTCTTTATTACACTAGTGTTTGGAAGAGTTGTTATCATTGACGTGTTCTGAATAGTGTGAGGTATTAGCCAATAAAACCGTCTGTTACGGCGAGTTTTAGGCGTGTTTTGCACGGAACTGTGGGTAATCCACTAGTAACATCAATGCTGATTGGTTATTCAAATGTCTGACGTCATAGGGTTAAAAAGCGCTCGTATGACCTCTGACGTGACCTATCGCAACAACCGGTCAGATCTTCATGTAGTGTAGGCCATCGAAAGTATAAAAAAACGAAACGAAATATACATCTGTATTTTAATCCGATTGTGATAGGAAATGAAATGAAATGAAATGGGGTTTAACGTCCTACTGTTGATTGTGATAGGATTCAAGTATATACAATTATATGCATATAATGTAGCATCGAATTTGGGTTTCAACTTTGACCGGAAAGAAGGAAATTAACAGAAAATACGAATTTCCATCTATCAATTACGCCTGAGCACGAGATTTGAGCGCACGTTCTGAATTGAACGTTCACTGAGGATTGGTTATTGAATGGGGGTAGTCATCCGATTACATTTACTATCCCTTGAATCGCAGATTGACAAAATACACGCATTCATATACTGGTCTTTGTTCTATAGTGAAATATATATATATGTTAAAACCCAAGTGGGTTTGATATATATAAACTGTTAAACATACATTATGCAAAAATTTCACCCGCTTCTTTCTCGGCTCATAGTGGATCAATTTGACTGAAATTTTCAGCAAATTACCTTTACACTATCTAGTTTTTAACTATTTTATCGCGAACTGCCATCTCCTTATCTTATCTCCCATAATGTATCTTTAATGGCAGAATACAGTAGAGGTTACATTACAATAAAAATTCAAAATAAAGAAAGGAAAGGAAATGGTAATCTAATTATGAAGTCAAGTGTACTAACATCTTACCTCCAGGTACATACTGGCAAACAAATGGATATTTACCATAATCATACCATGGATAATCTAACTTTCTATCAACATCTTGACCTTTTAATATTGCTATACTTTTATATGCCGGGGGTTCAGCTTTAAGGAAAAATCAACAAAATTAAGCACCATGATTTACATAAATAAAAATATCCTGCAACCTTTAGATTTTGAAAAGTAACTATATGCATGCCGTGGATTAATAAACTTATCGTTTAATCAAAGGGGAAACTAAAAATAACAAAATACAACACACCATCAAACATCCAAAATTAAACGGATCGTCATATTTATGCGTTCTTTAAAAAAATATTTGATAACATCTACGCCAAGAGATCCTCTAACCTATATTTTATTTAAAATCTTTTAAATTACAATATATCAGTGAAGCTGATCTCTAGCCTTTTTATCTAAACAACGACAGCTAATATTGGACTTCTGACATGTTGCCTTTAGTGAACTATTCAAAAAATTAAAATGTTAACAAACAGTTTTGAAGAAGACACTTAATTCATGAGTTTTATTTTCAGGTGTTACCAAATGTTTGATGACACTCTAATGTTTTACCTTTCCAATTAAGATTTTCCGCTTTAGTTCCATCCGACCAGTACCAACCATCCGACTCTCTTTTTAGCCCAACCCATATATCTAACATGGTGGCCCTGTAATAAGATAAACATGTTCCAATTGACATTCACATTCTTTCTAGATACCACTTTTAAAAATGCTGTCAGCGGACTATGTTTCATTACAGGGTCCAGCTTCAGTGTTGTCTCATGAACTACTACATCCTGGCGGTGAAATTTACAATAATACAGTCTATTTTATTTATTTGAGCGCAATTTCATCCGTTTTACCTGTATGACACAAGACAGACTAAGCTACCTCCTACAGTGAGGATATTAGCTAGGTAATCAGACCTTGACGGAAATATTGTTGATAAAGGTGCTCCTGAAATGCAGTTCTTTTGGTAAACAGATTGACCTGCAGGTTGAGTAAAATCGAAGCTCTCAAAATAATCGTTAGTGAACACGTTGTTTAACACAAACACTCCGTCTAACTATAAGATCTACTTTTGGATAATTGGGTTTGACTCACCTGATAGATGCTATCAAGTCCACTTCTTCTTTGTCTTTAGCTGTTGTAAGTTTAGAGTTCAGGGACGCACAGAATGATGTGGCAGACGATAAATCTTTTTTCTCACCGAAATATTTATAACATGAAGTCCTAAATGGTGCCCATCCAAATGGACAACCTGAAATAAAATTAATATAATGTTGAGACTGAGGGCTGAATTCCCTGTCCATATCTTGTGGGAATGTTTAGGGTTACAGAAAGTTAAAGAATAAGATTCCTCTTTTGAAAGATCTCTGAGTGGCCTCTTGTGCAAGTGCGTCTTCAGCAGTTGGAGAACATAAAACCCGGACGACCCAGAAAAGAGAGAGAGGGGGAAATCGGGTTTAACGTCAACTTGACACAAACTAGGTCATTTCGGGCTAACATTTGGTTCAATTTTATTTCAATAATTCGTTTGATCGTAGGCGTCTTTAGCAGGGGGAGGAAACCGGAGGACTCGGGGAAAACGCACGAAGTTGGACAAGCGACCCTACTCCTTGACACATAAAAGCGGGGAATCGAAACCACGCCACTTGGTTCAATGACAGACCTTCTGATCTAACGCTCACGCGTTAACCATTCGGCCATCCACTCCCCCTCCCCGACGCAGAAAAGACCCACGAGGTTAGGGAAACGACGATACCTTTTGTCAGACATGAGCGTGAGATGAAATCAAATGAAATGAAATGCGGTTTAACGCCCTACTGTTTTGCACCGACTGGGCTTTTGAAGACGGACGCGCAGTCATGGGATCGACAATAGGCAACTTGATTCAATAACAGACATATAATGGGTTATGATCATACGTGCATGGCCATGGTTAACCTGTGCCCAATGACCACTGCCTATTTACATTGAATTATACTTACTACCACAGACATAACCAGCATTAGACCAGGTACCGTCAGATAGACAAGTACGAGTGAGTGTATCAGTACCAGTTTTACAGCTATATTTTACAGTATCACCTAGACCGTATTCATCTTTGGTAGCATCATTAGTAGAATCTGATAGAGCTTCTGGTGCTGAACATTTTACTGCAATATCTGAAACAATCAGAATGTTGACTATTATATTATAACGGCATGGTTTGAGGTTTATTAATGCAGAAATTTGGAATCAGAATCAAAGAAAAATACACTTTACAAACTACCGAACAGCCGCAACACGGGTGCAACTGGTATTTTTATAGTTCTGATTTTCTACAGTATATACGATCTAACAGAAATTTCAGAGCGGGCGCTGTTCGGCCGGATAATATCGATTGAATAATGCAGGATACTTGTGCATAGTGAGTTTAAAAATAGTTCAGTAGACGCAGTGTTTTCATTGGAATTTTACGGTACACAACTAGGAACACAAATGAATAATACAGACGAACTGAAAAACAATTTTAAAACATATTGTAATGCTCAAAACGATAACAATGTTTAGTCTACATGGTGTGCATCTTATTTCGGGATCTTTTCATAATCATTAACATAATCGAGTTGTTTATGGTATACCCAAGAGCTGTCCACCTCACGACATGATAAAACTAAACACAATTCTAAACAAATTCTAACAAGCCCTTTTAAAAGAAAGAACTTACATTTCGGTTCTTCAGCTGGTAAATTCAAGCTCGCCTTACACGTTTCTCCGCAGCCACCCATCGCCATTGGTTTATCACAGAAATTAGGATCTTCAGCTAACACCGAGTCACAATCGTCATAATTGTTACTTACAGTTCCTGTTGAAAAAATTTATTTTAAATTAAGTGGCCTTAGTACTTCCACGTCTTCTCCGGTCGGCAATAAAATGATTTCTAATTTGACTTAATTTGACATTGTCATCAAGGATATTTCGATTACATTTCACGACAATAGCTACGTTCACAATTTACATGTCCTACCAGTGCTTCAGTGGTATTTTTATTAGGAGTTTAACTATTATTAGGTCAATGCTAGGCAATATTATAATTAAAGACTCGATGCGTCATTTAGCGGTATGTGCATCCCATACAAACAACACTATTGTGGCAGTTTACTCGCTAATATGAATATTCGTCCAAAAATGGTTCAAAGTATTTACAAAGTTATGATCTATCAACTTAGTAGAGATCCTGATGTGCCTAGGTTTAATCCGTTTGCATCCAAGCCGGGGGAATTATCTGATTTTGTTGTTTTAATTAAATGTTACATAATCAGTCTGAGTACATATTTAGTGTGGATTAAGCCACGAGAAATCGAAAATACAAATAACGCTTCGAGTGAAGATGTAATATTATTTTGAAAAGGATATTCGAAGACAGACCAAATTATTGTTAGATATTAAACTTTATATAGTTGCTAAATATAATTAAGACTAATATATTATACCTAATCTGCTGACGTCACAATAATTTCTTAAACAATCCTGAGCATTAGTATAACACCAGGGTGCGTCATCGTTGCTCGGGTTACGGCAATAATTTTCATCTAAACCTGCCTCTAAATCACTGTAAGCAAAATAATCATTATAAAAGTAGCTAGTTCGTGCAACCATATTTCAAACATTAATAATGCCACATGGATTATGGCAAGTGGTTTTGTGTGAAACCGTTCTAACTTAAATTGTATTTTGGACGACCAGACCCTTTAGCTTATTGTCACCAAGCAAATGGTGATTTCAAAATGAGTCCTTCATACATATTTACATTCAGTGTCGGATTTAGATAAAGAAAGACCCTAGACTATTCCACTTAAACACAATTGGGCAAAACCGAGGACGATGACGGGTATTTAAGGCTACTGTGTGTGTATGATAGTGTCAAAATTATTCTGCACCTTAGATCTTGGGACCAATGGTACAGTCTGCCAAGTCTATAGCTATAGGTAAATCCGGCGCTGTTTCCAGTGTAGAGAAGCTAAAAATCTTTTGATTTAAATCTAAAGATTACGCGTAAGTCTATTTGTTTACAAATTTTAGTTACATTTAATAAATTATATCCAACAATTATCAGCGTACTATATGAACCAGCAACCTAGCATAACGTCATCCCAAACATTTTTTAATTTTTACTTCTTATCAGACATCGAATTCAATCCACACGCAATGGTCCGAAGGACGAGCATGCCAAGCTTTATGTCAATTGTACTCAAATTGTTGGAGCCGTTAACCTTTTTACGAAGAGCATCGCCCTAACAACAACAAGTGTACATGTGCAATCCAATCTGATTGAAATACAGATCTAAATTTCGTTTCGTTGTTTTATACTTTCGATGGCCTCCACTACATAAAGATCTGGTCGGTTGTAGTAAAAGGTCGCATCAGAGGTCGTACGAACGGCTTTTGACCCTATGACGTTAAACATTGATTAATCAATCAGCGTTGACGTTTCTAGATGGCACGCCAAGAATTCGCCGTAACAGACCGTTTCCTTGGCTAATCCATCACTTCAATCAAAACACCAAAAACACTGCCAGATCCTAGTGTAGTGAAAACAAGTAAAACGAAATTTTGAACCATAAAAAACGAAACGAAATAGGATATGTGTTTAAATCAGATTGATGTGCAAACCGTTCCTTGTTTAAAAATGTCTACAGATGTACAATTTCCAACGAAGATAGATCTTCATCCCACACAGCAAATCAAAATATTCAATCCAGTGAAACGTGATACCACTAAAATCGGCATTGTTTTGTGTGATGTTGTTGTACCTTGGGAATAGTCTCAAATTCAGAAATCGTACTGATGAATGAAAGTGTTTAAGCAAGCCAACCTACCAAGATTACTGACTGATAACTTTCAATATATTTAAATAAGAAACGATGTTTATTCGCCGAATAATATTTTCAACAAATCATCTTCATCCGATAATTATTCACTTTATAGTTAGCTCTACACTGCCATAATAATTACATGATCAAATATGACGACTTGATAATTTGAAATTTACGGAGTCAAAGTAATGCAGTCCTATATTTCATTTCAAACGTGTATTACCTTAACAATTAAATAGTGTGTCAAATATCCGATGGAATTTGCGGTTGTATTGGGCATTAATCAGTCTTTCAAATTCTATATAGAAATTCCAGATGGTAAAGGTTAATTTAAATAAAAACATTGATGAAGACTAGTCTGTTATTGGTTGAACATATCCCATTGTCTCTAATCACATTATGTTCAACAAGTACGGTCGTAATGTGGACCAGAAACTGACCATGTTGTTGAAAAAAATTCAAAAATCTAATTAACTAAATCGGTGGAGAATTGTTCAAAGAAGACGCATGCCAATTTTCATGTTGATCAGGCTTGAATTGACGGAGCTTTGGACTTTTATTCGAAGAGGTCACCCAAAAGAAGAACAAGGTGAATGGAGCTTAGCGACCAGTTCCTGGTTCAGAAATTGATATTATTCGTTGACAGTGTATTATTATATATAGTGGCGAAGCGAATTTTCAACAGAAACTTAAATTGTGTCTGGGGGGTGGTGGAGGTTACTAAGCAGGCTGTATTAATAGTAACTTATCACTGGGGAAGATGATTTACTAAACAGAAAGTATTAATAGTAACTTGTCACTGGGGAAGATGATACTTACTAAGCACTGAAAGGATTATGGTGACAATGTTTAGCTTCGATCCATGGTATACATGGTTCATATAGATGAGTAAAGTTGACCTTTCCACGGTAAGATTCACCTTTATCAGCTGGATTATAAACATGATCTTCAGCTACAAGAAAATAAAAATAAATCACTCTTCTCTCTATGCTATTCACAACATATAAAACTATATTATACAATACAATTTTGAAATTGTGAAGCAATGTCTTAAATATTTTTTTAAAAATCCAAGCCATTTGTGAGTAAAATGAGTATTTGTCGTACAATTTGAACAGAATAAATTCAAACTTTCACTCCTTACAAGACTTGTTGAAATGTTATAAGAGTAGAAACGTGTGCCATTTCCGCCAGGCCGAAATGTTGGCAAACTTACGTAGAATAATGGAAGCTTTAACTTTAAATCCTGATTTAGTTGTCTGCGAATTGGTTCTAAAGATAACAATAACTGATGAATATAAACTTTGTAGTGTAGTTGATAACCGACTCCCACAGTACCTATAAGATAAAGCCACATGCCATGTTACAGATTAAATACAGAATGATTGATCAAAAGTAACACTTTGGTCCAAAATCATCAAAATCGGTGAATTTTATTTCAAATTGTGACCATTTAAAGTTTATGTTGGATTCTATTGGTTATACACCACCATCTTTGTATGTCTCAAACAAATATAGTAATAATAATTTCCTACAAGTCAGGAACGTGCTAGAATGTGCTTTTATGCAGTAACATATATATATAATAGTAACAGTAAATATCACATATACTTTACTTCTGAAATATATGTTATCCAGTCTTTGTTCAGATTTTGATATTTTCTTTATAATACGAATCATGTAGTAACAAGATGAATCAGTTATATTGTTTATGAGCTGTCAACGAGGAAATTAAACTTCAGACTGAAATCTGAAACCACAGATTTGAGCCTTAACAGAAGGTGTATGAACATTTACAGTTGCAAAATTCTTTTTTTTTTTTCAAAAATTAATGTAGGTTTTGTTTATTTAAGACTTTGAGAAAATGAAATGAATTATTGGACTACTTACTTGACACCAGGTTGTCCAATCATATTCTGACGTATTTCAACATAATCTAAACATTCGGTATCCGTGGCCTCGATATCAAAGCTCGAGAAATGTAACTTAATGGCCATGTTTTCTGGTGCCTAGTGATATGAAAATAATATAAACAGTCACACATGCAATATTCAAGGCTAAAACAAGACTATAGACTTTTAGACTAATATACAATAATAAATTTAATTTCTGTATTTACATACCTTTAAATTGGTGTGATGCTTTAATCTTTAAAACTTCCAGAGATATTTAGCTTTTCACATAAAGGGTGATTAATAATATTGAAACGAACAAAGCAAAAGACTCCATATTCATCAAAATCTACAAATTTCGCGAATTTCTGATACTTTTTCCCCAATAAGCATTTGGAAAATAAAAAGGCATTTTCCAAGACAGATATGCCGGAATCTTGAAATCGACAAAATCAAATATTTGTTTTATCTTTAGGGGCATATCTAAGAGCCACGAAGACGTCTATGAAATGGATAATTCTTACCTTGATTAGCCAGTTACATTCAGTTAAATCGCCGTAGTTCCCTGGGAAACCAGGACTATTAAATTCTTCCTCTGGGTGTTCACGACTAAGATCAATGACCTTTCCACAGCCTACATTATAATATTGAAAATAGTATTCCAGGAATAGATGTACCATCTAGAAGTGATATCTATGTCCTGATCTAAGCATAATTAAACCCAAGATTAACGTGGAGTACATGTTGTCGTTTCCGATATAACCTGTCATGGACAATAATCTAATTTTCCGTGGAATTTTGTTGTAGGTGCCCCAGACGAATTAAAGGACGTCGTCTATCGTTTTTAAGGAGTGACTGGATGACTTTATTAACCCTCGCAATTTCGTTTATCTTGGATATAAAATGAAGCAACATAAAAAACAATAAATTTTATATATATCTCGCTGAAATGAACTAAAAAGCTTTAACACCTTCTCAAGTAATGCTCATAATTAAATGATATCGACAACCCAAAATCTTATCATTACCATAGTTTTAGATATGTTTTCTTTGCAAATTCGATATTTAGGAAATTTCATAAATTGTGGATAGACACCATTTTCGCACCATTATCCCTTCCATGCATATTGATATTATTTCTAGGTTGACGCCTCAAGAAACAAAGAGTAACGATAATATTGCGGCCGTTCTGGATAACGACTTGGCTTCTATAATGTTAAAGTTCTTTCACGATGCCCTATATGTTAGCCGAGTTCTAACACCGACCTTTGTCGACACAACAATTGTACTGAAGGTGACACCTACCATAGTTCAATGGAGCATAATAACAGACGTAAAATCCGAGCAGGTTATATCGTGGTATAGCTAGTTGTGCTGGTGAATTAGCAGAGAATCCATACTCTGGTACCGCTAATGAATCCGCAGTTCCAGACCAAACGTTAAAATCTTCTTGGATGTGAGCCATACCTAAATTATCAAAAATTATACACATGATTTATTTACAAATTTAAAGAAGATATATTGTTATTATTTTTTTTAAAAAAATCCCAACACCGCCAACCTTTGCTCATTTCTCAAGTACAACATTTGTAATATTTGTTTACGTTGATACTATGGAAGCCTATTATGACCACTTTATAACCGTGACTTCTCACAGGTAGAGGTTGAGCAATCGTGAGCCAGAAATGGAGAAGGCGAGGATTTTCAAACGTAATGAAGCCAGACATCGAGAAGATTGAAAAATGGATGCAACGTGTTTTCATGGTTTACAGTAAGCAACATTATAGAAAAATTAACAATCGGCATCATTCCAGAAGAATGTAAGTATGACGACGAATTATTCTGGGTTGAATTGACGTACAATACCGCTTTAACCGATTATTCAATTGAAATACATATTAAAAGCATCTTTTAGATATGACTATGGAATAAATGAAAACCAACCAATCTGTATAATGCTTGGACAATCTGAACCTTCCACAGATTTGAGTACAATGACCTATTGCACTGATTACTTTGTTTTATTTGGAGCGTACAAGTTACCATTTATATCAGTATTAATTTACTAACCTTCTACCTGCTGACATTCGCCCTGGTATTTAAATAAAACAAATGGATCGGTGTTAGGTAGTCGAATAGGAACATCAGAATAACCATCACTGCGACAACAGAATCTAAACCTGGTGTATGGGTCATAGGTACCATCCGGTAACACACCGGCCGTAATAGGTGGCGTAGATTCACCAAATTGTACAAAACTTTCAAGAAATCCTAAGTTAAAAAAGTATATCAATGCAGAGTTATTATGTTAGGGGTTGGAATGGATAACCCAGTTTAATTTTATTAGTTACAAACTCATCGCTCTTAATTAAACTAAATTTCTTAATATTAACACTACCTGATCTCAAAATACAACTATTTAAAATTGGGATATTAGTAATTCAGTAATTGTCTAAAGTGTATTTCTTGGATTTATAAAATACCATAATAACGGTTATACATGGTTATGCACGGTACTATAACGGTTATATAAAGACCATCTTCAATCAATCGATCTTCTATTATAAAAAAAATCTTTTTATTCAAAATTGATTCATATAGATCAATTCAAAATATACATTGATTTCTATTGATTTCACAAAGCCATCGTTATGTGTCTTAATATAAAATAAATAAATATATTTGTTGTTCGATACATTCGGCAAACAAAGAATAAATTACCTTAGTTTGACATTCTTACCTATAGGACAACTCCCACCTTTTCGGAATATGCAGTAATCACCAGCTTCCCACGGTACGTCACTCCCGTTGTCTTGTTCTTGGGTACACATGGTCATGTCGAGGTTCGTTCCAGTGTAACCATTACCAAGATGAAACAAGACCGATTTACCGGTTCGTACACCATGGATTGTGATGGAGCCTTCTTTGAAACCAGCTGGACAGCCAGATACAGGTTTGAGAAGAGAGTAAGTTCCCGTTGGCCAGGTTGTCATAGTTTCTGTTTGGGGTAAAAGAGGGTACCTACGCTAGAAAATGTAAATCGCACACAAAGAAGCTAAGTCAGCAAAAAAGAATTGGGGAAATTATTGGAACTAAATTCAAACAAATTGTTCAGATCTATTTCTCTTCGGCCTATGTACAAAAGCTTGAACACGAGCACTTCACATACAGTTCATAATAGTGACCGGAGTTAGACATATCCTATTGTCGGAGCAAATTATGTGTATAATCACTGCCAAATGGAAAATTAAATGTTAACAATCTGCGACGGTTCCAAATACAAAAGTACAGCAGCCATTTCTTAGCTATATGAACTAATTAAATAAAAAGTGGTACCAGTTATTCTGGAAAGAGTAACCATCCACCTATCGTGACTTAAAGATCACTGGAGTGATAGTTTAGTCTTTAGTAGCCTTTCAAAAGGTGATTTAAATACTTTAGTACTTTACCTTTCTCTTTGACTTGGGTGCATCCTGAATTGGGCTCTAGTCCATCTGGGCACATACAACTGCACTGGCCTCTAACTAACGTCATATATCCATCATTTGCACATTGTAATGATTCAGATGAACAAAATAGACCTGTAAATTGCAGATAAAAGGATTACTCTACGCCATTGGACATTACCTCGAAACCATATCCAACCCATTATTCTAAAATATAATTGCATAATTGTAAAATGCTGTAATACAGTTTAGATGTTAGATTTTGTCTTTTTGCCTAAATTTCACCCAGTGTTTTTATTACAATATTAATATTACCGTTTAGTTCGTATATGTCAATAACATATAATTGATGTTTTCGAGGTTTTGGTTCCACATTGGTTCCACATCGGATCCTCCCCTAAGTCAAAGGGGTTCCATTTAGGAAGTTTGTGTCTTGTATTAGCATATCACAATATGTTTTAGCATATCATATACATCATATAAATCATATAAATCGAAACAGAGCGTTTGATGTTGTACATTACACTTACCACGACAATCATGGCCTAGAGATATTTCTTTTCTTGCATAGAAGTCACCTTCACCTGATCTATAAGCTGGTCCACGGTATAATTCTGTAATTACTGGTTTACCATTAGTTGTAAAAGACTGGAAATAAAGTTAATTACAATTATTAACCATCTAATTCGCGAAGATTTTGATAACATAAACAACAAAATAAATAAATTTTCGAGCACAGCACGGTTGTGGGGGTAGGGTTGCTTAGGGGTTGTTCGAATTCGAGACGGGCCAAGAAAAATCTTCGGGATTTTTCGTTCTCTGTTCGTAATTGTCTGTAGTGGAGCCTGTTAGAATGGTAGGTAAGTTAGGTTCACATGGTACACATTGACAGTGAAGGTAAATGTTGACAGCTGCAATTTAAAAAGGAGCTGATTGATGTAACAGTTGGTGGTTGAAAAGTCAGTTGGATGTACTGTCTGTTGGTTGTTTGTAAGTTACTTATACAGTTTCAGTTTATTGGCTGTTTGTTAGCTGTTGTGCACTAATTGGTTAATTGTATAGTTTATTTTCTGTTTATTGGTTTCTGTGTAGTAATTACTTACTTTTACAGTTTATTAATTGTACAATTTATGATTCTGTAAATAAAACTTACGTGGAAAGAATAATGCATCCTGGATGTAATGTCATATTTCACCAAAGATTCACTATAATCACTATCGCCTTCACTGAACCACATCTTCAAATCTAGAAAATATCAACGATGACCAATCGCAGTTTGCTACAATTTTTAAACTGGAGCATTATCACCTGATGATAAATCTATTTACAGGTATCAATAGCGTGATGACATGGCTTATGTATGCTACCTGTACAATGGGTAAGACATTTTTTAATATATTAATAAATTATGTGTCTATTGGTTAGTTGTTTGGGATCTTAGTTGAAATACTTGAATTATGATATGTACTAACTTGGCATGATATTTTCCCAGTTGATTCTGATTTTTCCGCTTCTAACCGGACTTTGATGTTCGTGTATGAGGCCTAAGGTATGGCCCAGTTCATGTACACAAGTATCCTGCAGAATACAAACAAATTAGTGATCATCTCGTATTTTCTTAATTTTTGAAAATGTTTATGGCGTTCAATGTATACCTTAGATAAACTGGGTTCACTTTACCACAATCTTTGTAAAATAGTTGAGGTCAGTTGTTAAAAGATAAACAGTTTATATACCTTTCCACAGCAGCTATTGTGTTGTTTATTTCTCGAATTACCAGCTGTAGCCCAGCAGCTGAAATGTAAAAAGAAGACAATGCAACAAAGCAAAACGTGGAACTATATAGACATTTGTTTTAGGCTTCGCGCCTGTTATCAAACGTTTAACGTACGCGGAATAGCGAAAAAAGTTCCAGAAAATTTGCATTCTACATCTTTTGCCACTGGAAACTAGGTTTTTCGTGCCATCCATGTTATATTTCCGAAGCAATGGTATTTAGTTTATAGTAATAATGACGATTGCTTTAATGAGTTTTTTTTTTGTTTTTTTTTCTTTGCTAAAAATGGAGTATAGTCATTATACATTCTTCGAGTTTATGTCTCTAAGATTGTTCGCATCATATCTGAGCTTCTATGTTGTCAAATAACCCTGTATTATATGTCCGCTGTTATGAGTGATACGATATGTATTCGATTTATTTTATCGCAATGGTACTTATCATTTTTTTATAAACAAAAACAGAAAAAAACACACCCATTGGCTTTAACAAATTCTACGACACCATTATGGTCAATACCATATTTTGTTTTAGTATCAGCTTCGTTCGGTACAAATCTGATGCAGGTCAAGGTCATATATCTCAACATGGCCGCTTTTATCGTGTATCTGTAGTCTTCGGCTGAAAGGATAATCATTATTAACTGATATCAAATCGAAATTAGTACATTTTACATGTCTGGCATGACAATATAAATTCACGAGAATGTGTTGGATCAAAATGAGACAAGAATATGATCAATACACCTTTGGAAGTAATTTTTGAAATTCTTGAATCAGACCATTTTCCCTTCATATTGTACCTATGCTGCTATTTAAAACAACCAGCTTGATGTGTGTAATAAATTAAACTTTCTTTACTTACTGATGCCATCATGAAACTGATATGGAACGATTCCCTTATCCCACCTAGTGCTCTCAGGTCTGGTTATGAAACGTTTCCTTCGTCTTCTTGTGTTGCCGGATGCCTAGAACGATACAATTGTAACAGTATGGACTATCAATCTGGCAGATGCGAAGATCCAACCTGTGGTTAAATTTGTGAGAAGTGTGGATATTTTTCACAGTATCGTTGTTCCATATTGTAACATGCTTAAGGGCGAATCTTGCGTTTTGATTGGTCGATTAGACATTGTCTATTGGACAATAACACCCCTCTAAATTAAAAACATTACTGCGTATTAGTATTATGCGTACTACCTTAATGGAGATAACCACAATGGAGACAATCAATTTTGATCTCGGTACATTAGACAAAATATTTGGAGTTATGTCCGCACATGAACTTAAAACACCAACTCCCTTGTCAGGTAACAGCTACAAACAACAAAATATACAATGATCTATTACAAAAACATAAAGTTTATTTTAAAAAATATTTTTAAAAAAATGGAGTGAGAATTTTAGGGTTTTTTTTGTGTGTCTATACTCATACTGCTACTATAGCAACCAAAAGATAAGCGAGCCAAATCTAACGAGAGTAGCCCGTTATCCTGTTACGTCACGACGTTATCATTACGTCTTGGGTCCTAATGATCTCAGGACATGTTTATTGGACAATATCACCCTCTAAATGCGAAACAGGAGGTGTTTATCTCCCAAATGATTTGAATTGGAGTAAAGGTTGTTCCAATACGACAGCCTTTTGGATAACTGGTAATTCTGGTTGTACCGCTAAAAGCATAATAGTAATTTTCTTGGAGATTTAGTCATAACATTGTTTTCAGTTGTGTTCAATAAAGTGTGCCAGTCAAAAGAATTATGAAATAAGTGCAAATGCAAGATAAAATACAGTGTCCAAATTTTGTGTTCAGTAACTAAAACTTATTTTGCAGATTAGATTTGATTATATCTGGGCCATGGATGTTTATTAGGGCTAATATAAAATACATATCAGGGATTAAAGCAAAGTGAAATGTAAAAGCTAACCTGTGTCGCGGTTTCAACTGAAATATCGTCATTACTGACCCAACTAACACCAGAAAATTCTGATCCATCAACCTGGGATAGACAACATAATATATAATGTAATTACGGCTTGTTTTCCGTTAGATTATGTAGAAAAATACTTAGAACTAAATCAACTACCAGGAGCTGTAATAAGACTTGGGTATTGTCCGTCGTCGTTGTTATGGCTTAGTCAAGTAGAGCGTGGGCAACCGGTGAAGCATAGGCAATATTAGAAGATGCGTTATGCAATAGACGGCCGGTATATTGTATGGATTAGAAGGCCTGTGGCATTTAATAATTTAATGTTAAAATGCACAATCGAGACTATCATGTCAAAACTTCTAACTTGGCTTAGAATATATTATTAGACCATTTAAGATAGTCGTACATTGGATTTTAACGCTAGAACGTTCTTACGTACCCCTACTTCCGGGGTTGGCGTTATGTTGGGCGTAGCTTGTGGATCGTTGTTGTTGGTTGTAACAGGATTAGGAGTTGTAGTTGCTGGTAAGATGTTGTTACTCTCTGATGTGACGTCATTGGCGCTCGCTGCTGTGACGGTATTTTCAATATTCTGAACAGGTTCTCCAATCACTACAGTTTCACTGTCACGACGTAATCTCTATTAAATATTACATATAAAAATGACTTAAAGAATAATGTTCCTAATCAGAAATAGACAAAAGAAAACGTGTTAAAAATATACCGTGTGCGTTTAAAGAAAAGTTCACTCTCCATGCAATATATGCTTTGTTTTGGGGGGGGGGGGGAAATCTTAACATCTGAATTACCGAAAGATTTATGTTTAGATCACTGTACAT